GTGTTTCATTTCAGCTTCCTGGTGTGATGTGGAAACCCCCGAAGACTACAAAATCTTTGTGTTGTCTGGTCCCTGGAGTGGTGTGAAAACCCGTAAACCATATATGTTTGTGCTGTCTGGTCCCTGGTGTGGTGTGAAAACCCCTAAACCATATGTGTGTTTGGTTTCAGCTTCCTGGTGTGAAGAGGAAACCCGCGAAGAATGCAAAATCTTTGTTTTGTCTGGTCCCTGGAGTGGTGTGAAAACCCGTAAACCATAAATGTTTGTGCTGTCTGGTCCCTGGTGTGGTGTGAAAACCCCTCAACCATATGTGTTTTTCTTTTCAGCTTCCTGGTGTGATGTGGAAACCCCCGAAGATTACAAAATCTTTGTTTTGTCTGGTCCCTGGAGTGGTGTGAAAACCCGTAAACCATAAATGTTTGTGCTGTCTGGTCCCTGGTGTGGTGTGAAAACCCCTAAACCATATGTGTTTTTCTTTTCAGCTTTCTGGTGTGAAGAGGAAACCCGCGAAGAATGCAAAATCTTTGTTTTGTCTGGTCCCTGGAGTGGTGTCAAAACACGTAAACCATATGTGTGTTTGGTTTCAGCTTCCTGGTGTGATGTGGAAACCAGCGAAGACTACAAAATATTTGTTTTGTCTGGTCCCTGGAGTGGTGTGAAAACATGTAAACCATATATGTTTGTGCTGTCTGGTCCCTGGTGTGGTGTGAAAACCCCTAAACCATATGTGTGTTTCATTTCAGCTTCCTAGTGTGATGTGAAAACCCCCGAAGACTACAAATTCTTTGTGTTGTCTGGTCCCTGGAGTGGTGTGAAAACCCGTACACCATATATGTTTGTGCTGTCTGGTCCCTGGTGTGGTGTGAAAACCCCTAAACCATATGTGTGTTTCATTTCAGCTTCCTGGTGTGATGTGGAAACCCGCCAAGACTACAAAATCTTTGTTTTGTCTGGTCCCTGGAGTGGTGTGAAAACGTGTAAACCATATATGTTTGTGCTGTCTGGTGCCTGGTGTGGTGTTAAAACCCGTAAACCATATGTACTTTTCATTTCAGCTTCCTGGTGTGATGTGGAAACCCCCGAAGACTACAAAATATTTGTTTTGTCTGGTCCCTGGAGTGGTGTGAAAACCCTTAAACCATATATGTTTGTGCTGTCTGGTCCCTGGAGTGGTGTGAAAACCCCTAAACCATATGTGTGTTTCATTTTAGCTTCCTGGTGTGATGTGGAAACCCCAGAAGACTACAAAATCTTTGTGTTTTCTGGTCCCTAGAGTGGTGTGAAAACCCGTACGCCTTATATGTTTGTGCTGTCTGGTCCCTGGTCTGGTGTGAAAACCCGTAAACCATATGCGTTTTTTCTTTCAGCTTCCTGGTGTGATGTGGAAACCCCCGAAGATTACAAAATCTTTGTGTTGTCTGGTCCCTGGAGTGGTGTGAAAACCCGTAAACCATATATGTTTGTGCTGTCTGGTCCCTGATGTGGTGTGAAAACCCCTAAACCATATGTGTGTTTCATTTCAGCTTTCTGGTGTGATGTGGAAACCCCCGAAGACTACAAAATCTTTGTGTTGTCTGGTCCCTGGAGTGGTGTGAAAACCCGTAAACCATATATGTTTGTGCTGTCTGGTCCCTGGTGTGGTGTGAAAACCCCTTAACCATGTGCGTTTTTCCTTTCAGCTTCCTGGTGTGATGAGGAAACCCGCGAAGAATGCAAAATCTTTGTTTTGTCTGGTCCCTGGAGTGGTGTCAAAACACGTAAACCATATGTGTGTTTGGTTTCAGCTTCCTGGTGTGATGTGGAAACCAGCGAAGACTACAAAATGTTTGTTTTGTCTGGTCCCTGGAGTGGTGTGAAAACATGTAAACCATATGTTTGTGCTGTCTGGTCCCTGGTGTGGTGTGAAAACCCCTAAACCATATGTGTGTTTCATTTCAGCTTCCTAGTGTGATGTGGAAACCCCCGAAGACTACAAAATCTTTGTGTTCTCTGGTCCCTGGAGTGGTGTGAAAACCCTTAAACCATATATGTTTGTGCTGTCTGGTCCCTGGTGTGGTGTGAAAACCCGGAAACCATATGTGTGTTTCATTTCAGCTTCCTGGTGTGATGTGGAAATCCGCGAAGACTACAAAATCTTTGTTTTGTCTGGTCCCTGGAGTGGTGTGAAAACCCGTAAACCATAAATGTTTGTGCTGTCTGGTCCCTGGTGTGGTGTGAAAACCCCTCAACCATATGTGTTTTTCTTTTCAGCTTCCTGGTGTGATGATGAAACCCGCGAAGACTACAAAATCTTTGTTTTGTCTGGTCCCTGGAGTAGTGTGAAAACCCGTAAACCATATGTGTGTTTCATTTCAGCTTCCTGGTGGGATGTGGAAACCCCCGAAGACTACAAAATCTTTAAACCCGTAAACCATATATGTTTGTGCTGTCTGGTCCCTGGTGTGGTGTGAAAACCCGGAAACCATATGTGTGTTTCATTTCAGCTTCCTGGTGTGATGTGGAAACCCCCGAAGACTACAAAATCTTTGTGTTGTCTGGTCCCTGGAGTGGTGTGAAAACCCGTAAACCATATATGTTTGTGCTGTCTGGTCCCTGGTGTGGTGTGAAAACCCGTAAACCATATGTGTGTTTGGTTTCAGCTTCCTGGTGTGATGTGGAAACCCCCGAAGATTACAAAATCTTTGTGTTGTCTGGTCCCTGGAGTGGTGTGAAAACAGGTAAACCTTATATGATTGTGCTGTCTGGTGCCTGGTGTGGTGTGAAAACCCGTAAACCATATGTACTTTTCATTTCAGCTTCCTGGTGTGATGTGGAAACCCCCGAAGACTACAAAATATTTGTTTTGTCTGGTCCCTGGAGTGGTGTGAAAACCCTTAAACCATATATGTTTGTGCTGTCTGGTCCCTGGTATGGTGTGAAAACTTTCACTGTTTACAAACAAACATGGCGTTGCGGGATACACCCAACTCGCCTAAAGTCTGACTCGCCTAAAAAGATTTTGACCCGACTCGCCCAAAAAAATTTTGAGCGAACTACGGTCGGTTTTTGTATTTTAGAATAAGTATGTGACTATCAGAAATACATAGTAATGCATTTTATACACATAATGTACCTAAATGTTAGTGTTGTAGTCCCAATGGCGTAACCGACTGGGCTCTGACTCACTGACTCAACATGAAGTGCAGATGTAAATATGACAGAAGACAAATTCTATGGATGATACGTTGTTTTTTTAAATATTATTTCCATACTTGTGTATGAATATACTAGTAATTATGATCATTAGGCCTAACCTAAGTCATATTTGCCAAACGCATACCAAAATATTATATATATTTTTTAGGCGAGTCAGGTCAGATTTTTTTAGGCGAGTCGGGTGCAACTCGGCGTTGCCCTTTACATTCGGCGATCGAGTCAGAAATAACCATCGGGAATATGGATAAACTACAGGGATAACTGCTATCAAAAGAACAGTCTAATATACTGAAAATCAGTGTCTGTGACGAAGCTTAGGCATTTTATAACTTTTGGCAACTTTGGAGACAAATTTCAAAACAATTTTGCGAGGGCATTTGGTGGCCTAGCCAAGCGGGATCAGTAGCCATATCTGTGCTTGTTGACCTCGGCGGCTTGAAACCTTTTCCACAAATTAAAATAGTTGTGTTTGGCCGAAATATGTTTGAATTGTTACCTTGTTTCCTTTTGTCGCTTCTTAACGTGATGACAGGACAGGCCGACTGTCAACAACGTCTGAACGGGGCCCTGACGTCACAGAGACAAAGGTTAGAGTAGCTTCCCTTTGACAAAGGACAGTTACTCTTGCGGACAGACCGATGGATTGCCGCGAAAGGCAAGTAAAAACAGAAAATGTTGTTGTTTTGCGTATATGTTGCTTCGCCACTGTATAAGAAACAGTAACAGTAGCCAATATAGTTCCAACTGAAATCTGTCAGATTGACACATCCCTTACCCTGTGATACGTAATAAATATTAATGCGCGCATTCCAGGAAAATTCGCAAGGTTTCGGTAATGTTTGTGAGAGAAGGAAAGTGATTTTCAAGCACAGAATTACAGAATGAAATTATATGAAAAAGAGGTTATCACGCTTGTGTGTTTGGGGGATGGTAAATATCCTGTGGTACGCAGTGGAAGACTAAACTCAGATTAACTAAACATTGACTTACCTTGCAATCAACTAATACCCATCACCAGCCTGAAATGTTGACATCTTGACAACTCAAAATGGTCTCTGTCAGCTATTTATTATCGTTTCTAGCAGTTGGTAGTGTTTCTTTGTGAACTTCTACTTCAGACAGAGGTGAGGTGAAATGGGGTATAACTTAGCCTTCAAGATTATTGCACTCACAAAGCAATGTGAATGCACAGGCAGGGTGACAACAAGTACCATCTTGACGTATGAGTGAGTGAGTTGGGTTTAATGCCGCTTTTAACAGTATTCCAATTTTTTCACAGCATGTCAGTTTAATGTGGGAGGAAATCCCATAGTGATGCAGGTCTCAGATGTTTACCACTTTGGTGAAACCCACGAGCACAGTATCGTCTGACAAACCTAGAAATATAATCAGGGCTAACCGGATTCGAACCAACAATCATAGGTTTCCGGCGTGCCCAAGTGACACAACTCCGCACAGCGAATCAGGGTACTTTTGACGACTGGGTCACTCGTGCCCCCTATTAACGTAGGAAGTGACCAGGGATGTGACAGAAGCAGACAGCTCTGGGGATGTTTTGACCATGCATGAGGGTATAAAAACTCATTTTTTGGGAGACAGACTGCAGCCCACAAAAAGCTTTGCCTGGAACCCAAGGGGTATGACTTGGTAGTGCAGGGGCAAGGTCACCGGGGTAAATGTGACCCAAAATTGTAATGGGATAGGACAGGATCCAGGATTTGGGAAAAAGTGGGGTGCACACTTGCTACACTACAGGAAACATGAGGTATCCGAAAGGTGGATTAATAAACAAATAACAGACAGTGTAGATGTAAACATATTTATTACTATGAGTGCACATGATTACATGCAGCAAGATTGTTGAATGGCACAGGGTAGATTTAGCTTCAAGAGTATTTTTAAGACTGCACAAAACAGTAAACTGGAGGTAAAAATGCATAGCTTCCAGACATCCATTAACTCCTAGTAAATGGCTCTAAATCATGACTACATCAACACACAGGTAGAACCTGGTATTCACCAGGATCAGAAGGTGTCATGCTTGTTCCACACAAACAATATCAGTTACCAACTGCTGCAAGTGAACTGACAACAGGAACAAGAACATTCATATCTTATTGTAAACAAAAAACAATAAAAGCTTGTTTTGATGAGGGTGTGGTGGTGTGTGGTACTTGTGGATGGTGTTTGGACTTCTGTAGTTAGTGGTTGTGGGCATGCCGGGTTTAGTGTGTGGAGGTTGTTCCTGTTGCGTGATAGAGTCTTAATTGTGATGTGCGTCTTGCCATGCTTGTTGCACTGATTTTTGTAGTTGTAGTGGTACTTTCTGTGATGTTGGTGGTAGTTTGTGGGGTGTTGGTGTCAGTAGTGGTAGTTTGTGTGGTTTTGGTGGTAGTGGCAGATACTGTGGTGTTGGTGTCAATTGTGGTAGTTTCTGCAGTGTTGGTTTTGGTAGTTTCTGTGGTTGTTGTGATGGTTGTGAGTGTTGTAATGGTGGTGGAGGTGGTCGTCCAAGTTCTGTGGTTTCAGTAGTACTAGAAGCTTGTGTGTACCAGTTGTAAGATGCTTGTTCCCATTTTGGTTCACTCTACTGAGAACATTTTAGAGGCTTCAGATGGTTCACTCTACTGAGAACATTTTAGAGGCTTTAGATGGTTCACTCTACTGAGAACATTTCAGAGGCTTTAGATCAAAGTACAATCTGTGATATGCTTTACTTTGTATTTCTCTTGTCAATAAAACAACCAATGATTAACAAACAAATATCAGTAGCACAAATAACAATCAGGAAAACAAAGAACTAATGACAGTTAAAATTACAAAACAGACAGGAACAGAACCAACCAGTATTGGGATGGTAAAAAATACTCTTATTGTGCCAAGAAAACTCACTCAATGAAACATGAAGGGAAATCGTTGTCGTAAAAGACAAAATAGAATCGAAAACAAAACAAAACTGCATAGTTGAAATACTTCACAACACTGTAACAGTTACCAAGAGAGGTCAAGCATACATCGTAAGGGTATTACTTAGTAATGGGATGATACACTATTGCATCAGTGCATCGCGATTTTTTACTTCTCGATAGAAGTATCTATCACAATCACACACTAAGTAAGAAGTATCGATTCTTACCCTAAACACACTCTTTAATAAATGTTACACCCAACATTAATTCCTAGTGAAAATGAGTAGTAAAAATTTGAATATTGTGCAATACTTGACACTGCCAACTGTAAATCGTTAGTGTGCCAGGTATTTGGCCATCCTGTCAAGAAGAAAATGCACATGCATCGTGAGCAAGGTATCGTGAAACATCAGATTGCACAGTGGGTGTATCGTCCAAGCCCTAGCATTACTCTCTTCCTTCAGCTTATAATGCAGACCCGTGTCAACACAATGTCTTGTAGATATGCATTCTGGAAAGTGGGTACCATGCAGATTACGGAAGATGAGAAGCTGTCTGCTTTTGCAGGGAGAGAATGTGTCTCACTGTAAGATAATGCTCCAGCAATCGAGCACCTCTCATGTCCCATTTCATCAATTTGGTTCTGTCTTCAAGCAGACGGGCATAGAGAAAAATATAGATTACTGGTCGTAGCACATCCACCTTTGTTTGTATACCTGGATATTTTCCAATTGTAACACGGTAGCCATTTACAACCACCTGTTCTTTGATTATGACAGTAAAATATACCAAATTGATTATGACAGTTGTTTCACCATACCAATTTGGTATATTTTACAAACTACACCCATAAGCAACAGATTGAATAGATTCCTTTCCCAAAGTACCTGAGATATACACACATTCTTATTGATGTCTCATGTCTTCATACATTAAACATAGGTGGATAGGAGTCAAGCCATACTTTCAGGTTATGGAAAAGGGCAAGTTGTGAAGAATGATAGCTTCAGGTGATTGAACCAATCTCCCCCTGCAAAAATGTGGACCCTACCTCATGTATATTCATGAAGGTCACAAGGTCATGTTTGTATGGTACCAAGTACTGGCAAGTAGAGAGGTTCAACTTCAAGTATGGATATACATCATATGCATCAACTAAAACATGTACACAGTGTGTAAAATAACACTTTTGACCACATCTAGATCTGGATAAAGCCACCGGTAGGTACACCACAAGTCATAGAAGCACTGTTGTATAATGTAGATATTTTCCAATATTTAAAAAAAAGCACCAATATAAATGCAGTTCACTTAAAAACTCACATACAAATATGTAAAAAGAGTATATATCTGCATGTTCACCAAAGACACATTGACTATCTGTTTCCTGAGTAAGTTAATGTGCTACTATAACAGCAGGCTTCACTGCTGGAATGAGGACAAGAAGCAAGTAAAATACACATCGAGGAAGAATTTGTGGAGAACCTGTCATTGAATATACCACATACTACTCAGCAAATACTGGTCTACCAGATAAATGCCAGAAACCACTCATCAGGTCACTTAATTTTAAGATGATAATTTTGTTATACCCTTTAAAAATATTTAGTTGTACACCATTCTCAAATTATTTCTGAGCTACACATCAAAATTCCTTCTCAGCTAATTTTCAGTGCAGCAAATTATGTATATTCAATCAGACAAAATTGTGTTTATTCGGCAAATAGCCAAGCATGGTAGGAGTCACATATGTGCTGGTCAGGCCTGGCATGGAATGAGGAAATGACTTTTCAATGAGCATTACTGAGTTTAAGTCCTGTTTGTAGACATTCATTTAAAAAAACCCAATACAATCTAAAATTCCATACAATTTTCAAAATGTTGTATAAAATACAATTCTATAAAGAATACTAAACATTAGAATATCCTGATGTAAAAATGCCTGCTGTCTTGCATTGCCTGTCTGATCTAGTGAACACATAACAAGCTGAGAATTACCTCCTGATACCATTCCTCCAAATATCACCGAGTTACAATTCACTGGTCCAATGAGTGTATAATTCAAGTTGCCACAGAGCGTACGATTGTCCTATCAAAAGTTGACAGAAAATGCATCCCAATTAAGTGAAGGAGACACCCCCTCCCTCCCTCAGACATGTTTGTCCAACCTCGTACCCAAGCAGAACAAAATTGTGATACAACAGAAAACAAATAATGGCCTTAAAAAGAAAGAAAGACATTACGAATGTTCATTCAACAGTGTTCAAAGTGCTTTCATTTCAGTCTAGCTGCAAAAAAGCAACGTTATTTCCTTGGTGTCCAGACCCCAACTTCATACCTGTTGGACACTCTTCAGACAAATGAGACCCTGATTCTATACAATTGTCATGAAACAGGAGAAATTCCTGTAGCATACAGGACAAACAAATAAATAATTCGCCATAAATGATCTTCTGTCACACCTTCCATCCTTCCCTAACTTGACCACATCTTCTCTCATTCTCAACATAGTCCAAAAGTAATGCCTCAATTGGAGAAATCACAGCCTTACAAGATGTTCATCACTCTCACATTCTCACGCTCTCACGCTGTCAGCAGTCTTTCGAATCAAGTCAGCAGCACGCTGATGCGGCCTTCTTGGTTTTGACAGTTGGTTGATGGCTTTGGTAATTTTGACATCGTTCTTCCGCAGGTACAGTTGTGTTTCCTGCATCATCTGGTCGATCTTCTCTGGCCGGATCTCGTCCAGCAAGAAGTACTCGGACAGGTAGGGGTTGAACCTGTAGTATGTGTTCTGAGGTAGGAGATCGTGGAGGATGGAGTGGACAGCTGCAGCAGGAAGAGGATACATTAACATGAAGCCACTTTAACATTCATAATCAGGACTGTTATCTTACAATGATTTTTGTTTGTTGTAAGACCCCACGCTCAGTAATATTTAAAGCATTATCATGGCGGCCTATTAATATCTGAGCCTGGTCTAGAGAATCCAGTGATTGATATTGTGAGCAACAATCCACATCGACATGGTACGATGCTATCAACTAAGTCACTGAGTCTGACCACCAGATTCATTTGGTCACATGATGAACCTGGAATCCCTACAGTGAGTGAGGGAGTGAGGGAGCGAATGAGCCAGCGAGCTAGCAAACAAATGAATGAACAAGTGTCTAAATATGTCCGAAATATCCAATGGCCTGCAGGAATTTTGTCCAGGCAAACCAGTGGTTGAAAGCACTAATGCTAACCACAAAAAAGCATTAACTGTTCCATTGGCACCCAAATACAAGGAACTTGGAACCTTGTGTTGCATCACAAGCCTGTTTGTGTATCACTACAAATTAAAAAGTTGCAGCCTTAGCTGGCCTTACCTTCGGTGTCTGTGGCACTGTCCACGATTTTCATCACTTTGTCTTTGAGAGCGAGCTTAGAAGAAAGGAGTTCCATGGCAGGCTCGTATCGACCAGTGCCGATTGAAATAACACACTGAATTGACTCGTTGGGCCACAACAGTCGACCTTCATGAATGGCAATAGCTGTGGGATTGTTTGTCATGAGACCACCATCCTGGAAAGATAACAATCAGAAAATATATATTCAGGTCCTTGAAAGGTATTCTACATATTCGAGAAGCTGATGAAAGAGTGAGTGAGTGTTGTTCAGGGCCCCGTACCACAAAGCAATCTTAGCGCTATGGCTGTCGTACGCCTGTGTTGAGGTACGGGAGTTACGATAATCTTAGTGCTAAGATTGCTTTGTGGAACGGGAGGCTGAACAACAATAACTCACTCTGGTTTAGAACATATAGAATTGATGCAGTGAGCAATATTCCAGTTACATCAGGTGACCAATACAGAGTCAGAAAGCACAAGCTGAACACTGAATGCCTGATCTTCATTTAAGTCCTTTCTAGAAGGCTTGTACATGTAGTATGGGGTACTGCTACTACTGGGGATTTATTCAGACCCAGCTGGTTGTTAAAGACCACACTAAGCTAGTCCAGCCATAGAGCATATAGCCTGAACATTATCAAGTCAGGACCAGACATGTGCAACAATCCATACTCCAGGCCACCGGGATACAACAACACGCTACCAGCCAAGTCACTCAAGCCCTCACTGATCGTTTAGGTCCCCTTGTATGACAAGCATAGGTTGCTGAGGACCAATTCTAACCTGCATCCCATGGGCTGCTCTCCTCCTTCCATGCCTCATGGAATCACTGTCTAGAGGTAGGAATAACATACATCATGATACGTGTGTGATGGTTTTTTAGCACCTCCTGGGTTAGATGAGGGCCCCAGGAACTTAAGCTGGTCATAAGAGGCGACCAAATGAATCGGATGGTCAAGCTCGGTGACAAGGTTGATAGGGTGTCATCGTACCACAACAGTGAGGATTGTTCTCAATATCAATTCCAACTAGATAAGTGTTTGCATTACATGCAAAAACAGAAGCAGTCCCATCCCCACCTTTCCCTGAATGTCCCAAGCATTCCCCCAAGAGACATGTACCATGCACCGAACACGGACGTCCTTCACTGGGGCCACTCCTACAGCTACCAGTAGTAAAATTCTCCACTGACCTGATGGACATAGTCCCCATGCTTGAACTCCTCGAAGTAGCCTGGCGCTGCTGATGAAGCTCGGATCACCTCCCAGATGGAGTGCCTGCATCCGCCGGGGTAGCGAGAGTAAGACTGGGGTGGCAGGTTGTAGTTTCGAAATATGAAGTTCTTCAACTTTGGCACATTCATCAGAGTGGACATCCCTGAATACTGCAGAATACAAATTGTCAAATCTGTCAGTCTCTCTCTTCAAATCTTTGCATCAGATCTTTGCAACCACCTTGATTATCTAGTGTATTATATGTACATGCTATAATGATAAATACCCTGGATCCATGAGCAACAATAGATTCATTTGACTTCGATTCAAACAGCACAGGGAAAGAGCAAAAGCAAGCGTGAGGGAAATTCTGTGCTAATTTAGAGCTTCTACTAGACCAAATCAGAATCAGTCGTTCAACAAGTAGTTTTCGTAGAGAGCCTTCAGTGCAGATTCAATCAGCTGGCAGCTGTTATTGGATGATTTTGTGTAAGATTTTTATGTTTTTTTAATGTACAGTAATTAAAACTGACCATGTTTTTCAATTTTTAGTCCTGTCTTTTTTTAACATGATGAATTATGTTGAATGTGACCAGAGACATGTTCAAGCAAGTGGCATTTGGTGCAGAACTGGGGCTGATGTGCTTAACTTCCTGTATTTGGCAAAGGAGCTGGCTAAGCTAGGCAATTTTTTGGTTTTTATTGCTGTTTTAAGGCCAAACTGTGCACAAATGCACAATAGCACAATAGCTGTTGAATGCTTGGTTATTATTTTAAAAAATAAATCATTACTAAAGAAGTCTATGGAAAAACATTTGGTTGTGTGTAACCTATACATAGGAGCAACCAACATGTCCCTTCCTAAATGAAGCTAGGGTGGTCAATAAGTCCAGGGTATTTATCACAATAGATATATAATACCCTGGATAACCAAAGATGCCGTGCTACAGGATCTTAGAAGTATGCTTGTTTATATAACCTGATAGTCAAAGTACTAATCATTCTAACTGTGTGGAAGATGTCAAAGTGACAATGAGGATTTTATTAGCTGAAACTTCTGGTTAAGACTGCATAAATAAAACCCTTTCTGTGTAATGGAAAGCAAAAGAATTCTCACCTTTGGTAGTTGCTTGTCTTTGGCAAACTCAATCATCATCTGTTCCCCCAGTTCCTTCCTGTAAGGTACAAAACATACCTTCAGCATGTTTACTGGCATATAACTAGGATCCAAAACAATCGAAGAGACCAAGCCAAAAGTGTAACAACTTTCAACAATTCACTTACTGATCGACAGATTCTATACAAGTACCCGTAGCTAGCAATCAGTGTCGGTAAGGGTTGTATGCATAGAAACTATCACTTTCCCTTTGTGGGTAGTAATCTGTCATCAGATTGTTTCCTACTGTTTATCATTGGTTTATGTAAAGTGGCCATACCAACAATAAAGGGCGAGGTAGGATACCGGTCTCCTTTAAAAGTTTTTGGCACAGTGGAACTTTGTTTTCACAGTGCTCAATATTTAACAGACATGTTCAAATTGCTGAAAACTTGCCTCTTTCTTTCTCAAACTTGTAAGATTTGGACATTTAACATTTAAACGAGTGGAAAAGGCCTATTTTTCAAACTTTAAGAGAACATGTGAGCAAATTTTATCAACTTGTTCAAAAATGACCAAAATAATTAGACTTTTTAAAACATTTAAGCTCCTCTATACGTTGAGTCAATGTTGAACAAAGTGTAATTGAACACGTCTGATCAAATTCATTATGATTTCCAAAAGATTGGATCATTGTTCACATCCTGTAGGCCTAAAAGGACCCTTATACCTTGTGCTTTGATCTTGTTAAGTATTTCAAACGAAGTGTTCCAATTATCAGTGAGTATGGCTATACACTGCCTACAGCAATATTCTAGCAACATCATAACAAAGAACACTAGAAATGGGCTTCACCCAGTGTACCCATGTGAGAAACTGAACCTGTTACGAAAAAGAGACTCAGACACAACAAAAATATTTAAAAATATTATCTGCTTTTTCTAGGTACCCAAAAATGTACTTAATCATGTTAATCATGAGTGTATGATGTTGGGCCTGCAGTCTACATGTATAACACCGAGAAGCATTGAAAAGCATCCGTATCACGTTAACATAAAACATTGACCAGATCTAGATTATTCTCGATACAAACATCATCTTACTTGAGTATGTTCTCCCAAGCCTCGGTGTCGTAGAAAGCGTGACTCCAGACAAGTTTACTGGTTCCCAGGACCCTGTTCCTGGTGAACATCTGTTGACTGAAGTCCTTGTACAGGATTTCACACTCGTCCAGAGGAACGCGGTACAGGAACACCATGGCAGCGACCAGCGCCCCCGTGCTCACCCCGCATACATAGTCGAACATGTCCCGGATGTCTGTCTGGCAGGCTTCTTCAAGCTTCTTCAAGCACTCGATTGCAAGCAGACCCCTATAGAAACAATACACATTTGAGTGAGCGAGTTTGTTTCACTGCAACTTTGAGAAGTATTTCAGTTACATGTGTATATGAAGCACCTCTGCTTGAGGAAAGCTAATATTAGACATTTAACACTTTGGTGAAACCCATGAGAATGATGTTGACAAGTCAAGAAACAATAAGCATGATGAGGTAAACAGGATTCACATCACAGGTTTCTGCGACACCTGAGGGAAGTAATTTATCACAGCAAATTGTTGGACCTCAGATAATTGGGCATGTTGGGATACCAATGCCCCAGAAACAACATACAAGTGATTATTGAGACATGTTTACTAAAACCATAGGTACAGAAGCTCACCTTTATACAGTGATACAACATTTGAAGGGTGAGGTTGTGCCACACTAGCTATTTTAAATATCCAAGGATAATTGTGATGTCTATTTTTTTTAAATGACCTCATATCTTGTTTTCAGAAGGAAAAGTCAACAATAGTCTAAATGTTTATCTGGATAAAAGATATCCCTTCAAGAAGGAAGCCTTCTACACCAGTGGGATCCAGGCACTCCAGCATAATTGACAGGGCATTGGACTGGGTTATGTTAAAAACATAATTAGCAACCAACTCCCTAAACACAGTTCACCATAGTAAGTTTTCATTCAGTTTTCAACATATGGTTTACAGGTCATAACAGTATTAACACCACCCCAGGCACCAGACAGCACAATTGACAAACATATATGGTTTTTCAGATCATAACACCATACAAAGCCAAGAATCAACCGGGATGAATTGGGGTTTGAAACCACGACCATAGGATTCTGTCATGCCTAAGGGATGCAACTCTGCACAGCAAATTGTGGCACCTTAGACAGGTTAAAACACCCCATCTGGGACCACACAACACAAACAGACATGGCATAACACCATAAACACATATTTATTTCTTATCACCTGATATGCACATGGTTAAGGTTGCTTCATGCAATGAAGTGTCTACCACAGCTGACGATAAGATTGTATTGTGGAGAACGGCTTATTGGTAACATAACTCACATTACATCTATATCATGTTTTTTCATCCAAGTGTCATTTGTCTGGGGCCTGACATGACTGACAGTACCACAGCCAGCTGAGTCACCTGATGGGGCCAACATACAAGGTGTGAGTGAGTGAGTGATTTGGGTTTAAAGCCCCTTTTAACAATATTCCAGTAATATCACGCCATGTCAGCTAAATATGGGAGGGAAGACTGAAGTGATGCATGTCTCAGATGTTTACCACTTGGTTAAACCCACGAACATGGGTATGGTGTTGATAAAGAGTGAGTGAGTGAGTATGGTTTTACGCCACTTTAAGCAATATCACGGCGGGGGACACCAGAAAAGGGCTCCACACATTTTACCCATGTCGAGAATCGAACCCAGTTTTTAGAAGTGACGAGCGAACGTTTTAACCTCTAGGCTACCCGACCGCCATGTGTTGTTAATGAAACATAACCTCGACGAAGTGAGATTCAAACCCACAACACTAGGTTTCTGGTGTGCCCCAGGGGCGCAACTCTGCACAGCGAATTGAAGCACCTTAGAGAGAGAGCCCCCCCCCCCAAATACAAATAGGGGCTGTAAAGTAGGAGGACCTGCAATATACAAGGCCATAGTGAAGGGTTGACAGAGGGAACATCATACAAGAGAGGGGGACGGAGGTGGGGGAGGGATAAACTGTCATTTCAGCAGCTTTTTGAGGTGGAGATGAGGTGGGTTGTTGAGGAGCAAGTGAAATTTCAGTACATAATAGAGCTATGAAAACTAACATTTTGAGCATGGTTAGTCCACTAGTTCTTATAATGATCATGATGATAACATATACCAAAACCTTTAAAAATGGCAAATTTCTACTAGTCCTTATCCTACCTTAACTATTGTTAACTATTGGGCAGTTTGGCAAGGAGTACAGGCAGTAGGACAGATGTTGATTTCTATTGCTAAAAAGGTATTGCTGAAGTCCTCATATTATATGACAAAGGCTATCTCTCGGAGCCATGACAGTCATATTTTCTCCATTGTCAAATTCAAAGTTATGGTAGCAAGATGGTCTGAAGTATTTATCAAAATAGAATGGCAATATAATACACTTGATAATGGAGGATGAACTAACTTAAGTTTTGGTGCCGCTTCACTCACCTGGTTCCCCCTCCATCGATGGTCAGCATCCGGATTCCCTGTCCCTTCACCGGGTCCACATAGCCAATCTGAACCAATGCCTGGTTCGCCTGGCATGACAATGCCTCATCCTGGCTACCTCGAAACTTCAACAGGTAGGGCACGACTTTGTCCTGAAACAATGACACAACAGCGAGTAAGAAAATTGGGGATCAAAACACTTCAGAAAGAATTTTAGATACATCATAGTGCACGGTAATGTGGAGGAATGCAAAGTGCCCACAGTGGCTCCTCCTCAATCCAGTGCACTGTATCTCCATTCTGTTATGCAGTGTTAGAAATTAGAACTAGTCCTGTAGTCCTTGCCAAACTGCCCAATGGTTAACATGGTTAAGGTATCCCAAGGACTAGGAGAAATTTGCCATTTTGAAGGGTTTTGCTATATGCTATCATCGTAAGGACTAGTGGATTAAACATGTTAGTTTCTACCGCTGTTTTGATATCTACACTGGACCCATTCACAACCATAGACTCGACTAGGAAGTAACGTCGCTGTCTCCAATTACTAAGGACTAATTTTCTCTCGCTCATGAGTTGGAAATGAACAACCAATCGACAATGATCGAAAATTCATCTTCTGTAATCAAATGAGAAGACTATCAATTAACTTTAAGCTAGAAAACATACCCGAGGAAGAAAGTCTAAAGATGAGTACTGCTACTTGTTTCACTCACCAAAGGACAGTTCTGTTTTGACTGGATGCTTCTAATTTAGCATTGTGTCATTCAAAGCTGAGTTGTCAAATCCCCGGGGTATTTATCCTAACAGAATTGTGAATATAAGACACTGTATAATGGAGGATGGCAACTAAACTAGTAGACATTTATCATGTTTACAATGCATTAACACAAACCCAACCACTTACAGTAATAGTAGCACCAGCTGTTACTGAATATCAAATGTGTCAAAAGAATTTGTTTCCTGGTGCAACACTACAACAGAATATGACATTGTCAGGTGCCCTGTCATTCCTATTGAATATGATCAGTGTATGCCAAAACGTTTTACGTCTACTAGCCTAAGAAATTTTTGCATTATTTTCAGTAGATTTTAGTCTTAGCATATGGACTAGCATAGGCGTATTTTACTAGACCATGTACATGATGTAGACTAGAAGAAATCTCACTAGACTCTGGCTTCAGACCAGTGGCTAAGGTCACAGACTGCATGATGAGTATAGTCTTCATCATGTTCATGTATCCTACTGCGACCTTACTGTCGGGATATGATCAATATCGCAACAAAGTTCCACCGCCCTTACATGGTAGTTGACAACCCCAGTAAATATGGCAAAGCATTCATTTCTGCACTTTGTTTGTTTGTTGTTTAACGCCGCACCCACCAATATTCCAGCTATAGGATGGCAGTCTGTAAATCCAGACAATCCAGTGATTGACATCATGAGCATCAAGCTACGCAATAGGGATATCATGACATGTATCAACCAAGTCAACAAGCCTGACCACACGATCCTGTCAGTCGCCTCTTACAACAAGCATAGTCGCCTCTTACGGCAAGCATGGGTTCCTGAAGACCTATTCTACCCTGGATCTTCACGGGTTCAGTGGTACTGGAAGTGATAAGCAGATGTAATACCTTCAGGGCACAGCTAACATTCTCTGTGAGTCCTATTTGACACAATGGATGTTGGAATGATTGCAAGTTGCAACTAACTAAAACGAAACACTTACATTAGATTTACCTGACATCTCTGTCCTGATTAGCATAAGAAAAAGAATCAATGTTCAGACAGTCCAGGTAAGATTTCCTTCCCTCAACCACTAAGTTTCGATTCAAACAAGGAAGTCCCCATCTATAATAAGCGTAAGGCATCACCCATCTTTGTATTGTATTTGCTGTTACCATTGTTACAGTGGCAAACCATGGACCCCCTTATAAAGCCTGTGAATCTGTAAGCCCCAACAATGTATTAACAAGAGTCCTCAGGACCAAGGTAAACAATGATTAAAACCTCTGTACCTTGGTAGCTGTAAATCTTGCGTTTGGGTACTGAAGGATATGTCTGCAAAAGTCCTCCGTCCTGCGTAACTTTGACTGTAATGTAGACGCAGTTTTGATTCCTTCTACGAGTGCTCGTGTCCGACTGTCTATTGCAGTTTTTGAAACAAAATCTCTCTGCACCAGTGGCTTCTTTTTAACCACAGACGATGAGTCATCCGGATCTTTGACAGCTTTGTTAACAGGCCACACATTTTTGAAAATACTTGTCATGAGATCATCTTCATTAACTGTCTTTGCTTTGACACCAGGTTTGTTTAGAGAGTTAGGGTCAGTAGTATCTAAAGTGTCATAAAATTTCACTATACTTTCATTTGTGTCTTGCATTGCTCTTTCAAATGATTGTTGCTCCTTTGTCACTGGGTCCTTAAGTTCATGTGCCATCATCTTGTGTTTAACCCGTTTCTCCAAGTTTTTTAACTGGGCTTTCTGTTCCTCTATACTTTCTTGTAAATCCTTCTCAACTTTTTCTCTCAACTTGGTAGGAAATGGAACATACTTCTGAAATTCATCAGCAAATCTGGTTGGAACAACAGCATTCATCAAGCCTACATTTGACAAACTGCTTGCAATATTGTCTTTAACCTTCTCCAAATACTTGATTTGTTCTTTTAGTGAATCCATATATGATTTGGTTTTGGTTTCTTTTTTGTGATTTTCATCTTTCTGATCACCGTTCTTACTGTCTGTGTGGTTGTGGTATATCTGTTGCATTGTGCTCATTTCCTGACATCCACAAAGTGTATCATTCCCTCGACGCCACCGGTCAGGCGATGCTGTCCTCCATCGTCCACTAGCACTGACCTGGCCAGGAGGCGGAGTTAGCAGACGAACACAGGCAGATGCTGAGTTCCTTAAACTTGCCATAGTGTACCAACAATTCTAACAACCTGCAAAAGGATGAAAAATAACAGTATGATATTACAATTAATATCTGCTAATAAAGAAAATCTTTAACACTGATTATATATCAACATGGACAGGGTAGGACTCAAATGTAATATCACAGTTTTCTACTCCGACAAAACCTCTGCATGAATATCTAACAAATCCTCAATTCAGAATTTTCTAACTTAACCACTGAACGAAAGCTCTCTGTTAATGTTAACACAGAAATACTTAATTATTTTTATCCCCCACTCCCCATCTGATCTAAGTTAAAGCGAAACCTTCAGAGCATCACATCTGGACAGAGGGATGTATTGAATAAGAGAAAAGATCTTCTTTTTTTGCAGCTCTGTTCAGTAACATTGTATCAGTAATCTATTATATGGTCTCTGATGTAAGGTAATGGACAAATGTAATGCATTAACCATGTTAAACATATAGCCCGATACTTAGCCGAGAGCCGCGATGGGGTCGCTAGGACCCGATATCTAACATGAGTCAGGGACCTGGGGACAAAAATAATGAATACTGATTCACCGGTCACTAACTTCTGAAAACATCTGCTGTCGACATCCATGTGGAAGTTACGTCACATCTCACACGTCTAACATGACAGTTTTACTTATATTCAGCCCATTGTCATGTCAATCGTAGTGTATTCATTTCTCAATCTAATAGTATTTTAACAGGAACTGTTTCTGAGACCATCTAAGTCGTATGAAACAAGAATCTCTGAAATATGACACAAGCTTATGTTTGGTCATGAACAAATATGATGAAGACAGAACTATATGATTAGATCTAAAAATCTACATGTACTGACATCACATCTGATATGATTAAAGAATCAAGGTCTTAAGTCTTCTAAACCACTAAAGTAAACATTCTCACCTTGACTGCTGAAGATTGCACTTATATTCAGTACCGTCACCCGTGGAGCTGAAATACTCTATGTTGATATTTTGAGTCGGGAAATCATGCCATGGCTAAAATGAGACTACTTCTTCAAAACTACCTCCAAATCAATTAAACATTTGCCCTTAATATGTGATTCAAGAGTATAATTTACCGTTGTTATATAATATAAAAACATATATGTAATAAAGAGTATATATATGACTTGAATAAAAGCAACCAAAATAAAAACATCTATTTATATATTGCTTTATTCTACATAATATAAGTAGTGGTGCAGATAATAGCATACCATTTACAAACCGCAAAATGACAACATTCTGGCGTGATAAACAGCGATTACAAGGCAGTTTCTGATTGGTCGAAATCAGGTCAGCCGCAAAATGGGTTGAAGATACTGTGCTGTATCTAAACCTCTCATTAGCGTACGCAAACTGAAACTGTTGCAGTAAGCGTTTATTTTAATGTAGAAGAATATTTTAATCAAGTTAAATATGACATTTTGTAAAACGTTGTGGGGCAAAAGTTAAAAATATAGTTTAATGAATATGCATGAGAGACAACGCCTTCTTTAGTAGGCCAATGGGACTAGGCCTTGCTAATGTTTATATCCGTAGGAGACACGTGTGGAACTTGTTACTAGACAAACAGTTGTTGCCTATGGGTTTGGCCTTGAGAAAGCGTGTTATCGTGTGAATAACATGAACCAGTAATGCCGATAACCTCATTCAAACAGATAGCACCAGTAATAATAGCAGACCGTTAGTCAATATTGTTGTACAGCCACCATAGATCAATCATAAACAAATAAGCCCCAGCATTTTATTCAATATCAGTTCGGCAACACACATTGTAGTGTTGTTGTTGTTGGTTTGTTGTAATTGGATTGTTGTGTCGCCATTAAAAGATAACAAGTAACTTCCAAGTAGTAATTATCATTTCCATTCGTTTGAAATCGTTTGCCGACTGTCAGACTGGCGATATATAAATGTCAGTCAACTCAATCAGTATCTATTTGCAATACTCAAACACCAGTCAGCACAAGGAAAACATTCTGGTCAACGTATCTCATTTGTTCCCAATGCGTGTTTGTTTGTTTGTTGAGCACTCACCAATATCCCAGCTAAATGACGTACGGCGGTCTGTAAAATAATCGACCAGACAATCCAGTGATTGTGCATCATGAGCATCGATCCACGCAATTGAAATACGATGACATGAATCAACCAAGTCAGTGAGCCTGACCACCCGATCCCATTAGTCACCTCTTACGACAAGCATAGTCGCCTTTTACGGCAAGCATGGGTTAAATTGCTGAAGACCTATTCTACCCCAGATCTTCACGGGTCCCACTGTAAGTGTATACATATATATTGTATAGGGTTATCCAGCTGCAAACCGACCATGGTGTTTCTAAGGGAACTATGACCAAACAAGTTGTAAAGAAAATTATTTAAAAAAAACAGTGTCTAAAACAGCAGTTTTACAGTAGGTCGGGTACGTGCTTTCCTGTCACACACGACTTCGTTTTTTGATTGACAGCAACATAATATCGGTGAGTCGATAAGAAACTCGATCAACAACGACACCCTTTGTTCCGTGTCAGTCACCTGTAATCCGCTAATTAACTGCAATAATAACAAATCAACCACTGGCGTCATAGCGTTCCAGGCTATTGTCATAAACAATTACTCATTCATCCGGGTACCCTGGGTCATCGGAGTCGGCAACATATTCATTCAGACAGACAGTAATCATAAACCGCGTACGCTCTGAGTCAGTATGCCATTCATAGATGAGCAAACCACGGCGTGTTATGTACGACCGTGTTCACTCGTTGTGGTGCGCATGTCACACTATTCCACAATCGCTGTGCGCTCTGCCCTCATTACCGACCCGACCTACTTCTAGACCAATCTGAAAACAATCCTTTAAGCGCCTCCTACTAATGATCGAAAATGTTCGCGAGAGTCCGCGTGTTCTTGCCCATTCGTGACTAACTCGTGTTATTCCGGGACGAGGGTTACGGAAAGGTACGAGTGGTGACGAATGGTTCTTGTCAACATTAAGATTTCTGTTACAGAACACAGAAGGGTAGAAGGGGTGTAGAATTGTGTACTAACTATTATGAAGAGGTTTTCGTTTCATCCACTTCCAACTGTTTGTTCGCTACAGCTGGATCTCTGACAAGATATTTGCTTACTGTTTATGGTTCTAAGCGCCCGAGGTGCCTATTACAGTGAATACATTATTCTATAGAACACGTCACGCAATCTGACATAAAGGAAAGGTTCTGTCACCCACCCCCTTAAATTTGTAGGTGCCGAGGGTGTTTTCTTCATAAAAGAGAGTTGAGATGTTTTTTACGTCACATTTCAAATTCAAGCTATGGAAAGAATGTTAAAATTTCATCGCTGTTCACTGAACCATATATAATAACTGTTACAGATGTAGAAGATATGAAAAAAACAGTATAGTATAGCTTTTATAGAAAAGAAAAGACTCTTTTTTTACCACGCCATGCGTGTAGTTTTCTCCAAATTGACAGGAAACAGGTCAACTTGACAAGCTTGTACTCACAGCTGCTGGGGGAATATACTTTTCAATTACCAGGATTGTGGATGAGGGACCCAAATAGCATAACTTCTACGTAAATTGACGAACAAAAGAAAGGTTACCAAACTGAAAGTTGGACACGTTAGGTCCAAACCCCGAGGTGTTACAAAATGGTTGAGAATCAATTGCCCAAACACAACCAAAACCATTTGCTGTGTATAATGCACATGCTACACAACACCCAGATCACTGGAACTTTAGTTTGAAGTGAAACCTACACAGATATGGGTACAATAGGAACATGTACTGTTCATTCACACCCAAACCATGTTGGCAAATGACATGCCAAGATAAACGCTACATTAGAGAAACAAGCTGTTGGTAAGTGATACATCCCCGGTGGTGTCACAACAACAGACGTTAAGATGATACTTGTTGTCCTGCCTGGTGCTAGGGATTAAGGGATGAGACAAGGACTAGTCGGCTCGGAGTCTCTCTCTCTCTCACTCTCTCTCACTCACACACACACACACACACACACACACACACACACACACACACAGTCACTGAGACTTGGTGATGCGGCTTATGTGGAGGGGGACCCTTCACAGCCAGACTCAAGGCACACGATGTAAGTACAGCTTCATTGTGTTCATGAAAGACTTTTTCAATTTGATGTGTAGTGCATCGAAAGTCTGCCGGGAGAATGGAAGGTCTGTCATACCAACAGACTTTAAAAGATGGTACTTGATGTTACCCTGCCTGGTAACCGAAAATAAGGGGCCGAAACAAGGACTAGTCAGCTCAGAGTCAAAATACGGTGTCTGAGTGGGGTATCCATGTTATGGCTGTGGCATTGTATCTCAATGAGCTAGCACAATAAAACCCACATTATACACACACATGCATGCACGTTACACTATTAGTAAAATTATTGGGGCACGGGTGGCCCAGTCGTCTAAGGCGCCGCAATTCGCTCTGCAGAGTTGCGTCCCTTGGACACACCAGAAACCTATGATTGTGGGTTCGAATCCCGGTTCGCCCCGATTATGTTTCTAGGTTTGTCAGCACCATACCCGTGCTCGTGGGTTTCACCGCAGTGGTAAACGTCTGAGACCTGCATCACTTCGGGATTTCCTCCCACATTAAGCTGACACGCTGTGATATAACCGGAATACTGTTACAAGCGGCGTTAAACCAAACTCACTCACTCACTAGTAAAATAATTTCTAACGCGACGTCAAGCCCCATTTCGCCTCGCCTCACATTGACCGTCAAATTCGAGCATGGCCAGGTCGCCCTCATATAACAGGGATTTTGCAGTTGGCAAAGGCCTTCCAAGAAGAATGGCGTCGAATCCCATGTCTTGTGAGAACAAGTCTCACATCTGCCCGTGTTTCAGGAGCTAATTTCAGTCGTGATAGATTACCGAGCAACTGACTCTATTCTTCAAGTGTGTTTTTTACGCCTCTTGTAGCGATAATTCCAGCAATATCGCGGCGTGGGACACCAGAAATGAGCTTCACACATTGTACCCATGTGGGGTATCGAACCCGGGCCTTCGGCGTGACGAGCGAACGCTTTAACCACTTGGCTACCCCACCGCCCCTCCATCCTCCAAGATGTGGACCCAGTACCTTCATTTTTGTTCTGGGTAGAACTTGTTATGATGTTAATTGGTGTCTTTTGACAATACAAGTATATCCTTTGACATTGGCCCTGTTCTGTTTTAAGGAACAAACAATGCTCGTTGGTAAAGTTTATTTTTCTTGCAGTTTAGGTTATTGCAATAAACCCTTTTATATTTATATATGTTGATGTTGTATTTGTTTTCCAAATAAGTGTAAATGATGTTAATGGGCATTTTACATCACAGTCAACAGCTGTTTCAGTCATAACACAGCGGAACAAGTGGAATTAATAACCTTGTCCATTGAGAAAAACAAAGTGACTTGCATGATATGGCTTCTTGAAATGAAAGAGTTGAAATGGTTATTAATATATACACACAAAAAAGAAAACAGTAAAGCACTCCCTGTATATTTTACAAGGACTGGTCGTACGAGTGCTGGCATTGAAACTTTGCTAACATATCCTTTTCAGAAGACACCTCTTACATTAAGAAAACATAAAAAAGATTTATCCTGTTTTGAGATTTTAATCATGATTCTAACAAAAACTGTATTTGTGCAATCATGATTGATGATGAAAAATGTCGTTTTCTGTCCAACGATGACATTCATGACACAAATCATAAACCCGCCACGTGCCCGGATGACAGATTCCAGCCTTCGTCTTTTCCCTCTAGTAAGTCGTCTGATCTGCCGAATGGGCAACTGCAGCCATTCCCGATGAAGAGCTGCCTCCAATTGCCTGTATTCCCATTCGACGCCCCAAGATGTCCCAAATGCTCCAGTGGGTTGAGGTCAGGACTTATGGTTGGCCACGGCAGTGTCGCCTCAGCGTCGTTCTGGTGTAAAGCTGTTACTGCTCGGGAACGATTTGGCCTAGCATTGTCATCCATATACACAGGTCGGGTGGCGTGTGGGTGGTTGTCGAAATGCGGCACAAATGGTTGCAGGGCGTTACGAATGTACCGATTACCATTGAGGTTTCCTTGGATGGTGATAAGATCCAGCTTACAATCGTGTGATAGGCCACCCCAAACCATTACCGAACCTCCACCACACGGTGTCGTAGGCCTGGGCATGTAGGCCATATTTTATTTGCCCCCATAACCCTTAATCGGTCATTCGTGACATGGACCAGGAGCCTGCTCTCACCGGACCAATGGACTCTTTGCCAAGTCCTCAGATTCCAAGCTATTCGGGCCAAACACCATGCTAAACGAATCGGCAAGGAAGGGACGTTTGATTACCCTTCTGGACTTCATATCCGCCGATTTCAGTCGACTCCCACTGTTCTGGATGACGTCCGTCTATTGAGTAACCATTGGCGCTTCAGAACAGGAGATGTTGCAAATGGTTGACGACGTACAAGCCGAAGCAGGACCCTCGCGCCTTTCTGACCGAGGAAGATCCTGTACAGCATTGGTGTGCCGTGTCTTCGTACCAGTCTGCTGATTACGGCTTAGTGTTTGTTTGTTGGTTGTTTAACGCTGCACTCAGCAATATCCCAGCTATACGACGGCGGTCTGTAAATAATCGAGTCTGAACCAGACAATCCAATAATTGGCATCATGAGCATCGATCCACGTAATTCGGATACGATGATATGCATCAACCAAGTCAGCGTGCCTGACGGGTATTATGATACCCTAGTTGACGACCTATGCTTTTGTAGGTCATGCTTGTCGAATACATACCAGTAATACGCCATCTTTGCTCCTCTGATAACCCTTTTGTTGCCATGTTCACAGATAATGCTTCAACAATGCAAGACAGTTAAATACACACTATTGTGGTGTGCAGATGCTGCATTTTGAAAAATGCATGGGTAGCAAGCATCCTGCACGTGCATGTCGTACTGCGATGTGTCGTCACGTTTGCCATTGTACTGTCCTATCATTTCGACGGAACACCATTCTTGACATATTCATCACGAAGTTTGCAGTTTTTGCGAATGAGGATAGTTCAGTATTAATTATTTCAAGGGGTGCTTAACTTTTTATCTTTGTGTTTACATTGTACAACCACACTGTCTCTCATGCTCCTGTCGCTGTCAAAGATTATGGCTTTGCTTACGAAATACTCTGTGTGTGACATCAGTATTATATATTCGTGAAAAGCATAAAATAATTTTATAATAATACTTCCCTAACAAACCAGTTATAAGAAGCTGCCATAATGTCAAATCCAATGGTGAAACAAAACTAGTATGTGTCACATGGCTCAGACATTTCCAAAAGAAGCAAATCATAAATGGCCCTACCATGTGATATTGGCTCGCTGGACATGCATGATTAAATGAAAATGTGTCGTGAAAAGGAAAAAAAACAACAACAAATGTTCGCCTCCACCTGGCTTAGATACAAATGCGATCTTTTGAACCAGGGACCGAAACGAAATCCTGTCAAACAATTACATTAACGATCAAGTCGATGTGTTTTGATACCTCAACAGCAGGGGGAAAATCGATAATATTTTAATCAGCGCAATAGTTTCCATATTCGATCGGATATATATGAACACACACTAAAATATATACAGGCAACCCATTACCATTTTAACTGTTATTAAACATAAATATATTTTATTTCCTTTTCATCGTAAAACATTATTGGTTTAGAGACTAACCTTCAAGCGTTTATTATTGTAATATTTCCCGTCAACACAGCAGTTCGAGTGAGAGTAACGAGTTGCACTTCATTATTTGTGTATTTATTCAAGTTTGACCTCGATTATCTAGTGGAGATATGAATAATCAAGGATGGATGGTTCCACGTAAATGTGACTTAAAATTTCGACCCCGGACGAGCCCCACATTTCTGTCACGTGTCGACTTCCAAATTGAAACAATAAATTAATCCAGAAATCTATGCCCCTTGATGACTTCAGATCTTTTGTACACTTATAATGTTCGCCCAAAAGTCTTTAATAATATAAATATTACATATGTGTGTGATTTCAAAACTATTTGCCCATGGTGACTTCACAGGAAGTCGTTATTGGTCAGTAAATAATATCACAATCTCCCTATATATATTCTTTACTTTGATATAGGGGATATGTATTTTTATTTGCTGATCAATAACGAGTTCCTGTGGATGAGTTGTAGACACCAGACACTGCTTCGGGGTGTTTTTAGGTTTTCCATCGCAGATTCACCTTGTAAACGCTGGGCTAAAAGTCAGCAACAGCGGGATAGAGTAAATACACTCTGAATATCCTTAATCGTTAGTTTACTCTGTATAATAACTTCAAGATATCACATCACCAGGCTCGCGTCGGCTGCCTCCACTGCTACATTGCTGTCATCTCGTCGTTGTTAGATCCAAGGTTATAAGGAAGGACAACTTGCAGAAAATTCGTTTAAGGTTTCTATCTCTTTTAAGGTTTCTATCTCCTAAACCATGTTTATGGACGTGGGAAGTGAGACGCGAAGGAGAGCTTTCGAGCTTTCCATCTTTCCAAAAGGGAGTACAGAAGTAAGAACTTGGAAGCGGTGTTGAGCTTTCAATCGTCCATATTTCAAAACAGATTTCGAAACTGAGGAGTAGGAAGCGGAGATAAACTTTTAACTATAACTAACGCGAAATAACCGAACAAGATACTGATGTCATTGTTTCCGTGTGATAAAAAGGGGACAGCAGTTGTTTTTTACCTCGAGTATCAACTTGCCTGTAAAATAAGCTTGACATAGGTTTGCGGAATGGTTCGTGTTTGTAATGGATACATTTTAACTCTAACCCACGACAGCACTCAACTAAAAGACAACGAACGAAACGTGGGCGGCCATATTAAAATACAGTAATTCCCTGAATAAGCAACGAGATGGTTTTCTTTCAAAGGCCAGAACTAAGGTCCTAGTGGGAATTTTGTGTTAGAAAGGTCCCCAGCAACCTAAGATTAATTGTCGTAAGAGACTTAGTTGATCGCGTGTCATCGAATCCTGATGGCGTGGATCTTTACTCATAACATTGTATGATGAATCACAGAATTGTCTGGTCCAGACAGTTGTTTACACGCAGAAGTCATGTAAGTGGAATATTGCTGAATGGCGCTTTAAACTACACACATATACTACTATTAGACCAGGCATCTGCGCATCAAGCACTTTCAAAAGTTTGTTTCAAAAGTACTTTTCTCCCATCTCTTTTCCACTTCTTGTCTCGTTGCCTTGGTTTCTTTGTTTAACAGTGTGTGTATTTGGCGATTCGGCGCTGAAATTTCACTTACAAGTGAAGAAATATACATCAACAATTTTCGAATGTGGACATGCTGTCATCATTTTCAGTTCCACGTTTGGCTTGAATTAAAATCAAAGCCAATGCTTTCCCTATGGGCGGCCATTCGGTCAAAAAATACAAAGTTGAAAAAAGGACAAAAGTACACAATAAAGGTCAAATATTACGAATAAAGAACTTAATGTTACTAATAAAGGTCAAAATACAAAACAATGAGACGCCGGTGAATCAAATTCAAAGTTGAAATAACGTTATCAAAAGTACGTAATATTAATTGATCTAGTCAAATGTTACGAAAAGATATGTATATATATGTGTGTGTGTGTGTGTGTGTGTGTGTGTGACGTCAGACGGTGAGTGCACGAGGAGTGACGAAATACATTGTGCACCTCGGCATCCATATGCAGTTATCATTTACACGGCGGAACAAGCCGATTAACAGTACCATCTGGCGTTCTTTATTGTAAACGTCCTTTCGTGCTCACTGACGTTTTTTCGAACACATTGTTCTTTATTATCCTATGACGTCTTTTCGTAAAATTTGACTAGATCAATTAATATTAATACTTTCAACCTTTGTTTCAACTTTGTATTTGTTTAACCTGCGTCTCTTTGTTTTGTATTTTGACCTTTATTAGTAACACTTAGTTCTTTATTCGTAATATTTGACCGTTATTGTGTACTTTTGTCCTTTTTTTGGTATTTTTTGACCGAATGGCCGCCCATATTTCCTGCCACTGTGACTGAGTAAAATATGTGTATATTGTACGTCCGTTTCAGTTACTTTTGTGATAGGTCAACATAAACTATAAAAACAAAAGGTGAAGCAGGTTTTAATGTGTTCAAGATAACGTCACACACATAGTGACGTGCATGCAGGTGCGTGGCTGTTAGTCCCGACTGATGCTGGTTTTATAGTGTTATCCCACTGTGATACCGCATACAGAACACAATGTCACACAATGTTCTGACTTGGAGCTGACCAGTCTTTGTTGAATCCTCTTTATCCCCAGGCAGAGAAACAACACATTCATAAGCAAGAAGATTTTGTAATATAAAAATTTATTATACAGTTATTTTACAATTGTGCAATTCTATCAAACATAGAATTATGTAAATAAATACAAATAACATCACAGAAATACATGATTTGTTCAACATGTAACAATGGCACATGGCAACGGTTATGGATGGAATGCACTGATATAATATATACACACAACTTGTCATCATACAGAGATATCATCCAACACAAGCAGTCCTTGGGGGCAAACCATTCATGGGGAAGTTGTGATTTTTGTTTGAGACAGGATATTTTTAAAAATTTCTACAAGACTTTTTAAACTTTTTCACAACACATTGTTTTCAAGACATCAGCATGTTCAGAACAATTACAATTTCCAGTATCTTGTTTAACCTATTACATGCCCTGCTCCAATAAGTGTCCCTTACGCACTTCTAAGCCAATCTGTAAGTAACTTTTCTATGGTCCCCTAACTAAGACCAAAGATTGTCATGGAGCCTATGTTAAAGAATAGAGATACAGTAGTCTTAACACTGAGATCCATTTGAGCAAGTCGGTCCAGGTAGGTCTGAACACACACCTTGATTCTGGTCTCTGGAATAACTGCCAGCTTACAGCATGGATTGTCAATAGTTTGTTGAGACAATTTCATTGCCCTACTCCTACAATTGTTACTTTACAAACTAACTATTGCCTAATTAGGGTGGGATTTCCACAGATCCATATTTCAAAACCTCTTGTGCAAGGGACATATTGCATGTTGAAGTATTGGGGTTATAAAAATGGTAGTACCAAGATTATTTTCTTGAATATGGTCCAGCAACAAATTACAGAAAACAATCCTATCCCAATGACACCGAACTCCTTGACTTGGCTATGAGACTGCTTTGTGCAAGACCCAGGCCCTAAGACACTGCTGTTACCAACAGCCCCACACTAACATACAATATGTCGTTTAAGGGTCTAGAGGGTTGGTACAGTTACACACTGAAATGTAAACTTACATTTTGACAAGATTCCATTCAGATATGTTTAGTACTCAATCGCATTGAGAGCAAAGTTTTCGCCAAATCCTGAGAACACAGATTAAACATTACAATCAGATCTCAGAGAGTGTCAACACTGACATATGATAAAACAATGTTGAAAATTCATCCTGATCTCTTGATCTATTTCAACTTCTTATCAGTAAAAGGTAACTATTGCTAATAGTTACCCATCCTGCTGAAAGACAGACTCCAAAACTGGCTAAATGTTTCTTGCCATGCCAGTGACTGCACAGTACATCTCAACACTGATATGGACGGTAGGTGTTTCTCTGTTGCTGGGTTTCTGGCAGTATGCTACACAATGTCTTCAGTCTTCCAGCTGGGTGCGGCAGAAGGGACAGAACCCCTTCTGCAGATACTGCTGCTCAAAGTCATCAGTGTGGAATAACTGGAGAGAGAAGCACAGGAAATGAGAAGCAATTATCAAGGTTCAAAACTAAGTGAACGAAGGCAAACCGGGAACAACATGTTACTTTGTTCAAAAATGTATCTTTTGGAGTAAAAATATTATTTATACTTATCCTGACTCATACTTATTGCTCATGCTTTTGAGTCAGGATAAGATAAAATTTGCGATTTTTAAAAGTTATTTCTTCATTTCAGTGGTACTTAAAGGGCAAGTTCACACGGAAATGAACCAATTTTTCTTGTACTTTTTCCACATTAAAAGAGTTAACATAGAAGTGTCATAGACAAAAATATAAAAATATCATATTTAATTAACATATTTTTTGCATTAAAACGATTTATATTTTTCACATTTACCAAGTGTTCTATTTCCATAACAAAAACACCATGGCTTATGCCCCTTGCAATATGACGTCATTGGTGCCAATTGATAAACATTATGACGTCATCATGCTTTGTTAGAGCCGCTTCACGTGGTGTAGGTACAGTTTTGTGATTCTAGCGTCTCAGATGCCAGCCAGAATTGTGTTATGCTGAGTCACCACTGTGCCAGAGTGTGTCGTAGACCATGTTGTTTTACCGCAAACTGGTCCTTGATATCTTTTGCGTTGAGAATAGACAGGGACTCAGTTGAATTGGCACCAATTACGTCATAATCTAAGGGGGATAACTCAGGCCTATTTCGCTCGTAAAAAGAAGGCCTCATAACGACATATCATTTTAACACTATTGTGAGCTTCCTACTTTCACTGTGAAAAAAAATGAGCGTATATTTTCAAACACAGATACTAACTAATTCTAAAATTGCGTTTTGTTTAGAAAAAGAAAGAAAGTGATTTTTGCGTGTACACTTCCCCTTTAACATTGTATTTAACACTGCATTCACGAAGCATGAAAGCCTTTTCCTTTTTATTGGCCCTGATATTAGTGAAATACAGGTCACTTCAACAAAGCTTACTAGGTTAAAGTTTACTAAGATGGAATGTGAATTTGTACTGACAGAGGTTTGAATATTTGCTTCTGGACAGGTCTAGATAAATCCTTAGAGAGGGATTACGTCTCAACACAAAGCTTTGAGTGGTATTTCAGTCCTATCTGAGCATGTCAGTTCCGTATAGAAGGAAAGTGTTACACGGCACATGAGGGAAGGTTTTCTATTCCCACAGATTACACAACATAATTTTCAGTTGAAAGCAAGTACTGATAAAGAATCGCTGTGAGAATAGGTGCCTAGAAAAACCTGATTACTGAATACTTCAATTGAGTGAGTGAGTTGGGTTTAACGCCGCTTTTAACAGTATTCCAGTTATATCGCGGCGTGTCAGCTTAATGTGTGAGAAAAGCCCGAAGTGATGCAGGTCACAGACGTTTACCACTTCGGTGAATCCCATGAGCACAGGTATGGTGCTGACAAACCTAGAAACATAATCGGGGCGAACTGGGATTCGAACCCACAATCATAGGTTTCTGGCATGCCCAAGGGACGCAACTCTGCACAGTGAATCGCGACGCCTTAGACGACTGGGCCACCTGTGCCCCCGATAACTTCAAGAATAACCAACTAAGATAAGATGTCCAGAGTGAAGGATGCAAGCCCTGGGCCTTGGTGAGTTTTGTGTAGATTATCCTATACACAAGTACAACACATTGTCATTTTAAGAAAGAAAATGAAGAAAAACATACACAAGTCAACTCCCACAAGGCAACTACACTGAAGTCAGGCTATGTTTCAAAGGATAAATGGTATCGATTTGTGACGTCAATCAGCACTGAGAGTCACTAAAATGCACATGTACAGATATCGGACGGCAATTACATTCTGACGTTCTTCCCTATGAGTAGTAATTTAGTGCTGTACCTACCCTGTTGCAGGACGGACATAACGTAATGGTGACGTCCAGCAGCAGTGACCTGAAGAACTGGTAGCGCAGCGGTTTGGGCCACTTCAACACATACACCTCGGACCGTGTCATGGACTGCAGGATAGATCTGTTCACTACCACCGGGTGGAACTCATTCGATCCATCCTGAAAAAACACCATATTCAGTCCTTCTACTCAAATCTATTTCCATATTTGGGTATCTACAGGTCAGAGGTCATTAAGTCAACCAGTATCAAATGTAACACATAAAAATTAGTTCTCATCTTCAGGAAGAATATAGTAAACATGGTAAACTTCCATTTTTATAAAAAAAAGATGAGCCAATGAGATATCAGCTTTCTTAACTACGTACACACACTTTTGGTCATTTAAACAAAAGAAACCAGAACACAAACGTTCCCTTGATAGTGTACCCGTTAGGTTATAGTTATCATGGCACTCAGAAACAACACGAAGTATAACATGTCCACAACATATATTGTGCTCCTTAATTTTTCATTTGCAGAACTGCCCCTTTACATTTGTTTTTGCTACTCTGAATGCCTCGCTCACTTCTACTGAATTTCAAAGCCTTGATTTGGATGATTAGAAAGTTCATTGGCTCGAAGGATAAGATCTGATTGTAATGAGATTAGAAAAAATTCACAACCACCAAATTGGATGTAGCCAAGAGTTGAATGAAATAATCTTGTAATACGTACTGTCACAGTGTTCACATTCATTGTCAGTGTGAAGGGCATACTTTGGTGATAATGAAGTGATTTCAAAAGTCAATTGATTTTGTCAACTGCAGTTTGTTCAAAATATGGGTAATATTCCCCAGGCTGGGATGGAAGGCACAAGAACTCATGCTTCTTGTAGAAGACATCAAACTGAGGGGAAGTAAAATGGGGGATAATGTCTCGTTCGAAATTATTTTACCAATATTGTGACGTGCATGCATGTGTGCATATAATGTTTGTTTTATAGTGCTAGCCGTTTGAGATACGATGCCGCAGTTAACATGAATACCCCACACAGTATACTGACCAGTCCTTGTTTTAGCCCATTATTGCAGGGCACTAGGCAGGGTAACATCAAGTACCATCTTTTCAAGTCTGTAGGTAGGTAGACCACTGACCTTCCACTCTCCAGGCAGACATTCTACCCACTACACATCAAACTGAAACAGTGAAGCTGTACTCACATCGTATGTCTTGAGTCTGGCTGTGAAGGGGTCCTCCTCCTCATCAGCCTCATCACCAAGTCTCAGTGACTGCATGTCTGGGTACAATCAAGGAACTCACAGAAAGCTACTGATACTACACTGGCGGATCAAGAGGGGGTACTGCGGGTACAACAGGGGGTACAAGGGTAGAGCAGTAGAGCGGGTACGCACCTCTCCTTTTCCAGACACTGTACATGTCACCCTATCAAGTGTTTTTTTTACTTCATGACTTGAGTATAGAGCGCAGGCCCTGTTTTTCAAACTCCTGGATTCACATCTGCCACTCTTGAGGAGTTTTCATGATCTATACAATGGGGGGCGAAGCTCTCTTTTGGGTGGGGTTTGTTGGGGTGGGAGAAGGTTTAGTGGATGAATTGCGCTAATTGTGGGAAAGGAAGATTTGTGCTTAGAATTGATCACTGAAAGACTCCTGTGTGCTCTACAGACAAAAGCTTCACAAACAATTATGTTTCGAAGGGCAATGATAAAAAAACCCACCAAAACTAAACCCAATAATTGGCTTCACTTACACACTAATTCAAAACATATCCAAACAGATGAAAAACATTTGAAGAAGAGCACACTGATTCAACCAAATCAAGTTTGAATGAAGGACAAACAACTCAAGGACTATCAACATAAGTATGAATGACACATATCATCCATGTATTACGACTCCCAGAAACCTCAATACTGGGAAAGCCATCACTACCTAGCCACAACTAGAAAGGATACTGCCCATGCGAGACTCATTCCAGTTTCCCCGGCTGTCCTTCTTCTGTTTGGGTATGGACATATCCAGGATGTGGACTGCTTCCTCGTCCGTTATCCCATCCTCGATGACAAACTCCACCAGGGGCAACACCTCTGTACACAATCAAACAACACATGGAATCAGACCTGGATACACAGGGAAGTCCCCCTATGAATAATAATAGTCACTCTGAGGTTATCTACTCAGAAAATGGTTGCAGACAACTCAGCTATGCCTCAATTTTCAGAAGCTGATATGGTCATAAACTAATACAGTGGGCTAAACCAGACTTTTGTGGGAAAGACATTTGACAGCAGTCTGGACTAGATAAAAATCTATTTCATAGAACGTTTGGTATTGATAGAATTCCAAATTCCACAGTACAAGGAATAAATGGCTTCCATCACGTCATCAGAAGCAAGCTGACAGTTGTCAGGAGCACTGGATTTGTTTCAATACTGTAACCATGGTGCTGATTCTGGGTCATCCACAGTTATCCAGGGTATTATATCTCTCATCTATTATGATACATACCTTAGACTCGTTCGCTACCATAGCTTCGAATTAAATCATGAAATGATCCTAAGACATGCCACTAAAACCAGCTGTCCAAAGAGATTACACTCATAAGCTTGAAAACTCCTGTGCTAAATTAGTGATGGAGATAGTAGCGTCACTTCCGATTCAGAGCTTTGGAGGCGAATGGGTCCAGGGTATGTATCATATCTGGATTTAAATCAATTGCTTTCATTGTCACCACATACATCGTCATACTGAAGCATCAGTGCATGAGGAACGAAACAGCTGTCACCACTCACCAAAGTTGACGAAGGAGTTGACACATGGCTGTTTACAGTTGACGCACTGATTGCCACTGTTGTTGAGGAGGGGGTTGGTGGTCGAGCAGCGATAGCAAAGGGGAAGTAACTCCTGAAAAGTTCATTAATTATTTCATTTTGTTATGCACTCAAATTCAGACATACCATTCAGAAATACAATAGGGTGGGCATATAACATTCTTGAGAGAGGTCACGGAATTAAACTGCAATTCCAAAGCAAATTTTCTCCAGATCTGATGCAAGGATCTTTTATTTGGATAAATGACGTATGTCAATACATAACAGTAAAGAAATGTTATTGTACAACACTGAAAAACAAAATTATTTGATTTACATGTTTCAGTCCTACAATTCTTTCATATCTTTTTCAAGATAAACTGCAGTAAATTACAGTTGTCAATTCTCTAAGCAAAATTTCTTCAAATCTGTTTCCATTTTACAAAGCTTAGGAAGAATTTTAATATATTTCTATAAATGTGTAATACTTATATTCTGATATTCTGGATAGAGAAGAGAGACCCTGATCTCTGATACCACCTAACGCAAGTCCTACTTACATCAGCGTCCATGAAAGGTTTGGCTCTGATGGTGATGCTGCCCACGTCAACGTTCTCCTGGAATCGTTGCGGTATTCTCAGAGTCTGCAGACTCTCGTACGCATGACGGGCCAGCTTGTAGGCTCCAAGGTTCTTGCTCTGCTTGGCCAGGGTGTACAGAGCCGAACTAACCAGTCAAGGCCAACAGGTTGCAACAGTATGTCACGCTAAACAGTGAGCAGACTCATAGAGTCTAGGCTAGTTAGTAATAATTAGAGTAGGTCAGAGAGATCAAAATGCTAGAACAATTGTGTAATCTGTTTGAAAGTGTGGCTTGTTTTAAGATGTTTAACTGACCAATTTTTATAAGTTGTTAAAAAACAAACGGTACCACTTTTACAGCGATAGAAACTAAATGTTTTAGTCTACTAGTCCTTATAATGATAACATATAGCAAAACCCTTAAAAATGGCAAATTTCTACCAGTTCTTATGATACCTTAACTATTGGGCAGTTTGGCAAGGACTAGAGGACTAGTGCCAATTTCTAATGCTGCTTTTATTGATGCATAGTCAAAGTAACAAATGTCATATTTGGGATAACACTTTCTGAGTAAAGTAGAGATTCTGTGTTATCCCAAATATTACATCTGTTACATTTGACCACTTTCTAAATGGCATTGTGTGTTTATAGTCAAAGTGTTCTAAATAATGGTCCAAGGGTCCTTGAGGTTTGTTCTTGTAGTATTTGAATCTGAATATCCCCCCAAATTTTCAACTTTTAAGATTAGGATTACTGGTATGACAAGAACACCTTGACATTTATGCTAATTTTGCTAAGTGACTTTTCACCCCAAATAGATGTACAAACCAATTTGTTTCTTAGTTCTTTGTTTACTCATAACTACAAGATAGTTAAGGTCACATATTCAATAATCTCAAGAACATGGGACCTAAGGTCAAGGTGACACATTTGTAGGTCCCTCTGTACAGGCCAGACAAGGATACGCTTTAGACACTCCGTGTGGGATGTCGTTTGCCTTGGGCAGCCGGTGGAGCAGGAAGCGGGACATGTTGAACAGCCCCTCGGGGAGCACGGACGTGAAGGGTTCCACCTAGATACAAGTACACAGGGTTAAACCTCAGTGAAACAAACGTGTTTGTTGTTTAATAGCACACTCAGCAATATTCCAGCTATATGGCAGAAGCTTGGACATTTTCATGTCTAGGCCAGACAAACCGGTAATATTATGAGCAAATAATCCACGCCGTTACAGGCACACAGATATAGACGTAGGCACACAGTTACATATGCAGACACAGTTACATACACAAAGCCACCTACCACATGTCGGTGTATTGTATGATAGATGTAGTAGATCTCTGCCCTCTTCTGGAAGTCAAAAAACTTTTCCAACATCTCATCTTTGCGATCCTTGTCCTCTGTTAATGCAGAATATACCTGGTTACCATGGTTGCATCACACTTCTGTACAGGTGCGTCAGAACAAACACCAGTCACATTCAGTCTTCGATAAAAAACTGAGACATTATATAACAAAGTGAATTTATGGATGTCAACTTCTTTATTATGAGGAACACAACGCTTTGGATTACATACTTTCTCCTTCATCACCCGACGAAGGAGTGAGTATATACTCCCGAAACGTTGTGTTCACTATTACCTGATGAAGGAGTAAGTATATACTCCAAAATATTGAGTTCCTTATAATAAAGAAGTTGACATCCATAAAGTCTCTTCCTTACGTGTATCACTTCTATATGCCATTCAAAAAATAGACATTACACGTTTTAAGATTTATGTGTTATTGAGTATTTGATGCCCAAAGATTAGACGGTCTATGACTGACGAACCTCTGGCAATGTCCAGACACTGGATGGAGAGTTTCCAGAAGTAGTAGCCAGCATCACTGAAGCGGCACTCCACCACAGCGTTCAGCGTCAGCTGCTCCAACACCTTCACTGCTTCAGCCTGCAGACCCGCCTTGTGGAATGCTGGAACAGGTAGTAGTAAAGGACTTATCGATATGTTTACAGGGAAACTGTATGATTGGCAAACATGTAAATTTTACAATAAATTGTATATTTATAATACTGTAACTCTTGAAATTAACGCAAGCGTGAATTAAATGCGAAAACTGCGAATGGTTTTTGTTCGCATTAATGTAACTTCGCATTTATGTCTCCAAAACAAATATCAACAATAAGACGGCCTCACTACACACTTTGGATGGTGGAAGTACCAACTTTAATATATACACAAACACGTTTTATTGACCAGCAGTTATAACAAGCACATAACAATGTCATTTAAAGAATAGGAATTACATTAAAGAAATCTGGTGAGTTATCACTACTGGGGTCAAGAGTTCTACCCAATCGTGTCAAACTAGGTATCAGTGACCACTCCAATCAGTGAACTGTTGTTGTAATTATTTTATTTCGTTTGAACTTCCTTAATGCCAGTCAACAGAACGAACATATAAGCTGTGAGATGTTTTTAGGAAAACAATGTTTATTGCTGGTACGGAAGTGCTTAACTCAGTTCTAATAGGCAGTGCTATTTGCTGTTTGATTTGATTTAGGTAAGGATATGTATCATTCCACTGAGAATAGGGTGGGGTGGGGGGAGTCACATTGATGTCACACTATGTATTTCTCACACTATGTATTTCTCATTCTTCTTTAGATCCTGAGTGGAAACGTGCTTAAACAAAAGTTTCCTGCTTCTAAATAAAAAATCGACCCAGGCACACGTCCTAGCATCACCATGGTCACCTCCAAACAATCTGGGTCATGCATGCTTTTCATGCTGGTTTACCTACATCATAACATGCACTGAACACGAGTTTCCCTAGCCAACTCATTCTCTCTCTTATCATCACACTGTGGAAATGTGTAATGATATTTGAGAATACATTGTGTGAGATTGGATGTTTGAAAATGCGAACATACAGTGTACAACAACACATGTAGGTGAATGTGTGACCAATAAACACATGTTTGTCATGATTGAACAGTCTTCAAATAAAACCTAGTTATTTACTTTTTCAAAAATATGTAGATCAGTTTCAAATTTTGATGTTTCAATAATGCAATAATATCCTACCAATACACTACTTAAACATGACAGTACAACGAGATGTCTTGTTTTGTGGAACATATGTGAAAGACACACGCCAACATCTTATCCTACCTTGCTGGGCCTCCTCGAACCTGTCATTCTCAGCCAGCCACTGGGCATACGGCACATAGACGTCCTCCCGATACTCTGGGTGCTTCTCCACCAAGGTGAAGGCCTGGAAGTATTATGACACTGGTGAAATTTGAGATACAACAAAGTCAAAATACCGTTTAATCATGACCTAACATGAGAAACTAGCACTTGTCCATGAGTCGCAATTAAAATAGAAAAAATTGTTAGTTTTTTTTAAAGATTTTCCTGTACATAATGACTGGAGACAAATCAGTAATCTTGATCCATAATTAATCCTGCAATATCTAATGCTTGAAACTTAGATACAGGTACATCACATCCAATTTGTTTCATCTCACGTAGACTGTTTACACATCCAGATCTGGATATTTTCAAACCAAATAACATATGAATGTCAACACTGAAATATGTACCTTAATGTGGTTTACACATTTGGTTGAAGCAAATACGCTAATCAATGTCAGATATTTTACACTGATAATTTAAGTCCAACTCTAATTTTCAAACAACACCAACAAGTCAGTGACTGATTAAGAGGAGACTACTCACATCATCCCAGTGCTTGGCCTCAACGCGCATTGCTATCAAAGCCTTCACATCCCCCATCTTGCTGTAGACCTCAGCAGCGAGGCCATACTCCTCCATGCGGCCCAGGTGGTGGGCACATCGACCGAGAGCCTCACGATCAGCCTTGTCAAGTTTCCGCGCCATGTCAATCATCCTGGAGGGAGGCATCGAATCAGTTTTATACAATCAGTGTTCACATTTATTGTAGCTATGGAGCAGAGTGTGCAATATCCTTATCAATGACAGTAACACTACAGCAAAAAGTGGGTTTTGGAGACAAAACATTTGTTTACAGAATTGATATTGAAAAATAATATGTGGTAGTTAAGTTTCTTTGTTTGTTTTCTAAGGCTGCACTCAGCAATAATCTAGATACATGACAAAGGCCTCTAAATAATCGATTCTGTATATGAGGAACCAGTGATTCATATTATACCATCGGGGTACAATGACATATAATCGACCAAGTCACAGAGCCTAACTACCCAATCTACACAAGTTGCCTCATATTGCAAGCATAGATTTCTAACGGCCTTTTATAAATCGAACCTGTTGCTCATAATATCAATCACTGGTTTGTCTGGTCAAGACTCGGTTATTTACAGGTCAACATCGTATAGCTGGAATATTGCAACAAACAAACAAACACAATCACTAAACAAAAAACATCCTATATTCTCTTACATATCAGCCCATCCATGTTCCCCGATGATCTCAATAGCCTTGAGATTCTCCCCAGCACTGATGTACATCTCGGCTGCCGCCCGGGGCTCGTTGCTGCTCTTGGCCCAGTCAGCCTGCTTGGAGATGAGGAGCTTCTTGTCATGGGGGTCCCCTGACCCGATGTACTCCTGCAGCCCAACACAGACAGCAACTCAACATACAGGGATGGTAGCAAATGCATTCAAACAAGTCTAGCAGTAAAAAAAACTGGACTTTTTATCAATGAAAACAAAACCATTTGGTACAAGTTAAAAATTTGAGACATCATAAACAATGGTTCTGTATCTATTCCTGCTAACAATTCCCAGGAGTTTCTCCAGGAATTTACAAGCATCATTCAGTGTATGCGTCATTGTAGACTTTCAAAATGAGTTCTTTACATACTCAATCTTTTGGATACAGGACAGCCTTCTCATCAAATCAAATAGCCATTGATAGTGTTTAGCTGAATTAGAATATTATAGAATGGCCTACCTTTGCCTGGTCAAACATGCGGAGATCGGTGTACATGCTAAGGGCCTTCTGTTCCTGGCCTGATTTCTTGTATAACTTGGAGGCATCTCCAAACTTGCCCTGGTAGCCGTACACGTCAGCCATGAACACCATGTTGTCAGTCTCACCTCGCTTCTTTCGTTCCTGTAGGAATAAGGAGATGTGACTAATACTGTGCATGGTTCATGCATGTACAAAATTCAAGACATTTTAGTGAATTTTAAACTTTAAATAAAAATTCAATCAAAAGAGCTATTTTTGAAAGGCTGCCAATTCAAAGCCTTTTCAAGTCATCTTAAGAATAACGTTCTACCTCAATGTTGTGAATCAGCTCCAGGTATCTCAGGTCTCGTATCCTGATGAAGGCTTTCTTGGCAGTGTCGAAGTCCAGTCCTTCAAGAGCATCATGAGCAAGAGCCTCCCAGTCTCCCTCAGTGACCCCTAGACATGCCACCCGGTAGGCGTCCCTGTACAGACAGACAGACACAGTCAGTGTGGGGAGGCTTTCAGGCCAGGGCTAGCTCACCTCAGCTCAGACAGTGTACTCAGGAGAAGACATGCATAAATACATTCTGCAATTTTGTCCTTGATGACAGGTCAGACAGACACTTGAAAATTACAAAATGAGTACAATATTATAGTGGAATGAAAAGATTGTAAGTACTTCAAAATTATTATTCAGCTGGGACCATAATTCTGCATTTAGTATCTTCAAGATGAACAAATGCTACCTATCACCTGATGCTACCAAATAAGTAACATATGAGAATAAGGTAGCGAACTGTGTGTAGGACAACCAATAACATTATTACGCCACTGCAGCTTGCAAAGTTTTAATCTGAAATGACCAGTGGTTAACAAAGTAACACTGATTCACACCAGGGCATAGCATTTGACTGAGACTTCCCACTTCTCTTACACTTCAAGCAAGTCTAGGACACTGTGTATGATAGCACCTGGAGAGCAGGTCACAAAACTAAGTAGTGATCCACTGACAGGGGTAATAATTAATTAGTGATCAACTGATGGAGGTAATAATTGAGTAGTGGTCCATTGATGGAGGTAAAAATTGGGTAGTGACTCACTGACTGAGGTAAAAATTGGGTAGTGATCCATTGACTGGGGTAATAATTGGGAAGTGATCCATTGACATGACAGGGATAATAATTGGTTAGTGATCAATTGATATGGGTAATAAATGGGTAGTGATTCACTGAAATGGGTGATAACTGGGCAGTGATCCATTGACAGGGGTAAAAATTAAGAAGTGATCCACTGACAGGGATAATAACTGGGCGGTGATCAATTGACAGGGGTAATATTTGGGTAGTGCAATGAGCATGCTTTAGGGCATGGAGACTGTGCAATATAACCATTCCTTTATTATTCTTTTTCGATAAGGAAATGAAGACTCACTTGAACATCTTCTTCTCGAGATACTGGTACATGGGTGCAGACTGAGGGACATCTACCGAGGACATGGCGTACACATGGAGGCAGAATATCTTTGAGCCACTGAACCCCACAACAAAACCCTGCAACACATAGCATAGGACTCACATCAGTTCCTCTGAAGATGAACAATTGAGAGCATGTTGCTGTGAGGGTTGTGTGGACAGTATTATTCAGTGTATTACATCTTCATTCTATAATGATAAATATCCCAGACCCATTTTTCACCTCAGCTTTGTTTTGTGTCCGGCTTGCAGGACTCTAAGAATGTATTTTTTAGAGTAAAAATATCATTTATACTTATCCTGACTTATACTTATTACTCATTCGTATGAATCAGGATAAGATAAAATATGAGATTGTTCTTTAATGATTGAAACAAGCAGCTACTTCACTCGTACCTTACTCATGTTGCCTATGAGTGATTGAGTGAGTGAGTGAGTGAGTGAGTATGGTTCTACGCCGTTTTTAGCAATATTGGGGACACCAGAAATGGGCTTCACACATAGTACCCAAGTGGGGAACCGAAACCGGGTCTTCGGCGTGAAAGACGAACACGTTAACCACAAGGCTACAACACCGCCCCAATAATTTCTTCTAAATTATAGCGCTCACTCATACAAGGCAGCCATTTTTAAATTGGGTCTTTACTGTAAATTGTGAAAGAATGCGACCGCTGGCCCCTAGCCAAAAATGCGACTCAATATGAATGCGAACCCCCTCCTTTCAAGCATCAGTGGATTCATATCTAAAGAAAATGTCCTCTGTCAGGTTTACAGGAGAATCCTCACCCTAATCCAGCCTTACATTAATCCAATCACACACCTAATAGCACCGCTTATTAGCGCTGAGTAGAGTACTTCCGTAAAAACAATACATGCACGCTGGCTCGTGTCGGCCTTTGATGCAGTCGCAAAGAACAAAGACACCGTGTTGCGTGGTTGGCGTCTGTCTGGACTTGCACGTGTGATCAGTGATGACATAAGTGAGTAGAACTCTTGTCATGACCCCAGCAGTGACAATTCATAGGATGTAATTATTGTTTGAATGACATTGTTTATATACTTGTTACAAGTGCTGCTCAATAAACAGTGATGTTGAATATATAGTTGTTTGTTTTCAGCGTATGTCTAAGTTGCTGCTATCCAAAATGTCTTATTGTTGATATAAATGTGATGTTTAATAATGCGAGCAGAGACCACTCGTATTTTTTGCATTTAATTCACGCTCGCGTTAATTTCAAGATTTACAGTATCAGATTCTTATTCTGAAACCAAGCTATGGTGGTGATTGCATCCAGGGTATCCTTACAGAGCAGAGATATAACACCCTGGATAGTCGAAGATGGTGTAGATGCTAACCTGCAGTTTCTGCTGATGCAACGGGAAGTTGCTGGCCTTGATGTTGAGCATGCCGTTGCCAGAGAAACACAACATGTCCTCATAATGGGTGTTCCAGGCTACACTGTTCGCATTTGGTTCCTGAAATAAACAAGTACACAGGTGAAGATGCACGTCTTTGACATTTATGCACCCAAGAAAAGACCAAGAAAGCAAATTGATTTTTCACCTTCCCCTAAGAACGCTTCTTATCCTGGTAAGAAGCAATTTTGAAAAGTAAAATCTTCAGAACAATTCTTTTGTATTCCGACTGAATTATTGCATACAAAATTCACACAAATCTCAAAAGTCATTGTGAATCATGTGTACATTATGCTTACACCAATAGAACGCCCTTATCTTGGTTAACCTATCAAAGTAACAGTCTCTATATTAGAAAATGAGAGACAGTTCCTTATGAGGGAGATCTAGTTTAACACAGCTTTGAACAGTATAATAGTCATAATATCGTGTCAGATTCATGTGTGCGAAAAGCCAATAGTGATGCAGGTCTCAGATGTTTCTAACTTTGGTGAAACACAGGTGCATGGCTATGGAGCTGACAAACATCCAGGCGAATCTGGGATTCAAACCCACAACCAGCGTTTTCTGACGCACCTAAGGGATGTAACTCTGCACAGTGAACTGCAGCAACTTCACCAACTCGGCCAAGAAAATAAAGGTAGGTGTTACCTGGAAGAGAAGTTCCTTTGAACCAACGTCATACACAAGACAGGTGTTGTTTTCATCCACGACAGCCAGTCTGGCGCGGCTGCAGCTGAGGTCCAGACATCTCACCGAGGTCGACTGCTTCAGCAGCTGGATGGGGAACGGGTTGTCCACAAAGATCTTCATGATCTACCCATAGCAAAAATAAATCCTCTTAACATTCTATCCTTAGGAGTGATAAATAAAGCTGAGCTATGCTCCATGGCCTGTTGCCTATTTTCAGTATAATATAAGGGTAACACTATTTTTCAGGGCATTATCATTTGCAGAAGCCCGCGGTCATCCATTAACTACCCGACGAAGGAGGCCAGTTGAAAAGACTGAGGGCTTCTGCAAATGATAATGCCCTGAAAAATAGTGTTACCGTTATTATAGCTGAAATGGATGGAATTTGTTATCAAATAAAAAGAAACAACATCGGTTTTGAAACATTTACTGCAATCAACACGAATGTCACTGACCCACTTTTACAAACATGGAAATGTCATAGAACAAACCAGATGACGTCACTATTGAAGGTGACGTCACCTATCCCTATCCTATGACGTCACATAACAACAGGCGTGATAATGGCCCGTCGTCAAGCAATATGAGGGCATTATCAAGTTAGAGTGGCCCGCTCATTTTTGATAACATGCGGGCGGTTTAACGATAATTCTATCCATTTTAGCTATAAGTTGTAATTAGTACCTTGTGTGAAATTGAAACATTTGCTCTGTGTAATTAGGCCGTCATTAACGTCTAAATTGATAAGCAGTACATTGGCAGACTAACACAGTCATGTATGATAGACTTTATTGAAACTTGCTGGGACTGTGTATTTGCCCAAGCCTGGTCCCCTTTTATTAACAAGAGAATTAAGCATAATAGCATATTAATAAATTGCAAACGATTTCATGGCATTTGATTGGCTAACCAAGCAATTTGTTTTGCGTTATGTTCCCATAAACCCAAAAAGAATTAAGTCACACCCACAAACAAACTACTGTTTCCTGATTGGCTGATAATAGAATGGGCGGGGTCTGTGTTGCATTAATGCGCTGAATGATTCAACTGATTTTGTATTTTTGTCTGCAGTTTTTTGTGTTACTCTTTAAATAAGCAGCCTGTGAAGTTATTATTGCTGACATATTTATTTGACTTCAGTATGTATTTGCATTAATGGAGTCATAAACGTATACTTTGCATAAATCTGCTATGCGGATTTACAGTTTGCACATCGGTTTTTTTGGTTTATACCTCCATAAAAGCAAAGAACATTAAAGTCAATTTTTAAATGGAGTTAGGAGTGTACCTTGCCTGAACTTGAATATTAGAATCATTTTCAGTAGATTTTAGTCTTGTGTATGGACTAGTATCACTCTTCTTATTTGACCAAAAGACATTTTACTTGGCTTCTGATAAGTGGCTAAAGATGCAGACTGATTTAGGTGAACAAGATTTGAGATCTCCCTTGTCCTGTCGTCTGACCTGTCCATTCTTGAGTCCGACCAGCAGTCCCTCTCTTCCTGAGGGTCCCCCGATGACCTTGATGTACCTGATGAGGGACTCCATCACCCACTCCTTCTCCTTCACCCCCTGGAAGGAGAGACACTGCAGCTTCTTCTCCTGGAACACACAAACACAAATATCAGGCTGACACACACACAATCAATTTGGTGCACACAGACAGCTTCAACAGTGTTATTTAAAGCTGAAGCCACCTCTTTTCCAGCTATATTGTGGTGACCTGTAAATAATTGAGTCCTAGTTGGACAAACCAGTGGTTGATATTATGAGCAACTTTCCACGCTGTTGGGGAAAAAGGACATGCGATCAACTGAGCTTAATCACTGGTACAACTTAGTTGCCTCTTACAAAACATAAAAAAGAGCTTGGGACTTATTCTAACTCAGGTCCCCAAGGGGTGAAACAACCAGAAACATACCCTGGTAACACTGACATACCTAACAGAGGATGTTCTATGAGCACACCACCAACAGGTTGCCATGGCTACACTGACATACCTAACAGAGGATGTTCTATGAGCACACCACCAACAGGTTGCCATGGCTACACTGACATACCTAACAGAGGATGTTCTATGAGCACACCACCAACAGGTTGCCATGGCTACACTGACATACCGGACAGAAGATGATGTTCTGTGAGCACAACACCAGCAGGTTGCCATGGCTACACTGACATACCGGACAGAAGAGGATGTTCTGTGAGCACACCACCAACAGGTTGCCATGGCTACACTGACATACCGGACAGAAGATGATGTTCTGTGAGCACACCACCAGCAGGTTGCCATGGTTACACAGACATACCGGACAGAAGATGATGTTCTGTGAGCACACCACCAACAGGTTGCCATGGTTACACAGACATACCTGACAGAGGATGATGTTCTGTGAGCACACCACCAGCAGGTTACAGTCCAGCTTCTTGTTGATCTTCTCCTTAACGCGGTAGTGCATGTCCGCCGAGTCATCTGTGTACAGCTCGTAGATGACGATCCGGTCTGGTAGCTGAACCTGAAGTCACAGTTGAATGTAAACTCAGTCACCAAAACAGTTCAAACTTCTCTTGATATGTAATGGGAAACTTGCTTCATACCGCAGTCAGCAATATCTGAACTGTTCCACAGCGGCCTGTAAATAATACTTTGGAGGCCAGGTAAACTAGGGCTTTAAAGCATAAGTTTGTTAGTTTGTTTGATTATTTCTTTCTCAGCAATATTCCAGCTATATGACTGCGGTCTGTAAATAATAGAGATCTGCAGTGATTGACATCATGAGCATCGATCTCCACAACTGGGATATGATGACATGCATCAACCAAGTCACTGAGCCTGACCACCTGATCCATTTCCTCGCCTCTTAGCATAGTCACCTTTTTCGGCAAGCATGGGTTGCTGAAGACCCATTCTCTACCCTCTATCTAAATGGGTCTATAGCATTAGGTCACACACATCATGGCCATCCAATCCTCGGCTCTTATGAAAAGCCTACGGTTATGGAGACTTCAACTGACCCAGATGCTAAGCCAAACAGTATTCATAAGAGTGCAGTCTGTGTCAAAAACTTTTGAAACTACAAGCCTAAACATGGCTCTGAGCATCATTTTCAACAGAGATTAGTGTTATTAAGTGGATTATTATTAGCCGAGTTGACTAGGCTGAAGAAAAGTCGGGCTTCAGAACAGTGGGATGAAAACAAATACCGTAATAAGCGCCCAGGCTGCTCTCAAAATTAGAAATAGGGGGCTCTTACAAGAATACAATCTTTGTGAAAGAGTTGAAAGATCGTACATTTTGTGGTTTATGCTGACCGCCTGAAATGATACAAAAGAAAAGTCTGTGCGTATTATACACGACAGATATATTTTTCCAGAATTTAATTGCCCGTAATTAAGGGTGCATATAACAAACGAGTGTGTATTATACACGAATAAATAAGTCTTGTGTACATTGATCAATCGGAAGGGTGCTGATTGGGATTGTTCACTCGCCAATATATTAGCAATTATCGCCATGGGTGTTTACTAGAGCGGGGCGCTTATTACGTTGAATACGGTAGTTCTTGTCATCTAAGATCGTCTGTTTGAGATAGATATTGGAGCATTCATGATGATACCCAAAGTCAGCTCATAACAATCAAAGGATTAGGACATCGCTTAGACGAATTAGTTACTGTTAGTCTTAGCATCTACCCTGTCCACTAATGTCCCAGGTATTCACAAGTCCAACCACTGACAGTACACAGTTGTCATCTTGGCCATCAAAAGGAATGAAATATGATTGTCTAATTTGGTTCAGGATCTTTCGTGACGAAAGACAACAGTCCTTGTTACATATAGAGCTCTGTGACTTTCAACTCCAGTGTATTCCTATCTTGTACACTTACGGCCAGCCTGTGCCTGTAGATGGCAATCTTCTTCACAAGGTCACGGCACTTGATGCGGACTGAAATTAGAAAAACACACTTTAAAATAGTTTTCACAAAAGAGTCAGTGAGTGTTTTTCATAGCTTCTAGCAATATTCCTATCATCGGATGGGGGGGGGGGGGAGACGCTATAAAAATCAAACACTCTAACCATCAGGCTACCCCACTATTCCTGATGACACATGGAAAAGTGTTGTAATACACACGCAGTCATCAAGTCATGAACAAATGTTATGATGACATCCATCCAAGCAATGTGGACAGACATTATCAGATGAAGTGCTATCTCCGTATCCATGTTGGCACCCCTAAGTGTCACCTTGTACAACACACCCCTAAGTGTCACCTTGTACAACACACCCCTAAGTGTCACCTTGTACAACACACCCCTAAATGTCACCTTGTACAACACACCCCTAAGTGTCACCTTGTACAACACACCCCTAAGTGTCACCTTGTACAACACACCCCTAAGTGTCACCTTGTACAACACACCCCTAAGTGTCACCTTGTACAACACACCCCTAAGTGTCACCTTGTACAACACACCCCTAAGCAGGGTTAGAAATTGGCACTAGTCCTATAGTCCTTGCCAAACTGCCCAATGGTAAAGGTATCATAAGGACTAGTAGAAAATTGCCATTTTTAAGGGGTTTGCTATATGTTATCATTATAAGGACTAGTGGACGAAAACTGTTAGTTTCTAACGCTGCTAAGTGTCACCTTGTACAACACCCCCCTAAGTGTCAGCCTTGTACAACACACCCCTAAGTGTACCAGGTTGTTGGAGAGGCAGGTCCAGGAGTAGCCAGTGGCCCAAGAAGAACATACTGGTCATACTTGGTATAAAGCTACTGACCCTTTGCTTAGTTTGGCACAACTGTTTTCAGTTTAAAACACTGCAGACAGCCAATGCCAGCTTGTTGATGTTGAATAGTAAACAAATTTGAACATGTGTGACTACCAAAATAAATGAAACTATGATAACAAACAGCTGACAAGAAACATTGCTCCGTCTTTACCCAAAACCAATTGAATGTCAAACTTAATGCAAAAACCAGTTGCAGCATGCTGAACAGTGTCACTTTCAACAAACCCAACAATAACCATAAACACCTCAAATATTCTCTCACCAACACACTGAAAGTGCATCCCATAACCATTCAGGGCTGAAGCAAAGGGCATTTCAAAATACAGTCAGTTTATCAGAAACTGTTGTGTTGCATCTACATCATCTAGGATTGGCTCAGAGTGGGGTGGGGCATGTATCACTTCAACTTCTAAAATGTGGGTACCGTGTATTTTTATTTGGGTCCTAGTGTGAAAAAAGCAGAGACACAGCTTTTCTTAGGTGCTGATGCAGACATTCTGTGAGTTTTTATAAGCAGTATAGAGAAACCACAAACTTTGTTTGTTTTATTATGCATTAACACTGCATTAAGAAATATTCCAGCTATATGACCGCAGCCTGTAAATAATCAAGTCAGGACCAGACAATCCAATGATTGATATTATGAGCAACGATTGATGCCGTGCAATCAATCAAGTCAGTGAGTCTGGACAACCGATCCATTTGGTTACCTGTTACAAGGTTGCTGGGGACCTATCTAATCCAGAAACCCCATGGGAATCAGTCATACTGACTCTGCATACTGAATGAAGCACAGAAAATGAAAGCAGCGTCAACAACTGATAAAAATGCATAATTTACGTAATATTGCTGCCTAGACGTTGAAGTTTAGAGTTTGTGATAACAGCAAAGGTCACTGATTGCCTCACCTTTCTGGTCCGTGATGAGATGCTGGATGATGACATCGGTCATGTTGTCTCTGTAGGCATACCTGTCCTTGTACAGACCATGCACTGTGCTGAAGATGAGCTGATAGTAGGCGATAGTACCATCCTGACACCCTACAACCTGGAACAGGGACGTTTACAGTACCGCCAGTGTTGGGTACATTACATGATACTGATAGTAGGCGATAGTACCATCCTGACACCCTACAACCTGGAACAGGGACATTCACAGTACCGTCAGTGTTGGGTACATTACATGATACTGATAGTAGGCGATAGTACCATCCTGACACCCTACAACCTGGAACAGGGACGTTCACAGTACTGTCAGTGTTGGGTACATTACATGATACTGATAGTAGGCGATAGTACCATCCTGACACCCTACAACCTGGAACAGGGACGTTCACAGTACCGTCAGTGTTGGGTACATTACATGATACTGATAGTAGGCGATAGTACCACCTTGACACCCTACAACCTGGAACAGGGACGTTTACAGTACCGTCAGTGTTGGGTACATTACATGATACTGATAGTAGGCCATAGTACCATCCTGACATCCTACAACCTGGAACAGGGACGTTCACAGTACCGTCAGTGTTGGGTACATTACATGATACTGATAGTAGGCGATAGTACCATCCTGACACCCTACAACCTGGAACAGGGACGTTCACAGTACCGTCAGTGTTGGGTACATTACATGATACTGATAGTAGGCGATAGTACCACCTTGACACCCTACAACCTGGAACAGGGACGTTTACAGTACCGTCAGTGTTGGGTACATTACATGATACTGATAGTAGGCCATAGTACCATCCTGACATCCTACAACCTGGAACAGGGACGTTCACAGTACTGTCAGTGTTGGGTACATTACATGATACTGATAGTAGGCGATAGTACCACCTTGACACCCTACAACCTGGAACAGGGACGTTTACAGTACCGTCAGTGTTGGGTACATTACATGATACTGATAGTAGGCGATAGTACCATCCTGACACCCTACAACCTGGAACAGGGACGTTTACAGTACCGTCAGTGTTGGGTACATTACATGATACTGACAGTTGGCGATAGTACCATCCTGACACCCTACAACCTGGAACAGGGACGTTTACAGTACCGTCAGTGTTGGGTACATTACATGATACTGATAGTAGGCCATAGTACCATCCTGACATCCTACAACCTGGAACAGGGACGTTCACAGTACTGTCAGTGTTGGGTACATTACATGATACTGATAGTAGGCGATAGTACCACCTTGACACCCTACAACCTGGAACAGGGACGTTTACAGTACCGTCAGTGTTGGGTACATTACATGATACTGATAGTAGGCGATAGTACCATCCTGACACCCTACAACCTGGAACAGGGACGTTTACAGTACCGTCAGTGTTGGGTACATTACATGATACTGACAGTTGGCGATAGTACCATCCTGACACCCTACAACCTGGAACAGGGACGTTCACAGTACCGTCAGTGTTGGGTACATTACATGATACTGACAGTTGGCGATAGTACCACCTTGACACCCTACAACCTGGAACAGGGACGTTTACAGTACCGTCAGTGTTGGGTACATTACATGATACTGACAGTTGGCGATAGTACCATTTTGACATCCTGTGAGTGAGTGAGCAAGTTGGGTTCAATGTTCTTTTGAAAAGTATTTGGTAATATCACGATGTGTCAGAATGATGTGGGAGGTTTGCCCAATGTGGTGTAGGTCTTAGATGTTTAACACTTTGGCAACTTCCCGAGGCAAGGGAGTTAACTGACTATATTAACTAGCAGCGCCCAGTCAAGACCATCTGATTGATAATAAAGATCTATATTGTAATATAACGGGCTACCTTGCGATGTGCATCAGATCACTTTAGCACCTTGATTAAAGACATCATTTGCAAAATATCTGTGGACTCCCGGTTGGCGGTAAATATGCTTTGCAAATCCTTCAGTCGACCAAAATCTTCACATTGAAATCCATGTTGTTTACGAACTGGATGTCTAGTTCGCTACGCGATTTTGAATGGACTATGCATAGACTCATTAGTCCAGCCAAAACGTACCTCCAGAATTCCAGACTAGCTCGGCAAGGGTGGAAACTGAACTTTTAAAGTCCAGTGCTCACGACCTACGGCCTGGAACACCCTGGATGCTAACTTTTACAAACCTGTAGAGGTTATGAATTCTCTGATGAAATCCTCCTTGGGGCACTTATTGCATTTTCCTTGCTCAAGAAAATCTATATGACATAGTTGTAACCATTTTCCTTAATAAAAAATGTTACCACACAAAAAACTTCGTTTTTGTATGATATACGACCACCCTTACGGGGCCTCACCCCCAACGGCGCCTCACGCCAGGGGGAGCAACTCTCACCCAAATCACTTTCCATATGTCAAATGCTGACGGAATGTGGGGAGGTGGGTGGCCGTGCCCCAAGGAGGATTTCATCAGAGAATTCATAACCTCTACAGGTTTGTAAAATTCTCTTTCTGATTAAATCCTCCTTGGGGCACTTATTGCATCAAGACAGACTCCCAAAGATAATCTAGGAAGTGGCATCCGTCAGCAACAGGCGTAAATAAATACATCGTATTTGATTATTCAACAGAATAAAATATTGAGTTCAATAAATGGAACCAACCTTATCGTGAGGCACCACCGTCGAAAGGCGGGGGCTAGAGACAGGGCGTGGTCGACCATATATTATGATAAAGCCTGTTTTTGCGGCTTGTCATAAGTTGAGAACTCGAAACACCTCCCACCCCCCCACACACTTTTTTGAACAAGTGATATAAGGGCGTAGATCACGAGAGACCATAACCAGCGCTGAGCTAGGCCAGAGGGTCCCCGAGGATCGAAGGAGTGCGTGCGCAAAATACGAGTATTATCGAGTAGTAAGGACTGATATTTATCGACCGCAGAAGATAAAATCCGGACCATTACTGAGCAGTATAACCGGAAGACTGTCTAAAATCTCGAATGCTCAATCAGCTAGAGATTAGAACTTTGCCCAGTTCGGAGAACTGACTGACCAAACCGAGTACGCTCGCTTGAGTGTTTGTCGAGTTGGTAAGGTTTGATGAATCGTGCTCGGCTGGCTCCAAATAGCCGCGGAGCAGATCTGCTCAATGGGCAGAGCCGCGGCGTACGCTTTTGACGCAGCCACTGCTCTAACCTAATGAGCCTTCAACCTGGTAGGGGGGTCCCTGCCTGTAAGCGTATACGCTGTACAAATGTTTGAAACTATCCACCTCGAGATAGATTGTTTACTCGCAGGTGAGCCAACCTTCCTACCGCAGTAACAGCAAAATAGTTGGTTATCCTTACGGACACCCATATTTCTGCTGATATAGGCCTTGAGAGTCGTGCGGACATCCAAGACATGAGCATGTCTTGCAGTGGTCCCCGACGAGGAAGGCTGTGAAAGAGCGGGTAGCTCAATAGGAGCCGTTCACGTGGAATCGTGTGCGACCCTAGGACGGTAATAGTCCGGTAGACGAAAACTGACTGTCCCGGTGATATTTATCGACCCCATGGAAGACAGTTATTTTGGGATCGGCTGACATAACACGAATGTCGCCTACCCGTCTGCCGGACGTTACCACCACAAGGAACGCCGTCTCCCAGCTCAACAGCTGAAGAGAGAGAGACGACAGATCCCGAAAGGAAGGACCGGACAGCCAATCTAGAATGATTGACAAGTCCCAAGGGGGACTGATCCGCCGGACTGGCGGTCGGATCCTGTCCACACCTGCTAAAAAGCGCTGCACTAATGGATGTGCACCCAGAAGTGCCCCGTCGACAGGGACGTGAAAAGCTGCGATAGCTGTAGAGTACCCTCGGACTGTTGATGCGGCCAGGCCGTCATCTAGTCGCGACTGGAGAAACTCAAGCACGGATACGAGATCTGCAGAAAAAAGATCTGCAATCCCTCTATCGACACACCTGGGCGCATAGCAGGCCTATCTATCGTACTGAACGTTTGTCGAATCCCTCCGCGAAGCCAGTATTGTGTCTGCAACTCGTGCAGGAATACCGCTCTTCTGGAGGCGATTCCTGACAGTGGCCAAGCCACCCATTGAATCCTGAGATTCGGGTGGAGGGCCCCGTTCTGGGATAGGAGGTCCGGTCGTAAAGGTAATATAACAGAAGGCTGAGCCAGAAACCTGAGTATTACTGGAAACCCACTCTGCGCCGACTAAAGAGGTGCCAGGAGCACAATTAGTCGCGCAGGCTGAGTGCCTAGCTGAGACAGGACCTTGGAAATCAGAGGTACTGGGGAGAATGCCCACAGAACTGTCCGTCCAATCTAGCTGAAAGGCGTCCGGTGCCACCGACCTCGGGTCGTGGACTCGGGAGCAGAACGTTGGTGTCTGGTTATTTAACCCAGACGCAAACAGATCCACCTGTAACGACCTGTATAACAGGGAGAAAATCCCGAATATCCCCGGGTCGAGCCTCCACTCGTGAGGAGCGAGGATCCGGCAAGACAGAGCGTCCGCACGGACGTTGTCCACCCCCGGGAGATAAACAGGTAGCACCCTGATATCGTGAGAGTCGCACTATAGTAGGAACTGCCACGTCTTTCGTCGAAGCGACGGAGACGCCGTTCCCCCCTGCTTCCGGATGTAAGTCATCGCCGTTTGGTTGTCCATCTCTAGACGAACCACTTGGCCACGAAGCAGATCCGGGAAGCGTTGGAACACCAACCTGACCGCTCTCAGTTCTAGCACATTGATATGCAGTTTGATCTCCTGCTGGGACCATAGTCCCGAGGCAGTGTGATCATTCAGAACGCCTCCCCAGCCGGAGAGTGACGCGTCTGTTTGAACTGTGAGAGACGGAACGGGAGTGATTCCCGACCTCGGTCCACCACTGGAGGTGTGTAATGAGCCACTACGGAGTCTCGAGCACAGTCTCGAGATCTTCCGAGTTCGCCCAAAGTCGACGGAGTGCTTGTTGAATGGGACTCATTCTCAAGCGCGCCCGCCAGACCAAATCCACTGTCGCCGCCATGTTGTCCAGTAACTGGAGCCATGTACGAGCAGTGTGACTTGCGCTTAAGGGACTTGATATCTTGTGACAGAGATACACGTCCTCTCACCGTGTTGAAATTAGCCACTAGGAAGACTAGATTCTGAGTGGGGCTCAGATCTGACTTCTTGAGATTGACCATCCACCCTAGAGTGATCAGAATATCTATCACTTGTTGTGTAGCTATCTGACTCAGGGATTGCAATAGAGCTCTTAGTAACCTAGTCGTCGAGGTACGGATGGCAGAACCGACCTTTTGACCTGGCCACTTGGGCGGGAATCAACATCAGCTTGGTGAACACCCTCGGGGCCGTGGAGATCCCGAATGGTAGAACCCTGAACTGATAACACCTCCCGTCGAAAGAAAACCTCAGGTATTTCTTGAACTCTGGATGTATTGGTATGTGGAGATAGGCGTATTTTAAGTCTATTGACGTTAGCCTTTCTCCTGTCTCGACAGTTGAGATCACTGTTTGGTGACTAGGAAACAAGTCGAGTAGAAGCCCTCGCTTTCCTGTCCCTCGGGACCCGGTTCGATCGCAGCTTTCATAAGAAGTGCGTCGACCTCGGCACGGAGGAATTCCGCCTTCTCTCGGGTAGCAGGCACCGGTGTGTGCTTTATCCCGGAAAAGTGGAGGAGCGGATGAGTTTTGCGACTATGGGTTCACCCGGGGCTCTTCGGGCGCTAATGGGAACCCATCGTTCCCAGCCCCGCGAAAAAGCTGTTGGCCTCGACCAGCTGCCTTGCCCCGGCCCGTGCCTCTCTTGCTCCTCACGGCGCCCTTATACCTGAAGGAAGCGGCGGCTTCCAAGCAGGTGTGGACGTCTGACCCGTGCGTTAGCGTAGGAGGGGACAATTGGAGAGGCCCGCTTACGCGGTTTTAACGCTTGGTACCTCCAACAAGGCCTTATGAGTCTTTGATGGAAGTATACAATTGATCAGCCTCTCGGACCGCCTGCTGAGCCCCAGGGAAGAGGGTGGCACCCTCTTATACGGCAAAGCAAGTAGGTCTTGGCGTGTGTAAGTCGAGTATTTAGATACCGACATCCACCGCCTGCGCATGCACATAACAGCGCACATCATCTGCGATGCACAGCTACGAATAGCGTCCCGCGCAAGATAATGTTAGTTGCGCGGCCAACTCCGAAGAGTCGGCCGGCCCCTCTCCCGCTAACTCCCTCTGTACCGCCGACAGATACGCAGAGTGTACGGACACACGGAGCTGTTGGCATGCATTATGATATTGCTCCTCGAAGCATATGTAAGCAGCCTTCAACTCCGCACCGCACACGGGAAAGGGGGGGGGGGGGGGGGGGGGGGGGGGGCAACCGCCGGCCCTGCTTGACCTTAGTCAAGTTGGGTGTCTCCGACTCTGGCATGGGCGCAGCAACCTGAGGCAGTACATGGACAATCCTGTCCCGCACGTGTCTCTGCACCCGGCCCGAGGCCGAGTCCCGGTGCCGAGGTGCCGGAGGTTCAAGGGAACCCACCTGGCACTGGGCTAGGTATCCACTAGTGCAAGCCTTGGCCTCGGAAGAGGCGTCTGGCTCCGCTAGGGTAAATTGTGCGTCGGTAGTGCACGGGCCGGTGCCCGCCACCACTACGCTGGGGAGCGACCTCGAGCCGGAGCCGAAGCTCGGTCTCGGATCGTCCCCGAGACAAAGGGAACCAGCCTGGCTCCGGGCTAGGTATCCACTAGTGGACGCCTCGGCCTCGGAAGAGGCGTCTGGCTCCGCTAGGGAAAATTGTGCGTCGGTAGTGCACGGGCCGGTGCCCGCCACCACTACGCTGGGGAGCGACCTCGAGCCGGAGCCGAAGCTCGGTCTCGGATCGTCCCCGAGACAAAGGTAACCAACCTGGCTCCGGGCTAGGTATCCACTAGTGGACGCCTCGGCCTCGGAAGAGGCGTCTGGCTCCGCTAGGGAAAATTGTGCGTCGGTAGTGCACGGGCCGGTGCCCGCCACCACTACGCTGGGGAGCGACCTCGAGCCGGAGCCGAAGCTCGGTCTCGGATCGTCCCCGAGACCAAGGGAACCCCCCTGGCTCCGGGCTACGAATCCACTAGTGAAAGCCTCGGCCTCGGAAGAGGCGTCTGGCTCCGCTAGGGAAAAATTGTGCGTCGGTAGTGCACGGGCCGGCGCCCGCCACCCCTCCGCTGGGGAGCGACCTCGAGCCGGCGCCGAAGCCCGGTCTGAGATCGTCCCCGAGACCAAGTTGCCTGCCTCGGCCGACGCCGGGCATATCACAAGGTCTCGAAGCCGCGTCCGGCGCCGACAACGGGGAAGGCTCGGTCCGCATCTCCTCTCGGAGCTGAGACTTTACCTCCTCCATCATCGACGCCATCTGCGACTTAAGTAACGCAGAAAAGTCTGCCAAAGACAGTGCAGGAGAGGGTGCAGTGCTTACTACGGGGACCCTCGAGCCTTCTCCCCCGGCCCCCGGAGAGGGAGCGGGGGAGACAATCTCGGCAGCTTTTTTACCCTTTTTAGATGGGGAGGGGGGGATGTCTTAGTAGATCTGATATCTACCCCCGCCTTTAATAGACCTCTTTAAAGTGGAACAAGTCAACTTGTCTCTTTTGGGGGCCCCGGGGGGTAAAGGCAATGTCCTCCGCCAGACATATTCGGCAGCGTTCGTGCCTGTCTTAGAACAACCCGTACACAGTTTGAAGGTCTTGTAAACAAGACCGTAATTTCTGAGGTGGGCGGGAAGGGTATCAACGTGTATCAGTGCGATATAAAGATCGGAAAGAAACGTGCATAAATTGTGAAACTAGAAGCAAAGGCGTAATGTAGAATGCGATTTGTAACGCGATACTAATAGCCAATGTGTAGTATAATTATAACACCAAAGGGGCGTGTTACGCGCTAAGGTGTAAAAACCCGTAAAAAAGGTAAGTGTAGTTTATGAATTAACACACCACCTTGGGTTTTGTAAAGGAAAAAATTGTAGACCAATGCTGTATGATATAACAAAACCCCAAGCCGTTTCTTAATGGCCTTGGTGTTACATGTATCAGCCCGTGGAACTACAATATGGACGCCATTACGGCCATTTGAATTCAAAGGTACCGTGCACGTGGCGTATTATTACAACTCTATAACTTCACAATGCGAGGTATTACGCCTTTGCAAAGAAAGAAATGTACCATACATACAGTTTGGTCAGCCATGGTTCTTGTCGAACGATAGATTTCTCTTATTTTTGTCTTGTGTGAAAAATCAACACGTCTGTCTCTTACAGATGACATAAGGAAAGTGATTTGGGTGAGAGTTGCTCCCCCTGGCGTGAGGCGCCGTTGGGGGTGAGGCCCCGTAAGGGTGGTCGTATATCATACAAAAACGAAGTTTTTTGTGTGGTAACATTTTTTATTAAGGAAAATGGTTACAACTATGTCATATAGATTTTCTTGAGCAAGGAAAATGCAATAAGTGCCCCAAGGAGGATTTAATCAGAAAGAGAATGGAGTGTATGTAAACTGAGTTAACTTACAACATAATTGGAATCCGGTCTGACAGCAGCACACCAGACCCACGATGTCTGATCTCCGATGACCCCAAGCTTGACCCCCTCCTTGGTGTGAAGACAGCACTGTTTGCTTGACCCCCCGACCACCACATACTCCCCCCTGGAGAACCAACTGACACAGGTGGGGTCATAGCCAAGGGTGCGGTCCTTGCCGATCTGAAACATGGAGGTACAATCACCAGACAATACGTGATTGAGGGTCCTTGCTGATCTGAAACGGACATACAATCACTAGACAAAACGTGATTGAGGGTCCTTGCTGATCTGAAATGGACATACAATCAACAGACAAAACGTGATTGGGGGTCGTTGCCGATCTGAAATAGACATACAATCAACGGACAATACGTGATCGAGAGTCTTTGCCGATCTGAAATAGACATACAATCAACGGACAATACGTGATCGAGAGTCTTTGCCGATCTGAAATGGACATTCAATCAACAGACAGCACATGGTTGAAAGTCTTTGCTGATCTGAAATGGACATACAATCAACGGACAATACGTGATCGAGAGTCTTTGCCGATCTGAAATGGACATACAATCAACAGACAGTACATGGTTGAAAGTCTTTGCTGATCTGAAATGGACATACAATCAACGGACAATACATGGTTGAAAGTCTTTGCTGATCTGAAATGGACATACAATCAACGGACAATACATGGTTGAAAGTCTTTGCTGATCTGAAATGGACATACAATCAACGGACAATACGTGATCGAGAGTCTTTGCCGATCTGAAATGGACATACAATCAACAGACAGTACATGGTTGAAAGTCTTTGCTGATCTGAAATGGACATACAATCAACGGACAATACCGTATATCGCTGTGTATAAGGCGACCACACGTATAAGACGACCCCCCTGTACACGCCTTAAAAATCAACCCAAAATCCTATACTCCGTGTATAAGGCGACCTGGAATGAAACAGATCACAAGTCTGACTGATATACCGGTAGAAGATTTAACTAGCTCTTGCCGACTGTAGCCTATTTCGCACACGGACATCACAAATTAGTTAGTTAGTTACTTTGGAGATTTAATGTGCGCTTTCCGACTGATGCGTATTTCGCACACATCACAAGTGCGCACACAAACCTTATATATGCAATAAAAATATGTTTATCTTGCGTTGTTTTTTTTCTACAATGATAGGTCGCGTGTGTAACTCCGGCACAAGTCGCCATTTTGTGTTTACACGGTACAACACCAAATTGGTGCCCGTAAAATAAAATTCATTTATGAAGTAATAACATATAAGAGACAATGGTGAGTAATTTAATCGCCAATTAACTATGTTGTAACTAACTAGGCTTATGTTTGCTTCACATTCAGCGTGTTTATTCCACAATCACTTGTACACACCGTCTCCAACACTTGTTAATACAACTGTAAAAACAGCGGGAATTGATTTCAGCTTCACCGGTTATCACATGTTAGGTCACATGTGCAATATGCAAATGATTACCGGTACTTCCGACTCTCTACTCACGGATGTTGATTGTTTTACCGTGTCAGCTGGTTTGACAATCTGCATCGAGGAGAGGGTCATTTCAACTTTATTTGCAGAAATTATTAAACTTTATTCAAGGAAAAGAGATACAAATCATGTTTATGTATGGAAATAGTTATTGGAACAGCTATTTAGGACGAAATGCGAAGTTTTATTGTCAAATGCTGGGCTGGCTATCGGACGCCGGTTGACATCGCCAGTAGAAAAAAATGTGAGATCTTCGACTCCGTGTATAAGACGACCCCCCTTCTTAGCCCCCCCCATTTTAGGTACGAAAAACTCGCCTTATACACAGCAATATACGGTACGTGATTGAGGGTTGTTGCCGATCTGAAATGGACATACAATCAACGGACAATATGTGATTGAGGGCCTTTGCCGATCTGAAATGGACATACAATCAACAGACAGTACATGGTTGAGTGTCGTTGCCGATCCGAAACAGACATACAATCAACAGACAGTACATGGTTGAGTGTCGTTGCCGATCTGAAATGGACATACAATCAACAGACAGTACATGGTTGAGGGTCCTGAAACAGACATACGACAATAACTGAACATCACATGACACGACACAACACATGCAACTCTATCTATTTAGTATTTCCACACACAACATGCACAAGGTAACGATTACTGAAGAGTTACTCAGTACTGGCTTAATGTCACTTTGAACAGCTCAGTCATATTCCAGCCTGCTAGCTTGGAATGCACATTCCACCGTGATGTAGGCTGAAGATGTTTAAACTTTGGTGAAAAACAATGGATGAGGGTACCATGGATTACATTAAGAGAGAATTGGATCCATTCTGTAAACTGTAGTACTGACCTGTTTGCCTGATAGCTGGTAAAAGGACAGCCTCTGTCCCCAGTCAGCTATTGCCAGAACGTCATAGGACTCATCCCTGGAACAGCAGGCATCAAACATATGTATTTGGTATGGCACTTCGGCTAAAAGTACTGATCAGTACTTTGTTGTGTTCATTGTATTTTTGGTTTATTCAATAACACTGTGCATATGAATACATGACATTTTTTTATGGATATCAACTTCTTTTATTCTTTGTCAGGACATTTCAGAGCTAAGTCTTGCTCCTTCATCAGGTGAATGCTGGTGAAGGAGCAAGAAGTGTCATGTATTCATGTTCTTCCAACTTAAAAATGCCTAGCAAAGACTTCAATGTGCAAATGGCACCTGACAGTAGAGCCAGTTGGAGTATAGGAGTGTAGGAAACACAATGGCTGATGTGGGGGCACAGGTGGCCCAGTCGTCAAAGGCGCCGCAATTCGCTGTTCAGAGTTGCGTCCCTTGGGCATGCCAGAAACCTATGATTATGGGTTCGAATCCTGGTTCGCCCCGATTATGTTTCTAGGTTTGTCAGCACCATACCCGTGCTCGTGGGTTTCACCGAAGTGGTAAACGTCTGAGACCTGCATCATTTGGGGCTTTCCTCCCACATTAAGCTGACACGCCGTGATATGACTGGAATACTGTTAAAAGCGGCGTTAAACCCAACTCACTCACTCACTCACCATTGGCTGATATGATGTTAAAGAACTGCCATGGGATTAATAATCATTGTCTCATCACTATTTTATAACAAGCACTACCAGGTCAATTACAATTCTAGAAAAGTACCATGAAAGTTTGTGTCCTTTAGTACAGAAATTGTGCTAGATTGTAGCCTTAAGTCTTATGTATTACTAACTTGATAACTTTGTAAGCTTGTATCTACAAAGGAGAAGTCAAGTGTCCCCAGTCTCCAGTGATATAGGAAGTGATAGGAAGTGACCCTCTTCCCGAGTTAACTGACAACAAGTTTCCACCCTTGCCGAATTAGGCTGGACTTATTTGCTGGACTAATGAGTCAGTGGATAAGCAAGGATAAGAATTAATGGATGAACAACTTCTTTATGACTTGCTTGTAACGGTGTTAGAACCTACACTGAAACGTTGCTCTTAATTGAAATAAAGAAGTTGTTCATCCATAAATTCTTATCCTTACTTAGTACTCCAACTTCTAAATGCCTATCAAAGAAGTGAGTCAATGGACAGTCTAATTAAAATTGTGTAACAAAATCAACATCCGGTTCATATACTGCCATGTAGATTTTGGTTGATTGCAGGATTTGCAGAGATTGTGTACCGTCAACTGGGCATCAACAGATATTCCAAATATTTTCATGTTTTTAAACAAAGTGCTCTTGATCTGATGCACTTTGCGAGATAAAAACTGTTTTATTACAATAAAGATCATGATTAGATTAGATCATCTTGACTGGGTGCTGCCCTTTTGTTTGCAAATGCAAGTGATATCAGACATGGAATCTGATTGGTAAATAGGAAGGACATAGAAGAGACATAACTCGTAATAGCCACTGGTGGCGCTAGGATCGAGCAACGAAATTCCAGCTTAGCCCGGCAAGGGTAGACACTGGACATTTATAGTTAGTCAACTCCCTTGCCTCAGGAAGATGGGAAGCGACCTACCTACTGGGGTTCCAGGACAGAGACCACACAGGGGCAATGTTAGCTCCGGGTCTTTCAATCTTCACTTTTTCCTCTCCTCCCTGCAAATAATAAATACAACATCACAATACATTCTTTTAATCAATTTGATACCTATAAATTACATGAAAATAATTTGACCCAACATGATAGCATATTAAATTGAAAGAAATCAGAACCATTTGCTAACATCAGTATTTGAAAGAGCATTCTGTCAAAATGACGCATGTGACTAAATCACTTGGTACACCACTGTTGTTCTCTACATCTGAGCCTGGAAAGACCCAACTGTGTTCCTGATGACTACCTGGCCATTGTGTAAGAAATAATTAAGAGCCATGTGCTAAAGTCAGTACTTAAATGACCTACTTTTCAAGATTGTGAACTTAAAACCATTGGTGCTCCACTGCTGCTATTGTTTGATTGGCGACTAACGTTTGTTTTGTTTGTTTGTTGTTTTACGCCACACTCAGCAATATTCCAGCTATATGACGGCGGTTGGTAAATAACCGTATCTGGACCAGACTGATTGACATTATGAGTATCAATCCATGCAATTAGGATACAACCAAGTCAGCAAGCCTGACCACCCGATCCTGTTGGTTGCCTCTTACGACAAGCATAGTCATTTTTTACGGCAAGCATGGGTTGCTGAAGACCTATTCTACCCTGGATCTTCACGGGTGGGCAACTGACAAGTTCCTACCTTGTTCCTGATGCTGACCAGGCCATTGTACAAGCCCAGGGCGAGGTACTGTCCATCATTGGTCCAGCTGCAGCAGGTCACGCGACTGCTCACTTTATGCTTGGACACAGACTTCTGCTCCGGAGACCACAGACCTGTGCACATACACATGTTTACATTTTATACTATAAACTTTCCAGTCGACTAGCCCAAACTTGTTACTGTACATCTTTTCCAGTAAATGTGTTGGTAGATGTAAAAGTACAATGTTAACCAGAGTAAAAGAATCTTATTAGACCAAGCTTTAGACTCAAGTCACAGAGTGGGTTTGTCGAGGCAATCTCAGAACTAAATATTTGGCCCTAAGTTTGCATCCTAAATCGGTCAAATGGCGAATGAGGTATAAAGGAGAGGTAAGAGGAAATATTGAAAATTTTACAATGAATTGTATATTTATATACTTTTCCTATCATACACTATGCATTTCATCCTAGAACAAGTTTCCAGCTTCAAAATACATCTCACCCAAACACATCCCAGTCATCACTATGGTCACCACCATAAACAATGAATCCTGAATCCTGTGTGACCTGATCACATTGAAGTCCCCAGCATACTCATTCTAGAGTGTACCGGTTGGTGTAACTGTGATGCGGGTCTGCAAAATCTAATCAATGCTTGCAGCTCTGCTACCATGGAGATTTTTCATCCTTGTTGTGGCAATCCCTGAGGCAAATGTGACTAAATAAGTAGCGAGAGTAGATCCATTCAGCTTCCTTTTAGAAGGCAAATGCTGAAGGACTCAGCTATTTGTTGAGGTGATGCAGTGATCAGAGGTGAAATGTCCAAGATCCATGATAACCTTCCAAAGCCTTCCACTTATGATCATACAGAGCCTTTGTGGAAGTGTGAATGTGCATCAGTTCTAGCCACTCTCTGTGAACAAGCCTTATCTAAGAGAGACTTCTGGAGATGTGCCAGACACAAGGATGTCAGCGTTTAAGACTGCATTCAGATCCCATGCATGTTGTCTGAACTTGGCTTTTGGGTCTTCAAGACAGAACAAGCGCAGCAAGGCCCGTGGTTCGGGAATTTTCGTCATTCACCGATCGTCAAGGATGGCAAGAATGGAGTTGATGGCGACCAGGTATGTGGAGATGGTAGAGCCTTTCAACCGACGGGTGCTGCGCAAGTACAGAAGGAACTCAGCCAGAAACTGCGGTGATGCTGTCATCGGATCCTGGTGTTTGTCTGAACAGAATGCCTGGAACGAGCACCATTTAATCATCATACAGTCCTCGTGTAGATGGACGTGGGCTGAAGCAATAGCCTTGGCCGCTCTAGGCGAAATAGCCCTTGGCTCAAGGAGCTTTTCTGCTGATGTGCCAGGCGTGCAGACGAAACCGTGCGGGTTTTAGGGTGTGGCAACTGTCTGTGTGGGTGGAGAAGAAGGTTGGACCACACCGGAAGTTCCAGGGTATTGTCTATGGCGATGTTTCGGAGGTCGATAAACCAACTTCTGGCCGGCCACCAGGGCGCGACCAAAATCAGTGTCAGGTGCTGAGTGGCCTGGATCTGTGAAGAACCGTGGGAGGGAGAACTGGAGGCGGAAAAGCGTATGCGTGTTATCCTTCCCAGGGAAAACTTAAGGCGTCGACTCCCACAGTGGCCGGATCCGGCACCAGTGAAATGTAAGGCGACAGCTGGCAGTTCTGAGATGTGGCAAACAGATCGATGTTTGGGGTGTCGATCGTTTGACATAGTCTGGCGAAGACCTCTGGGTGGAGCTTCTATCGGTGGGAGACACCTAGTCCGGCCTGGACAGAGCCTGTGCCAGAACATGCTCTCAACCTGGTGAGAGACGAGAAAGTACAGGTCCAGGCTGACCATCAAGTCGAGGAAGCGGAAGGTCTGGTTATGCAGGGATGGAGAGTGGAGAGTACCCTGGTTCCTCAAACACCACACCATGGTGACATTGTCCAAGGACATGATCAACAGGGCCTGACCAGGGAGCCGGAGGTGCCGGGAATTCTCTGCCAGCAAGTGATGTCCTGGATAAGCGCTTTTATCTTGAAGCTGTTGCTGTGCCAATGGTGTTGATCTCCAGATCACAGTCGGTCACAACGTGGGCTGGTGTGGGCAATCCCAGAACACTAGCCACTGATAAGGTGGAAGCGGCAGTGGAAGTCATGGTAAATGAGGTCGTCTACAAGACTGCAAAGTTGAAAAGTCAGCAACAGGGGTCTCCGATCGTGTATCGTCGGGACAATACGTGGAGAGGTGTGCTCGCCTGTGAACCAAACCCGATGTAGACGAAATAAACCAGCTCCACAATCGACCGTCGGGGCATCAATGTAACTTGGTAGTCGGAAGTCAAGGCAATATGTCCATAAGAGAATGAGGAAATCTGTAAAACTGTGGTTCGGGTAGATCGCACCGTACTGCACGAAGTAATGTGAAGTATAAGTGCTCCTGTTCTTATATTGAGGTGACGATGAAGGACGACAACACGATACTAGGCTTGAGTCAACAGGGGTCGATGGAACGGTCATGGGACGAAGGATAAAATCGACGCTGTATCTGGTAGCCAAGGCCGAAGATATGAAGGTGGCGTAGTCTAAACGATCAAACAGCACAAGGGAAGGTAATCTTTTTCATCCCTTGAACGCCATATAAGCGCTATCATTCTTATAGCAAGGGGGCGATGAAACGAGGTGCCTCGCGACTGCCATGTTGGTAGTGGAGGTCTATCGTTTCCATCATCTGTGCATGGATGGACTGCAACAGGTGTCTGGTTGAGTGGTTGCACCATGTGTACAAGTAAGCATGCAAACCAATCTGTAGAAATACATTGCACCGCTCGCCATGGTCAGTTGGCCTAATTCTGGTCAGAGTTGTTGACAGTTGGAGTACTTGACACGTGACATGTAAATCACAATCAATCTCCACAAACAGACAATCCTCAATGAACTGTGTGATAGACATACAAGTGGTGTACCCGAGTTTTGCGAAAAAACGCGGGAGCACCGTGTAAAACCCGAGGAGCCCCGAGGAAGAATCTCTTTGAGGAACGCTGGCGCTAAGGTAGGGTAGAGGAACGTTGGTGCCGGCAATGTTGATGAAGACAAGCTACAGGGAAGGAAAGATGACCTTCTGCAGATGCCCTAGGCGCAGATTTAGAGCAATCCCCAAGACAAGCTACTGGGGAGGAAAGATGCCCTTTTGCAGATGCCCTAGATGCAGATTTAGGGCAATCCCCAAGATACGCTACTGGGGAGGAAAGATGACTTTCTGCAGATGCCCTAGGTGCAGATTTAGGGCAATCCCCAAGACAAGCTACAGGGGAGGAAAGATGACTTTCTGCAGATGCCCTAGGTACAGATTTAGGGCAATCCCCAAGACAAGCTACAGGGGAGGAAAGATGACTTTCTGCAGATGCCCTAGGTGCAGTATCCGTTTGTAAATTGGCAGCACTGACAGTAGATATGAGGAGAGAAGCCCACGATTGTACAAAGCAGCATTCAGCTGACAGCAGGACAACTGTAGCTGTAGCACCTTCATCCTCATGTGTACAGGACACGGGATACGTAGAGGCATTGAGATCGGACGTGAGAATGAATCAGAGACCATGTCATCCTCTACCTGGAACAGGGTAATGGCAGACGGATGGGGAGATATCCGTTTAGGTTTCTTAGCTGACGAAGGGTCATGTTCCATCTCTTTAGGTGTAGATTTAGAATGGCAATTGTAAGTTTGCTTTTGACATTTACGAATGTAAAGTCTGAGGTCCATCTCGGATAGGGTTATGCATTGATGACAACGCGCTTTATGAGTGCATTTGCCATGACAGTCACAACATCATGAGTGAGGGTCACACGCAGAGAAAGTGTGTTTGCATAGGCCGTATCTGTAACCCATGTGCGGTTGTGTTTATTGAGACAGACTAACAACAAAAAGAAAACAAAATATGTGATCAGGTTGCACGGGATTCAGGCAGTGTTCGATCCATTGTTTAAGGTGGTGACCATGGTGATGGCTGGGATGTGTTGGGGTGAGATGTTTTTTTTAAGCTGGAAACTTGTTTTTAGAATCAAAGAATCAAAGAAGTATGAAATGCATAGTGTGAGACAGGAAAAGTTTAAAAATTATGACTGTTTCATTTACTTTACAAGAAACTTGAAGAATTCAAATTTTATGCTGACCATTGATATGATGATTTTACTGATGAGGGTTAAAACTGGAGTCTGTGAGTGTTGCTTACCAAAATCACTGACTGCACAACTGGCAAGCTGGTGAGTCACTGGATTGTATGACATACACTGGATAGCATCATTGTGTCTGAAACAGAGAAACATTTCATCTGAGAGGGCAGTTAAAAAGTCCAATATAGGAAAAAATAATCGTAATTTCTTATATACTCGGATTCTGTCGTACCGTGGCATTAATTGTACCGCAGCATTTGTGATTTCCGGCAGTTCGAGCGAGAAAAGCATCCAAGCAGACGTTTACTAATGTAAATCAGTAACCAGGAAGTTACCAGCTTTGTAACAATTTCAATTTCTGCGAATGTTCTGTCTATTGTAAGTACGGATTGATTAACCCGTTGATACTTACTTCTGGCATCTTTTTAATATTGCCTTACCACCATCTATCAAAGCTACGATATAACCAGCCGTTTCCCAAGCGAACTTTCTCTATCAACTTTAACTCTATCATCTGCATATTCCTGGTGACGGAATAAGGTAAGTGACGTAGTCTGATCATTTTTCTTATGTGGCCACAATTGTTTTGGATATAATAAGGGCCATAATTAAGTAACAACTGTAGTTTGTGACTAGTAGATTAATTTTAGAGTTAGAACTTAACACTCACCCACTAGCCCGGGGCTCGTACAAATGCCTATGGGCTAGTGCAAATTTCCAAATTTCAACATTGTTTTAACATTATAAGTGCATGTTATCTTTACCCATTGCTAGTAAAGCTATTGAGTTTAGTTCTAACCCTGGATAAATGTTAATTTCCAACCCCTGTTCATCATGTTCATATATTGCTTACGTGTATTTAAGAATGCCCTCTAGTTTACTTGTCCAGATGATGACACTCTTGTCAGCTGATCCTGAGGCAAAGCGTTTTCCATCTTTAGCATATGCAACACAGTAAACAGTGTCCTTGTGCCCCTTGAGAGGCTGGATCATTGTACCATCGTTGGCATCATAAACTAACACACGGTTTCCCGCTGCTACTACCAGCTGACTGCCATCGGACTTGAAACATACACTCCATACACTGAAACAAAAACATTACATAAAAAATGTTTTAAAACAACTTTCATAATTAATGAATCTTGTACCAAATGTTATATTTGGGATAACACTTTCTCAGTGAAGTACAAACTCCAGTACCTATTTGGGTTGAGTCCCATCTGTCCCCCACACTCTCAAAGTGATGAACCTAATCACCAGTACACAAAGTCAGCGATCTAAGAGGGTCCTGATGGGTGGGTCCCATAAGCAGTAAGCAGTAAAATTTAGGGTACTTTTTCATTAAGCAGTATTTTTTCTTCTTTTTCAATAAAATCTTCGCGAAAAATTCCTAAATCGGCCATGGAGGGACATGGGACTTTTAATTCTGCTTTCGTTTCATCCTGACAATTCATATTTTTAATACCTGGTAAAATCTCAAATCGCTAAACATTCTAGACTGGTTCCCTGCGTCAGTTGCGCAGCCTGCTTTCTGTGGCGAAGCATCTGGGTCTTGAAGACAGACTGTTTTTGACCATTTTAATCATTTTACGATAAGCAGTAAATTATTTATTTACGTTAAGCAGTTATTTTTTAGTATTTTATGATTAGCATTTACGATAAAAGAAGATGAATTTTACGTTTACGATAGTGTTTGAAGGGTGTTTTACGTTAAGCATTAAAACCCATCACGACCCTCATCTAACCCACTCAGCCACTGAAGCTTCCACAAAATGGAAGTCTGACAACTGGTTTGAATCCTGAATGGGACTCAAACAAAAAATGATATATGTTATTCCTCGTGTTATCCCAAATATAACATTTGTTTCAATTGACCACTTTCTTAAAGGCACTATATATTCATTAATGCATCTTCCTCAATTTGATAATTACCCTGAACCAATTTGCTATATTAAGTCTGCTTACACCAATTTTACAATATTTATACTGGTGTAGGTGTCAAAAGGTTTACGACAATACAACAAAGTGGATAATCAGCACTAATATGATTCCGAACATCCGTGATACAACCTGTGGTTGTACAGCTGTCAGTGTAAACATGACGTCACACACACTAAACATTGCATATGGATCTAGATCCTTTGAGGTACAAAACAGTGATATAATTTTTGTCTAAGAATTGACTTTCACTTTGTGTGAATTCATTGGAGTTTAAACCTTCATAGAGTAAGGGCCAAACTGTATGAACGTCGTAGTAAGTTATTAAGAGACTCTGATAGTCTTTAGGCCTAACACAAAATTAGAGGGAATTTGTGGAATGAGATTGCTGTCAAGACTTGTCATTACACCCCATAAGATGTACTATAAATCTAACATCAGTTTAACAAACACCTCCTTTAAGAAATTAAATAATGTTGATTCAATCAATCAATCACGTTCATACTTCAAATGATGGATGCAGCCGATTCCCTGGTAACCAACCAAACAATTTATGATGTCACAAACATCTAGAAATATGAATAATTGAAATGAAATTATGCTATGTGAAAAAAAATGAAAAATACCATTGTTCTATCTTATCCTTGTCTTGAACTTTATCTACCCATGTCGGTACAGCCCTCATCTTTTCGTAAAACACACTCAGCACCTATGCTGTCGGTGTTTGGAATTCAAGTCCAGCGCGCATATCAAAGCGCATATTTTTGGGTTTCCGGTTTTAAGCATCCGGTTTTCAGAACTTGAGTAACTGATTACCCTAATAGAACAGTCTTAATATGTACAATACATACAAAGATATATTGCAAATGCGAGGAACGAATTAAGTAGTATCTTATCGTTCCCGTGTAGAGATAATAATGTATATGAAGACGAGGCACTTGTATTATCAACCCTGTTAGTTTCATTTGCCAAATAAAGGGGCGTAACTCCTTTCGGTAAAGTACCTGTCTTTTGTCCCTTCGTCATTTACCGGAAGTTTTCCTTGGGTCAGTGGAGAGATTCTCCGGACTATTTTAATTCATTTTGATATTTCTTCTGGTACATTATCAAAACGGGTCTATTGTATACTGTGTTTCGCGAAATTGATGTTTGGTATACATTCAAAAAGAAAACGTGCGATGTGATGGATTTGAAACACCGACAATTTGCCAATCAAAGTGGGAACTAGCAGGTCACTGACATCTTCATGCAAATGGGTTGAGGATATTCTCAAAGGCCCATGTTTGTTGTGTAAGTAAACCATTTCACCTATTTGAATAAACCTAAGATCATACCAAATATCACAGTAACACGAATATGATGAACATTAGAATTATTGTTGTTTTAGAGAGGCTTTATGATGAAATGTAAACAATATAAGGCATAGTCTAATTAATAATCCATGACACAGGATTTGCCACAGTTCACCTTATAGGCCTTTTATTAGAAAATATATAAAATAAACATTGTTCTCATGGTTGTCCATTAGTATTGCAGCAGTTTATTATTTTATGATGCTAATGATCAATTTGTCAGTGTTGGATTAAAGGAGAATAAAATGTCACATCACATAATCACCCATGCATAGAATGATCCAGAATGTCAATTGTCTAACGTAAGGATTGATTATCACTAATCCGAGCATGTTGCTTATGTTATCCTGAGGGTTATTACAATTTTCTGATCATGCTGTGCTATATATTTAGCTCAGTCGTTATGGGTAGCAAATTCCAGAATATGACATTTCGTGGTTAGCTTGCCAGGTACAGTTCTAACCTAACAAAAGGGCAATCCCAAAAGGATGGCTGGTATCTAAAAAAAAGATTTCAGATTTTGGTTGAAATAAAATCTGTCATTACCATGACTACACATAAAACTTTATTAGTAAGCTGCAGCACACAGAATGCTGTGAAATTTATATGTGGTCATACAAAGTCATTGTTTTAGTGCATGACACATTGGTTGTTTTCTTTGGAGTTGAAGCAAGAAAACTTGCTTGTATTTGAATGTTTTAAGAACTTACTGTTTGTATAACTATTGTTAACATGGATATGGATGAACTGACAGCATGAATAAGGTCTTAAACTTTAAAAGTGACACAGTTCGGATTGCTGAACAAACCCTAATTCAAGGTGCTGATCCAAAGTATTTTCAGGTTGTATATTCAGCAACCATGACAAAATGAGGATCACCCATGAGAACATTTACCAAACAAAACAAAAGTGTACAGTAGTTCTCAAACACAGCTGTAGCGGCTTAAAAAATATACTTATATGAAAAAAAAGCATGACTTCCTACAAAATTATGAAATTAAAGCACAAATGAGTTCAAATGAAGTAAAGAGAGATATATGTATTTACATATGGTTTTTTTCATGTGTTGAAATTTGGGACTGACAAATATTAGGGGGGACTGGTGTTTCAAGAGCCAGCGGGAACACTGTAACCTCTGACAAGTCTAGCAATGTAGAACCCCTGACAAATCTTACCCATTGCATACACATTAAATGAGAACTTAGTCTTCCCTAACAGGTTTTAAAAAGATACAATTGTTACTGCAGTTTTTTAATACATTTTAAACAACAACAAAAACTACCCCCCCCCCCCCCCCCCCCCCATAACAACTAAAAGAAACCTGCTGAGCTACAAACTTTTTAAACTCTTATTTCAACCTACTCAAGGTAAATTGATTAGCGAAAGGCTGTAGACAATGATGAATGTGCATCTTGTATATTCTATTTGTTGTGTATTAGGGGAGGCCCAGGTCAGGTGGTAATTATGCCATCAATAAATTTGTCACTAATGAGCCTTGGTTTGTGCAATATGCATGAAATATACATTTGGTTTACAGTTATCAGGGCCCCTGATTGGCTAGTGTTTTTTCACTGGACTTAGACTGTTTGGAAATATGCAGAAGAGTTGGAAATTAATATGATTTGCTAGTCCGCAAAACAGATCTGCTTCAGGGTTTCCGTCTGTCTACTGATAAAAGTGGTAGTCCGCAAGAAAATGCCCCTCTTGGACATACAGACTTTAGTTTGAACTCTGAAAGTGTGGCAGGAGAAATACACTGTGTATTATTCCACTGTTTTTTTTGTGTGTGGAAAATGCACTTTTCTGTTAAGTGTATGTTTGTCAGGCTTGAGAAGGAATACCCCCAATTCCTGCATCATTAATGTCTTAATGTTATTCATTGTGTAGTTGTTGTGCATATATTCAAACACAATTTCAATCTGTGACTTTAGCCACTAGTCTGAAGCCCAAGTCTAGTAAAATTCTGTTCAGTCAAGTACAGCTTATAAAAGTACAAACAAAACTAAAATCTACTGAAAATAATAGTAACAGCCATGTTTGGGGTACTTGTAGTAGTAGTTTGGATCAGACAGCAATTTTCATGATTGTGTTCTGTTTTAAGTTAAACTGCATCGTGAGACTTTAGAAGTTGCTGACCCGGTCTAAACACAATTAAAGGGACAGTATGTCAACGGTTCTGTGTGTTTTTAAATCATGAAAAATTTTCCGAGTGTGCTGTCACATGCCTGATTCAGTTCTAGAACCAAAACAATAGAGCTATGCACAGCAAAGCCGACCACGCAAGCGCTATGCAGCGTAAACTGGCTTCAATAATATTTTTATCAAATGCAAATTAAAGGGAATATTTGTGTGTTTCTTACGGATGAGTTCCAAAATACTAAATGCCAGTTTGAATAGAAGCAAGTGTTTGTTTTAGCCTAGATTACAATATAAATATGCCTAGGTCGTATGAAACCAATCACTCTCCTATCCAGAGTTCCTTACCTTTGTCACATCTTTCACAGTCCATTCTTGTGTTTTTCATCTGTTTCATTTTGTTCAAGTCATTTAGATAAACATAACTTTAATTGAGAAAACATCTTAAAACAAGAAACTGATTTCCATTTGCGTATCTATCTTCCACATGCTGTTATTGAAGCCCTACAGAGAGCTAGGAATATAGTCATTTTGAGCATGTTGAGGTGTAAAGCTATAGTGTCATGCCCCTCAATATCACAGTTTTAGTAGTATGTCTATATAATTATGCTGGACAATATGTAAAGTGCAAGATTTGCATTAGGCGTGTTTGTTTTACAAACAAGCCTACACCGTCACTGGAGCAGAAAGTTCTCTTGTGGAATAAGGCAAGCAGAACAGAGTAAGGTTGGGGGCTATTGACTATTGTTTACAAACACTGCTTCAGAACGGACGACGTCTTGTCCCTATAACATGTTTAAGGTCATACAGAGCAGCACTCTAAGTAGCAACCATTTTGGTGGCCAAATGCGACTTTCATCTATGATGGGAGACCTAAGTTTATCTACTGCTCGCCCAGTGGCTACCTAAAAGTAAACATAACTGGCAACAATATCTGTTTAAGATATCTGTTGGCTCCTAAAAACTAAAAAAAATATTCATGTTAAGAGCCGCTTGGCTCCCTAACAAAAAACAAACTTAGAGGGCTGCAGGGCTTGATTTAAGGAACTAGATATAGCTTGCACCTGGTGTATGTTGGCATCACAACCTTGTTGTACAAGACTAAACCAGGTTGCACTCATAACGGAACCTGTTAACTATAAACGTATATACCCAGACTACCTCAGTGTCGTTAATATTCTGGTATGTCCAATTCTCTGGCAAGATTCACTTGTACATCCCAAACATTCTCTTGCTTTCTTGTTATTATAAGATTCACCTGATAAGATTCATTTGATGACGTCAAGCCCAAAGGACAATGTCAAATCACACATAACACTTGGAATATTGATGTAGTATGGTAATTTACTAAATAATATGTTTTAAATTCAAAGACTGAATATTGATGTGGTACAGTAAATAATGTTTTGAAGTCAAAGATTGATGTTGTGTAGAAAACTTTCCTAGTAAGTGTCACAAATTTGAAAATTTTGAGGTGCACTGGGTGCATGTAGAAATAAATAATAGGTTGCATTTTTCAATATACAGTTGCACTGTTGCCTGTTTTATATGGTTAAATCGATCCCTGTCATAAGAAACTAATTTTCAGATTTTCATCCAAACATTTCAAAATTGTAATCTTGGTGATGTTGTAGGCATTTTTTTATATATATATTAACAAACTGTTCCGGGCATCTCTATGCTTAAACATTCATGCTTCATGTGAGATTCCGGTATGAAACATACTCATATTGACATACGCTCGAAACGTTAAATTCTCACACCATATTCTTGATTGCTATTGCAGGATGTATGGAAGAAGCAGCAGTGTTTTGTGTTGAAGTTCGTCATATCGCCAGGTCATAATGTCAGGTGAAAGTACAACAGAAAACATTCCACTTCAGCCGAGTACATTATCAAAAGTGTTATCAGAGGAACTGTCCCTGGATTCATACTTAGATGCGCAGACTATAGAAAAAGATGTGCAGCTTGACGAGGACAGCAGCGACCTAACCAATCTAGAAAAACTACCTGATGTTGTTGATGATGCTATAACAGCGGCTGTAGAGGCAGCGGAGAATGTCCAGGCTGCTGAAAACGATGAAGTTGAAAGTATAAACTTGCAGGAGTCGGATCTGAATCTCCCGGATGCAGAACAGTTAAATATACCAGAGGATGAGCTAGGATTGCCTGATGATGATGATGAGGAGGAGGAGGATGGAGGGAGTGAAGCTTCAGACGAAGAATCAGAAGAGGAGTCAGATGAAGAAGATGATGAAGAAGAAGAAGAGGAGGAGGAAGAAGAAGAAGAGGAAGAGGCTACTGAAATAGAGCCTCCACCTGATTTAACTAGCATCATTGATGGTCCTGAACCAGTTGCCATGGATACGGACCTGGCAGCAGCTCTGCCGAATGACCTTGAAACTGTGCCGATGGAGAGTGTTCCAAGCACGAGTGAGGTGAAGGAGAAAACCGCAAAGAAGGGGAAGAAGAGGAAGAAAAAAACAAAAGGAGAAAAGAAAGCTAAGAAGGCGAAAAGGAAATCTGGATTTAGGAGAAAAAATATCAGGTTTGTCCACTTTTGATTAAACAGATCATTGTTTGTAAATATGTTGTCCATGAATATATGTAAGAGATTGTTGTCTTTGTCAGTTAGTCTAATGGTACAACACCTTTCTTAACTCTGCCATGTTGAACAGTCTACCTGGCTGATTTGGTCCCCATCACCCTTTGCTTTTCGTAAGAGGCAACAAAATTAGATTGGATTGTCAGGCTCTGTGACCTGGTTGATCTGATATCACCATTATGACATCACACCCCGATTGTGTGGGACCATTCATCATGTTGTCAGGCAGTGTAATTTCCTAGAAAATGTGTTTTAACATTGGGAGGAAGAGTTGTCCACCTTAGACCATAATGTTTCATATTGAGCTTGGTTTGACTTTCGGAGTTGCCCTTGACCAGTAGGAGGTGTTTTTGTTTTCGTTTTACAAGCAATATGGCCGCAGCCAATTTTGCAAAGTATTGATAATTAAAAAAAATACCAAAATTAAATTGAGAACATACTTTCTTGTTCGAATATCATTCATTGTGAGTCACCGCATGCTGGCTTCTACTGAAATGTATCTTCCAGCTCTTTTTGTGTGTATTCAGCTTGGCCAAGATTGATTCTAATTCTTCTCATTGTTACTCATCTTGTTAAACTGTTTTTTCTGATCCAGACCAATTATTTATAGGCTGCTCATAGTAAGCTGGTATATTGTTGAATACAGTGTAAAACCACGTTCAGTATGTCTGGGCATATGGTCTAATCATGTTTCTCTGGTACTGCTCAGGTCTATTATCAAAGAAGATGAACTGGATGCAGAGACTCTGGCCGCCCAGAATGAGGAGTTTGAGAGGAAGAAGCGTCTCCAGGAGATCCAGAAGACTCTGCTAGCCAAGGCCCAGGGTCAGAAGGCCGAGGAGAAGGACAAGGACTCCCAGCTGAAGTCACTACTACAAGGTAACTATAGTTACCACACATCTCTACTACAAGGTAACATGGCCTGGGCCCCGTTCCACATAGCGATCGTAGCCCTACGACAGTCATAAATCTATGTTAAAGTATGGGAGTTACGGTCGTCTTAGAGCTACGGTTGCTTTGTGGAACGGGGCCCTGGCTGGAATGTGAAATAGCACTTGAAGCTAGTCAACATTTTGCTGGAATGTTGCTAAAAACGGCATACCCCCTTCAGAACTTCAGATAACTTTTGAGCAATTGAGTTTTTACTCTTGGGTTTCTATTTTAATTGGGTTATTACATTTTTCATTGGGTAACCAATACTTTTTCACTAATCTATTCATCAATATATTGCGTTTGGGAATTTACACAAGCTTTTTTTATTCTTTTGAGTTTTTCATTTAATTCACGTGTTTCTGTATGCAAGTTAATTGAAAGTAATTGGGTTTTGAATATTTTGGGGGGTATTTTACGCAAATACGCTGCTTATCTGTAGCTCTGCTACCTTGCTCATTGACTGAATAACTCATCTGTTATGTCCTTGACATGGAATTGGCTTGATGGGAGATCATTCAGCGTGATCAAAGGCTTGGGTATGACAAGAAACATGGTTGGTTATCCCTCAATCAGGACCATGATGACTGTTACTAAACTATCACATACACCAACACCTAATCCACTCCACTCCACTCCACTCCACTCCACTCCACTCCACTCCACTCCACTCCACTCCACTCCACTCCACTCCACTCCACTCCACTCCACTCCACTCCACTCCACTCCACTCCACTCCACTCCACTCCACTCCGCCTACGCCACGCCACGCCACGCCACACCACATTCTACACCACACACCAGGCCACTCCACACCACACCACACAACACCACACAACGCCACGCCACGCCACGCCACGCCACGCCACACCACACCACATTCTACACCACATTCTACACCACACCACACCACACCACACCACACCACACCACACCACACCACACTCTACTTGGTTGTCACTGTTGCAGCTGCGGAGGAGGAAGCCACCAAGAATGACGAAGTTGTGATCCTGGACGAGGAGGACAAGAAGTCCGAGCCAGAGAAGGAGAAAGGTAATTTGGGTTGTGTGACTTGTGTCAGCTGATTAAATCTGTGCACCTCTGTTCTGTTGATCATGTTGTTGATAGTTATCAAACAATAATTATGTTCATATTTTATTTTTTTTGTCATCTATACACGATCATATGACATGTTGCTTGTGGAAACCCATAGAGTTAGAAACATTGGAACCTGTGCTTGGCGTAAGAGGTGACTTAATGAATTGGTCGGGCTCAGTTATTGTTGGCTGTGTAGATACCGTATTCGACGTAATAAGCGCCCCACTCTAATAAGCCCCCACAGCGATATTTGCTAATATATTGGCAAGTGAACAATCCCAATTAGCACCCTTTCCGATTGATCAATGTACACAAGACTTATCTATTCGTGTATAATACGCCCTCGTGTGTTATATGCACCCTTAATTATGGGCAATTAAATTCTGGAAAATATATCTGTCGTATATAAACAGTTCAGGCTGTCAGCATAATCCACAAAATTTATCTTTCAACTCTGTTTTTTTCCACCAAAATAATATTATAATAAGAGACCCCTATTTCTAATTTTGAGAGCTCCCTGGGCGCTTATTACGTCGAATACGGTTTGCTCGACATCATTTCTGGTGAGGACTGTATGTTACCCCTGTGTGATATGACAGATGTGTTTTGCCTGTGTAGAAGAGATCGACATCAGTTCTGATGATGCATGTATGTTACCCCTGTGTGATATGACAGATGTGTTTTGCCTGTGTAGAAGAGATCGACATCAGTTCTGATGATGCATGTATGTTACCCCTGTGTGATATGACAGATGTGTTTTGCCTGTGTAGAAGAGATCGACATCAGTTCTGGTGAGGACTGTATGTTACCCCTGTGTGATATGACAGATGTGTTTTGCCTGTGTAGAAGAGATCGACATCAGTTCTGATGATGCATGTATGTTACCCCTGTGTGATATGACAGATGTGTTTTGCCTGTGTAGAAGAGATCGACATGAGTTCTGGTGAGGACTGTATGTTACCCCTGTGTGATATGACAGATGTGTTTTGCCTGTGTAGAAGAGATCGACATGAGTTCTGATGATGCATGTATGTTACCCCTGTGTGATATGACAGATGTGTTTTGCCTGTGTAGAAGAGATCGACATCAGTTCTGATGATGCATGTATGTTACCCCTGTGTGATATGACAGATGTGTTTTGCCTGTGTAGAAGAGATCGACATCAGTTCTGATGATGCATGTATGTTACCCCTGTGTGATATGACCGATGTGTTTTGCCTGTGTAGAAGAGATCGACATCAGTTCTGATGATGCATGTATGTTACCCCTGTGTGATATGACCGATGTGTTTTGCCTGTGTAGAAGAGATCGACATCAGTTCTGATGATGCATGTATGTTACCCCTGTGTGATATGACCGATGTGTTTTGCCTGTGTAGAAGAGATCGACATCAGTTCTGATGATGCATGTATGTTACCCCTGTGTGATATGACAGATGTGTTTTGCCTGTGTAGAAGAGATCGACATCAGTTCTGATGATGCATGTATGTTACCCCTGTGTGATATGACAGATGTGTTTTGCCTGTGTAGAAGAGATCGACATCAGTTCTGATGATGCATGTATGTTACCCCTGTGTGATATGACAGATGTGTTTTGCCTGTGTAGAAGAGATCGACATCAGTTCTGATGATGCATGTATGTTACCCCTGTGTGATATGACCGATGTGTTTTGCCTGTGTAGAAGAGATCTACATCAGTTCTGGTGATGCATGTATGTTACCCCTGTGTGATATGACAGATGTGTTTTGCCTGTGTAGAAGAGATCGACATCAGTTCTGATGATGCATGTATGTTACCCCTGTGTGATATGACAGATGTGTTTTGCCTGTGTAGAAGAGATCGACATGAGTTCTGGTGATGCATGTATGTTACCCCTGTGTGATATGACAGATGTGTTTTGCCTGTGTAGAAGAGATCGACATCAGTTCTGATAATGCATGTATGTTACCCCTGTGTGATATGACAGATGTGTTTTGCCTGTGTAGAAGAGATCGACATCAGTTCTGATGATGCATGTATGTTACCCCTGTGTGATATGACAGATGTGTTTTGCCTGTGTAGAAGAGATCGACATGAGTTCTGGTGATGCATGTATGTTACCCCTGTGTGATATGACAGATGTGTTTTGCCTGTGTAGAAGAGATCGACATCAGTTCTGATGATGCATGTATGTTACCCCTGTGTGATATGACCGATGTGTTTTGCCTGTGTAGAAGAGATCTACATCAGTTCTGGTGATGCATGTATGTTACCCCTGTGTGATATGACAGATGTGTTTTGCCTGTGTAGAAGAGATCGACATCAGTTCTGATGATGCATGTATGTTACCCCTGTGTGATATGACAGATGTGTTTTGCCTGTGTAGAAGAGATCGACATCAGTTCTGATGATGCATGTATGTTACCCCTGTGTGATATGACCGATGTGTTTTGCCTGTGTAGAAGAGATCGACATCAGTTCTGATGATGCATGTATGTTACCCCTGTGTGATATGACAGATGTGTTTTGCCTGTGTAGAAGAGATCGACATCAGTTCTGATGATGCATGTATGTTACCCCTGTGTGATATGACAGATGTGTTTTGCCTGTGTAGAAGAGATCGACATCAGTTCTGATGATGCATGTATGTTACCCCTGTGTGATATGACAGATGTGTTTTGCCTGTGAAGAAGAGATTGACATGAGTTCTGGTGATGCATGTATGTTACCCCTGTGTGATATGACAGATGTGTTTTGCCTGTGTAGAAGAGATCGACATCAGTTCTGATGATGCATGTATGTTACCCCTGTGTGATATGACAGATGTGTTTTGCCTGTGTAGAAGAGATCGACATCAGTTCTGATGATGCATGTATGTTACCCCTGTGTGATAAGACAGATGTGTTTTGCCTGTGTAGAAGAGATCGACATCAGTTCTGATGATGCATGTATGTTACCCCTGTGTGATATGACAGATGTGTTTTGCCTGTGTAGAAGAGATCGACATCAGTTCTGATGATGCATGTATGTTACCCCTGTGTGATATGACAGATGTGTTTTGCCTGTGTAGAAGAGATCGACATCAGTTCTGATGATGCATGTATGTTACCCCTGTGTGATATGACCGATGTGTTTTGCCTGTGTAGAAGAGATCGACATCAGTTCTGATGATGCATGTATGTTACCCCTGTGTGATATGACAGATGTGTTTTGCCTGTGTAGAAGAGATCGACATCAGTTCTGATGATGCATGTATGTTACCCCTGTGTGATATGACAGATGTGTTTTGCCTGTGTAGAAGAGATCGACATCAGTTCTGATGATGCATGTATGTTACCCCTGTGTGATATGACAGATGTGTTTTGCCTGTGTAGAAGAGATCGACATCAGTTCTGATGATGCATGTATGTTACCCCTGTGTGATATGACAGATGTGTTTTGCCTGTGTAGAAGAGATCGACATCAGTTCTGATGATGCATGTATGTTACCCCTGTGTGATATGACAGATGTGTTTTGCCTGTGTAGAAGAGATCGACATCAGTTCTGATGATGCATGTATGTTACCCCTGTGTGATATGACCGATGTGTTTTGCCTGTGTAGAAGAGATCGACATCAGTTCTGATGATGCATGTATGTTACCCCTGTGTGATATGACCGATGTGTTTTGCCTGTGTAGAAGAGATCGACATCAGTTCTGATGATGCATGTATGTTACCCCTGTGTGATATGACAGATGTGTTTTGCCTGTGTAGAAGAGATCGACATCAGTTCTGATGATGCATGTATGTTACCCCTGTGTGATATGACAGATGTGTTTTGCCTGTGTAGAAGAGATCGACATCAGTTCTGATGATGCATGTATGTTACCCCTGTGTGATATGACAGATGTGTTTTGCCTGTGTAGAAGAGATCGACATCAGTTCTGATGATGCATGTATGTTACCCCTGTGTTACATGAGAGATATTTGTGCAGATGTGATCGACATCAGTTCGGACGAGGACTGTATGGTGGTGGAGGACAAGGAGGAGGAGGGCGAGGCAGAGGAGGAGGACATGAACAATGGAGGAGGACACATCGATGATGAACTCAACTGTGCGGACGAACAGGGTCGTGTTCAGGTCAACATCGGACATCCCAACACTGACCCTGACATCTTCCTCTCACACAAGATTGCCAAAAACATCAAGCCCCATCAGGTATGTGAAGATGAGTTGTAAAGGTGGCCGAGATTCTATGGAGTCTATACCTTTTGTAAGACAAGTGGTAAAAAAAATGTAACTACATCTGAAAAAAGTTAAGACTGCTATAGCTGCAAGCTTAAAAACAAACATTAAAAACATACATTGATACTTTAGGGACCCACCATTTGATATTCTTGGGGGGAGGAGAGGGAGGGGGGAGGACTTTTTTTCTCAGAAAAAATATCCCCTCCAAATGCTTTAAAAAAATAATAAGGTGTAGAATAGGTTCCAGCACTCTATTGCTTGTGTTAGATGCCACTCATTGGGATCAGTCTTGGTAATATTGATTGAGTGTTATCAAATCAAATTAAAATCAAATCTTAGTCCTCGCTAACGCAAAACAAAGATCTAAGGACATCCCATTACGGATCATGTCAGGCCAACCTTTCGCAAACTTTGACCAACCAATGGAATGACTGACAAGAAGTCGACAATAGCCATTCAGAAGGCTGCTTTCTCATGCTTTATGGCACTACTTTCAAACTGGCGACTACACTTCGAAATATATTTTGACAAATTCTCGATTAAAAATTTGGAAACTGAACAAAGGAACATTTTGGAATGGCTAATAGATGGACTAGATTGTAGGGATTCAGTCCTTAGGACCGTAACTGTCATTCGGAATACCCCTTCGATTTTGCATGATGAGAAAACAAATTCTGGCTGTCACTTTTCTGATCTGGTAAGCGACACTCTGATTGGTCGGATGAAAGGTTGTTCTGATTAGGCTGAAATGTTGCTGACTAGGTTTAAAACAAACAATAAAAACAGAAGCAACAGATTTTACCTTTGTACATGCAGGGCTCAATTTAGCTATATATAACATGCACCAGTGCAACGTATTATTGAAAAATGCAACCTATTACATATATCTACATGCAGCAACTGCATGTCAAAGTTTGTCAATTTGTGTCAAATCAGATCTTAGTTCTGGCTACCGCTTAACAAAGATCTGAGGACATCCCATTACGGGTCACGTCAGACCGACCTTGCACGAACTTTGACCGACCAATGTAATGACCAATCAGAAGGCAGCTTTCTTGTGCTTTACGGCACTAATTTCAAATTGGCGACTTCGCTTCGAAACATATTTTGACAAATTCTCGATTGCAAATTTGAAATCTGAACAAAAAAACATTTTGGAATGGCTAATAGATGGTCTAGATTGTAAGGATTCCGTCTTTAAACCTGTCACTATCGTTCGGAATACCCCATGTTAAAGTTTTCGAGATTGCATGATTAGAAATCACATTCCGATTGTCACTTTCATAATCTGGTAAGCGACACTCTGATTGGTCGGATGAAAGGTCGTTCTGACGTGACCCCTAATGGGATGTCTTCAGATCTTTTTTTAGCGGTAGCGAGAACTAAGGTCCGATTTAAATGAGATTGGACCAGGGTGTAACCTGGTTTTATCTGATGCAACTAGGTTTTCATGTCGTCATGCACCTTGTGCGAGTTTCCTCACATCTGTTTCCTTACATCAAGCCCTGTATTTGAAGAAAAGAGCTGCTCAGTGACACTCTTGTTTGTGTTCAGATCGGCGGTGTGAGGTTCCTGTACGACAACCTGGTGGAGTCCCTGGACAGATACAGCAGCAGCAGTGGTTTCGGCTGCATCCTCGCTCACAGCATGGGGCTGGGCAAAACTATCCAGATGATTGGATTTATTGACATATTCCTGCGCAACACCAGTGCTAAGACTGCCCTGTGCATAGTGCCTATCAACACACTGCAGAACTGGATGAGTGAGTTCAATCACTGGGTACCGATCGAGGCGGTGCCAGAGTTCCCAGGCATGGTGCCACGACCGTACAAAGTCTACTTGATGAATGACAACTACAAGACGATGGTAGCAAGGGCTAAATTGCTTGGTAAGGAGGATAATGTTTAGTTAACTTTAGATGCGATAAATAAGAAGCGTGGATGTATTTTTTGCTTACCTGACGTCGACCTTTGCCAGAACTACAAACATTCTCTGCATAGCCAGTTATGCAGGTATTATTGTGTAAGTTAAAAGAAGTGGGATGATACACCTATGCATCGATGCACCACAATTTTTACTTCTTGATACAAGTATCGATCACAATCGCTCACTAAGTGAAGAACATCGATCCTTACCTTAAATGTTTGCTGTTACACCAAACACTAGTTAGAAGTGAAAACGTAAATATTTTCATCCATTCCGCCATACTTGACACTGGGTACTGTATATCATCAGTGTGTGAGGTATTTGGCCATCTTGTCTATGAAAAGGATGGCATACGCTCCACAGATAAAGCACATACAAGTATCGTGATATTGGATCGTGAAAAGAGTATCATGACACGTATCGGATCGCACAGTTGGTGTATGGTCCCAGCTCTATAATCTAATAAACATCATTCGCGGATGTCGATTTAGGAGAGACTTTGTTATTTCTTATCTGTGTTTGCCTTAATAGGTTGTATGGCTTTTCTGACCTGATATTATATCTATAAAAATTCAGGTGAGCTACAGGTCCATGTGGCTGTTTCTTGCTGGAAAGTTTCTCCCATCTGGGATGGCAGGGTGTGTACATTCCGTGTGTGTTGTGTTTGTGTAGGTGAGTGGTCGGAAACTGGAGGAGTGCTACTGATGGGCTACGAGATGTATCGCCTCCTCTCCTCGAGGAGATCCATTCCCGCTAAACCAAAGAAATCCAGGAAAACCACAAACTCCTCCCAGTCACAGGAGCCCGAAGTGATCGACGTCGACGAGGAGGATAAAAATAAATTATTAATGACAGGTACGTAACCATAGTAATAACACTTGAAATAGGATAACTATAACATGCTGTTCTTTTCTCATTGCCATGGTGTCTTAAAGGATATTTGTGTATGACACTGCACCATGCACATCCTCTTGAATGAAAATGACAACACAGATACAGTGAGAATGACAAGATGCTGGGGGAGTTGCTGTCAGTTTTGGTAAAATTTCCCGCATGGGAACAAGACTTTGGAGCCTCTTCAGCATGTGTTGCTGTTCATTTGCTTCTGAACCAAGTTGAGTTTTGCAGATGATCTCTACACTTGAAGGGATAGGACAAATTGAAGACCAACAGTACCCTGATGTGTGTTTCAGACATACAGTACCTTGATGTGTGTTTCAGACATACAGTATCTTGATGTGTGTTTCAGACATACAGTACCTTGATGTGTGTTTCAGACATACAGTATCTTGATGTGTGTTTCAGACATACAGTACCTTGATGTATGTTTCAGACATACAGTACCTTGATGTGTGTTTCAGACATACAGGGGTCCGGAAAATTTAAAATCCCAATCGGACATTTGCACTTTGGCCACGCCCCCTTCAAATAGCGTATTTTAGTACGACTTTTCACACACATTACAAGTTTACGTATTCATAATATGATGAATTATGAATTGTTTCAGTTTAAATTGTTTAATTCACCTGACAATTAATAACAAATAATATCATTTTAGATTTACATGGAAAACATACGTTTGTTTCTGTTATAATAACAGTCTGTTAACGTAGTGAACGGTCTAATTAATATTCATGAGTTATATTCATGAGTCTGCTCAAGAGTAGGCGTTGTAACATTTGGATCGAGACTATTATCCCATATTTGGTTATCACGTGACCTCACGGGAAAAGGTTTTTTTTAAACTAAAGATTTTTTTAAAAACAAGACAGATGATATAATCACAAATACTAAAATATCGTTGATAGCAATAGTTATTTGAATACTTTTTCATCTGTACTTAATTATTGACCATAAAAAAATTGGATATCGATAGTCCGAGAAAGCAAAATGGCGGTCAATCACGATTCAATATACGACTAGCTACGGAAAACAATAAAATCTGCAAATCCTCATTGTATGTCAACCAAGTGAAAGTCGTTAGCCACGACTTACAAAATGATCGTCCAGACTTTGAGGGTTTGGCAGATCCGCTCGACTGACCTGCATCGGTCGACTTGCTGTCGTCACGCTTTCGCTTCTTGTCTGAGGTTACGTATCGTAGCATTGTGAGGATAATGAGGTACATCGATGATGCAAGGTATTAATGTACAGTTGTAAACACCTTTCACTCAAATTAACAAGATGTTCTCAGTAATTAATCCTCGATTAATCAGTGTCAACTGAGTTTATTGCCTATTACAGTGATTGACCGATTGGACTATCATGTAGGTACGATGTATTTACAGCAATCAAAACAAACAAAGCTTGTCAGTGTAGTTAATCTTCATTGTGTTGCAACTGCAGACAGAAACTGCTCAGTCCTAACTGTTGATCATGTCCGGTCAAAATTTAAGAATGTCCGGACAAAACTTTTTAAAATGTCCGGTAAGCAATATTTTAAAACAGACATTTGAGATTCCCAATCGGACATGTCCGGCGCATATGACGGTTTCCGGACCCCTGGTTTCAGACATACAGTACCTTGATGTGTGTTTCAGACATACAGTACCTTGATGTGTGTTTCAGACATTCAGTACCTTGATGTGTGTTTCAGACATACAGTACCATTATGTGTGTTTCAGACATACAATACCTTGATGTGTGTTTCAGACATACAGTACCTTGATGTGTGTTTCAGACATGCAGTACCGTTATGTGTGTTTCAGACATTTAGTACCTTGATGTGTGTTTCAGACATACAGTACCTTGTGTGTTTATAAAAGGCGACTATGCTTGTCGTAAAAGGCGACTAACGGGATCGGGTGGTCAGACTCGCTGACTTGGTTGATATATGTCATCGATCCCAATTGCGTGGATCGATGCTCATGATATCAATCACTGGATTGTCTGGTCCAGACTCGATTATTAACAGACCGCCGTCATATAGCTGGAATATTGCTGAGTGCGGCGTTAAACAACAAACCAACCAACCAACAACCTTGTGTGTTTAAGACATACAGTACCATGATGTGTGTTTCAGACATACAGTACCTTGATGTATGTTTCAGACATTCAGTACCTTGATGTGTTTCAGACATACAGTACCTTGATGTATGTTTCAGACATACAGTACCTTGATGTGTGTTTCAGACATACAGTCCCATGATGTGTGTTTCAGACATACAATACCTTGATGTGTGTTTCAGACATACAGTACCTTGATGTGTGCTTCAGACATTCAGTACCTTGATGTGTGTTTCAGACATACAGTACCTTGATGTATGTTTCAGACATACAATACCTTGATGTGTGTTTCAGACATTTAGTACCTTGATGTATGTTTCAGACATACAGTACCTTGATGTGTGTTTCAGACATTCAGTACCTTGATGTGTGTTTCAGACATTCAGTACCTTGATGTGTGTTTCAGACATTCAGTACCTTGATGTATGTTTCAGACATTCAGTACCTTGATGTGTGTTTCAGACATACAGTACTTTGATGTGTGTTTCTGACATACAGTACCATTATGTGTGTTTCAGACATACAGTACCTTGATGTGTGTTTCTGACATACAGTACCATTATGTGTGTTTCAGACATACAGTACCTTGATGTGTGTTTCTGACATACAGTACCATTATGTGTGTTTCAGACATACAGTACCTTGATGTGTGTTTCAGACATACAGTACCTTGATGTGTGTTTCAGACATACAGTACCATTATGTGTGTTTCAGACATACAGTACCATTATGTGTGTTTCAGACATACAGTACCTTGATGTGTCTTTCTGACATACAGTACCATTATGTGTGTTTCAGACATACAGTACCTTGATGTGTGTTTCAGACATACAGTACCATTATGTGTGTTTCAGACATACAGTACCATTATGTGTGTTTCAGACATACAGTACCTTGATGTGTCTTTCTGACATACAGTACCATTATGTGTGTTTCAGATATGTTTTCATCGCTGGTCAACCCAGGTCCTGATGTAGTGGTGTGCGACGAGGGACATCGGATCAAGAACAGCCACACAGGAATCTCTCATTCACTGAAGAACATCCGCACAAGGTAACATTAGCAGCATCAGGTCTTGTCTCGACTTGAACGTGATCCCAAGGCAGAATACGTAGTGTTTTCTTTAACTGTAAGAAGAGTTAGGATCAGATGGTTGCACTGTCTGACAAGGTCTGAGTGTGACCCTGTGATGCAGTCATAGCTCATGCTTTCAGCATCATGTTTAGTTCATGTGTCTGTAATATTGCAGACAATGTAAAAAATTGAGTCTGGACCAGACAATCCAGTGATTGACATTCATGATGTTAGGGTACCATGACATGCAATTAACCATGTGATCCATTAAAACACCACAAACGACCAGCATAAGTAGCTAGGGACCTACTCTAACATGAAATTCCAAGGTCATGTATTGATACAAAATGATACAATTATATACAGGTAAAATGGTGCAAATATTGGAAAGCTATTCCACATAATCTTTCTCCCTGCATGGGCAAAATTACATTGTTATTAAGATGCCTCAATTATCAAGACCATACTATGTTTTCTTCCATCAATTTATATTTGAGACTTAACAGGCTGCTATCATACAGCTGGAATATTGCTAAGTACAGTGTTCAACAGCAAACAAACAAACATGATGATACTCGTGTCATGGCACCGAATGTTTATTGAAATGTCCCCACCCCCAACCCCTATCTGTGACTTACCCCCCTTCTATGTCCAGGCGGAGAGTGGTGCTGACGGGGTACCCGCTGCAGAACAACCTGATGGAGTACTGGTGCATGGTGGACTTTGTCAGGCCCAACTTTCTCGGCACCAAGACAGAGTTCTCCAACATGTTTGAGCGGCCAATAATGAACGGCCAGTGTTCTGACAGTACGCTCAGTGACATCAAGCTGATGAGACACCGAGCCTACGTGCTGCACAGCTTGCTGGGGGGATTTGTCCAGAGGTGAGGAACATTCTGCCATGTTGCAGTAACATTTTGCATCTCTTCAGAAGTTATTTTTTGAGGGGTGTGTTTGTGTAGATATTTTCCCATTCTCTGAGAACTCCCTTTAAGTACAAACATTACTTAAGGCAAGGAAAATTTATAACATTTTGGAATGACATATTTATCTAAGCATAATTTTCAGCTCCAGGTCCACTTCTGACAAATGGACATAAAAAGTCTTCTGTACCATTGCAATGTTATTATACCTCTGAATTTGTGAAAATATGGACTTTTAATAAGTTAGAGTGAGGTTAATCCCTGGCAAGTGTGATGTTGAGTTTGTTTCTGGTTCCAGGCGTGGACACACAGTATTACAGCATGCACTGCCGCCAAAGTACGAGCATGTGTTCCTCATCAGAATGTCTCCCTTACAACGCAAGCTCTACAACGAGTTCATGAACACCATCCAGGACTCAAGTGGTGATGGCCCCTTCGCCACGATGAACGCTCTCAAGGCCTTCGCCGTCTGCTGCAAGGTAGGTTGTCTCCATGACTGCCCATGTTGTTGGTTGTTGCTGACTCAGAGTGAGTGAGTGAGTTGTATTTTACTCCGCTTTTAGAAATATTCCAGCAATATCAACGTTGGGGGACACCAGAATTTGGCTTCACACGTTGTTCCCATGTGGGGAATCGAACCTGGGCCTTCGGTGTGACGAGCGAACACTTTAACCACTAGGCTATGCCACCACCCCTGACTCAGATGGAAGCTGGTTCTTTACATTGATTTTTTATTAATACTACCACTTGAGTGGATGCCGAGCAGGGAAGAATTTATCTCGGGAGTAACAGGGCTGATTGTATCACACCATATATCTGGAATATTGCTGAGTGTGGCATTAAGTGATAGACAAACAAACAAATCTCTTTGAACTCCACTCACTCAGGAATGTGTGTTTCAGACACACACCACCTTGACGTGTGTTTCAGACATACAGTCCTTTGATGTGTGTTTCAAGGTACAATCTCTTATTGGGTTCACAAGAGGTCTTCAGGAATCTATGCTTGTCGTACATGGTGACTAAACATGCTTAATGGTTCTTGGTTGATTTGAGTGCTGACTGACCCCCTATTTAGTCACTGATAGATAAGCTGTGCTAGTGTTTGGTCAGTGTTGATGATACTGTACTCAGCACATTGCTCTCCCCAGATCTGGAACCACCCGGACATTCTCTACAAGCTGGTCAGTCATCAGAAGAATGAAGCTGCTCCAGAGAGTGACCTTGACATTGATCCAGAGGGAGGGGCAAAGAAGAAAAAGGCCAATCAAAAGGCATCCGATTCTGAAAAGAATGTCATCAGCTATGATTGGGTAACTCATTTTCAACTGTTCTGGGGCAGGGTCAAGTTGTCTGACAGCAATGTCAGATGATGGTGTCGTGTTACTGACTTAAGTAGCAGACTTCTTTGTGGATTTATTGTAGCTTTCAAGGGGGTTCATATTCAACGCAAAATGTGCATACAAGTTGGTAATTTGTGGTTGAAGATTTCCTGATTTTGGGTTCAAAATGATGCTATTACCCACTCTTTATAGAATAGCCTTAAGCAAGGTCTGCCCTTGAGGCTGTGTTGAAGTCTAGGGTTAAGTGTTTTACAGTCTCACAATGTCATACAAAAGACTTAGTTTCTAACGATGTTGAAAGCAATTGTCAGTGTCATTATATATGTGGCTGTAATATTGGACAGAGTCCATCTTTGACTACTGAGATTAATTTAGGTTTTGTAATAGTTGCCACATGGACTCACTGGTGAGTTCCATCAGTTGTTGTCCTTGTGTTGAGTCCATGCCATGTTTTGTAGGCCCATGACTTGATGAAGGACTACAAGCCAGGGCTTATCGAGAATGGTGGCAAGATGGCCATACTCTTCTCCATGATCGAGCAGACGCTTGCGATGGGGGAAAAGATGCTGATCTTCAGGTACGTCTCAGAGTCACTGTCTCATTGGGCTGAATATTATAAGGTTAAAAGAATGTCTGTTTTCTAACTTTGTATCCTCTGTATTCAGAGTATTTTAGCTTTCTATGATAGATGTTTTGTTAATCTAGCAGATTTCATCCTTCTTTCCAACTACAAACAGTAAAGGGGTTAGTGTACATTCTATTGTGTGTTTCTTATCTATTGTACAAAAGAGACACTTTACTATAGAGGCAATAGGGAAATCACTCACCATTTTAACAGTTTTGCCTAAAAGTATTATCAATAGTATATAATAGTATAGAAATATTTTAACCATATCTGGAAGAAATGTCCATCTCAAGCAAAACGTAATGATCTCTAATGGTTAGTTTGCCAAGTTTTGAGTAAACGGATAAAATGGTTTGCATTTTTGTATTTGCCTCAATTTCTAACGTACAGTGACATTCCACTGGTGGCATCATACAGTGCTGTGTCACAATGTCACATTGCAGTGATGCCATAGCTTAAAGAGTGTCGTATTTCCTAGTGTAGGCAATATGTGACCTGATGCAGAATGGGAATTAATTCAGTTTTTGTTGTACCGCCTCCGTGGTCCAGAGGTAGAGCATCCGTCCGGAGAGCAGAAGGTCCGGGGTTTGATCCCTGACCGCGTCATACCTAAAGACGTTAAAAGATGGTACCTGTTGTTACCCTGTCTGGCTCGCATTAAGGGGCTAAAACAAGGACTGGTCGGCTCAGAGTCAGTATACTGTGTCTGAGTGGGGTATTCATGTTAAACTGCAGTCCGGACTAGTACAAGCACACACACACACAGACACACACACACAGACACACAGACACACACACACACACACACACACACACACACACACACACACACACACACACACACACACACACACACACACACACACATCGCTATATAAGTGTAATAATATTCGACGCGACGTTCAACCCAATTTCACCTCACCTTAGTTTTGGTTTGATATTATATGCTGTGTTTTTGGTCAGTGTGACTTGTATATGATTAATGTCTGAATGGCTCCTCTGACTGATAGATAGACTTCAAATATGTAGCAAATCACTCCTTATTCATGAAAGTTAGCATTGCACAGAAAATACAAACTCTTACCAACATCTTTAAGATGCATGCCCCGCGTGCCTTTGGCCCTGTTCCATAAAGAAAATTTGGCTACAACGATCATAAATCCTTAAATCATATAAAGTCTTTGGACAACAGGATCCTGAGTGTTGTCTCCCACACAAGTTGAATTAAACTTGTTCATTGTTATATTCCTCTGTCAGTTTTATGATCTAGCAATTCAGTCACAGTCTGGGCCAAAAACATCGATTGAGAAGCCCAAAATTGTATTTTGGCATTATGTATGTAGATTTTAGTGTAATTTGAAAATATTACTCATGACAGTGTGCAATTTACTTTATATCAGAGTGAAAAGGGCTTGCCCAAATACACCCCTGAAGTCAGTCACAAATATCGGAGTAGCTGCCCTTGGTCTCCCTCTTGCTTGAAATTGATGATGCGTGTAGACATATTTTTCGTACTTTGTTGGTATCCTACATTTGGCATGATGGCTTGATTAACAGGGAATTCTCTGTCATGACAAATAAAATACTTTCTCAAAGCAGGAGAATTATTATATATTTGGGAGCATTTGTTGATTGTGTTGTGTGGTTGTTGTTTCAGTCAGAGCCTCTTCACGCTGAACCTGATCGAGGACCTGCTGTCCCAGGTGGATGTGCAACGACCTGACATGCAGGAGAAGTGGGCTCGGAACAAGTCTTACTTCCGTCAGTAGCTTTCTGTCATTATATCCTGTAGCTCACCTGAACAAGTCCTCCTTCCGTCAGTAGCTTTCTGTCATTATATCCTGTAGCTCACCTGAACAAGTCTTACTTCCGTCAGTAGCTTTCTGTCATTATATTCTGTAGCTCACCTGAACCCGTATTACTTCCCAGTTTCTTTCCGTCATTATATCCTGTAGCTCACCTGAACAAGTCCTCCTTCCGTCTTTAGCTTTCCTTCATTTATACTGTAGCTCACCTGAACCAGTATTACTTGTCAGTTTCTTTCCGTCATTATATCCTGTAGCTCACCTGAACAATTCCTCCTTCCATCAGTAGCTTTCTGTCATTTTATACTGTAGCTCACCTGAACAATTCCTCCTTCCATCAGTAGCTTTCTGTCATTTTATACTGTAGCTAACCTGAACAATTCCTTCTTCCATCAGAAGCTTTCTGTCATTTTATACTGTAGCTCACCTGAACAATTCCTCCTTCCATCTGTAGCTTTCTTTCATGTATACTGAAGCTCACCTGAAAAGTCCAACTTCCGTACAGTAGCTTTCCCACATTTTGTACTGTAGCTCACCTGAACAAGTCCTACTTTCGTCAGTAGCTTTCCTTCATATATACTGAAGCTCACCTGAAAACGTCCAACTTCCGTCAGTAGCTTTCCATTTTGCAGGAGGGGATATATGCTGAAAACCAGACATTGCACTGTAGGTCACCTGCCCATCTCCAGACTGTTATTATGAGTAACTATCAATAATAGTGCTCAACAATGTTTGCTGAAAGCAATGATTATTCAGATGAATTATCAGATTAAAGTTAATAGTTGAACAAAATTAGATTTGTAAATTCAAGTGCCCTTGCGCTAGTATCTCTGAGTCAAGATGCAGGCCTTACAAGTTATGAAGATTTGTTTAAGAATGGATATTCCTATTAATCTACGAACTGTTACCATGGTTGACATTCTGACCACAGGCTTGGACGGGAGTACGCCGGGTACAGAAAGAGAGAAGCTGATCAACCAGTTCAATGACCCTGAGAACAAAAGATGCTGGCTGTTCCTCCTCTCTACAAGGTAGGAGTCTGATCTGACAACAACTGGGGATTTTGGCGTATAAAATATAGTCTAGACTTGAAAAAGTTTCTGAAACCAGAAAGTTCCTCATTGAAAAAGGGCTAACATTTCAAAACTGTGTTCTGGTCATATATGTACCTGTTGCTCTACATGACCCGTGAAGATCCGAGGTAGAATAGATCTTCAGCAACCCATGCTTGCCATAAAAAGCGACTATGCTTTTGAGGTGAGTAACAAGATCGGGTGGTCAGGCTCACTGACTTGGTTGATGCATGTCATCGATCCCAATTGCGTGGATCGATGTTAATGATGTTAATCACTGGATTGTCTGGTCCAGACTAGTTTATTTACAGACTGCCGTCATATAGCTGGAATATTGCTGAGTGCAGCGTTAAGTAACAAACAAACAAACAAACAGCTCTACATGGGAAATATTGCAGGGAGAAAAGCCTGTTTATATGTGTAGCTTCCCAATGGGGATTCTTGGTTAGAATATCAGACTTGATTATTCACAGGCCACTGTAATCACAGCATGGATGTTGCTGAGTATTGCCTTCTAGCGGCGTAAAACCATAGTCACTCACTGTTACATATAACATGGTATGTAGTTACCTTTGTATGTATGTGCCTTTGTATGTATGTGCCTTTGTGTCTGCAGAGCTGGTTGTCTGGGCATTAATTTAATCGGCGCCAACAGAGTTGTGGTGTTGGATGCGTCCTGGAACCCGTGCCATGATTGTCAGGCTGTGTGTCGAGTCTACCGTTTTGGTCAGGATAAGAACTCGTACATCTACCGACTGGTAACAGACAACAGTCTAGAAAAGAAGATCTACGACAGACAGGTCACAAAGCAGGGCATTTCAGGTGGGTCTAAGTTCGGAACATCTGTCGAAAAGATGGACAGTTCCATGTACACCTGTTATGACCAGAAAGTATCTATGTCATATGGAACAAGGGATACATAGTTCTGCACAACAATCACTCTTCAATACTGAAAGAAGAGGCAGCAGGAGAAACTAATAGTTTTAGTCACTAGTCCGTTTAATGATAACTAACATATAGTAAAACTATTAAAAATGGCAAATTTCTACTAGTCCTTAGGGACCCTTGAAGATTCCGGGGTAGAATAGGTCTTCAGCAACCCATGCTTGCCATAAAAAGTGACTATGCTTGTCGTAAAAGGCGACTAACGGGATCGGGTGGTCAGGCTCACTGACTTGGTTGATGCATGTCATCGATCCCAATTGCGTGGATCGATGCTCATGATATTGATCACTAGATTGTCTGGTCCAGACTCGATTATTTACAGACCGCCGTCATATAGCTGGAATATTGCTGAGTGCGGCGTTAAACAACAAACAAACCAACCAACCAACTATTGGGCAGTTTGTCAAGGACTACAGGACTAGTGCCAATTTCTAACGCTGTAGAGGGGTGCTACCCAGGCCATGGAGTGAACAGGAGCATGACAGAAGTGGGGGGTGTGTACCCCTCCCTGTGTGTGTTTCATTGTGTGATATTGTTACACAACTGTTCTGCACCATGACCAGGTTCACATCTCCAGTTTCAACTGGTGCCTTGTGAGGAGTTGAGTCATTGTCTTAGGGTACTCATTAATGTTAGAGTGACATGGAAAGAGGTCTAGTGGAGAGTGGAAGATTTGGGGTTCGATCCCTGGCCACATCATACCAAAAGATGTTAAGAGATGGTACTTCTTGTTACCCTGCCTGGTGCTTGACATTAAGGGGATGAAACAAGGACAAGGATTCAGTGTACTGTGTCTGTGTGAGGTATCCATGTTAATACTGGTATCTCTGTGCAATAACACTGTCATTTGTGCAGTCTAGTACATGCACATCAGCACACAAGCAAGCACACAGACACACACAAACACACACGTGTACGGGCACAAGCACACACACACTGTGCAAATGCAGACACTGTCACACACACTCTCAAACAGACATGTGCAGACAGAAGCACATAAACACACACATGCACAGACACTCATACACATGCACACACATGCACACACATGCACAAACACACACACATGCATACATCAATATTAAGTGTAATAATCTTGAATGTAACATGAGAATCCTCATCTAACAGTTAATGTTTGATATTAATCCTGAAAGTTGATGTAGTAGATCAAGTGATCCCTGACTTGTCCCCTGTTGAAGGAAAGAAGATGGGAAAATACATCAACCTGTTGTCAGATTGAAAACAACACCTTCTGTATCCACTTTGTCAATAAGGAACAAATAGTCCGTTTGTTGTCACACATGTGAAATGGGGATGTTTTTCTTTCAAGGAATAATGCAAGTGTCTTTAACTCTTCACTCTATTCATATATGCTAGTTATCATTGCTGAATGATTTTCAATAACAGGTTCTTTAAAACTTGACCTAAATGGAATTTGATTGTAATTTGTGTGTCAGACAATTAATTTGATCAGATGTCTCAAATTTGGTGTTAATGTGTGCAGATCGTGTTGTGGATGAGTTGAACCCGGAGAACCACTTCACACACAGCCAGGTCGGGAACCTGCTACATTATCAGGTCAGTGCACAACACCTTCTTCATCCTCCAGTTCGGGGGAAGAAGAGGTCCCAAGTGTTTAGCTTTGTGATAGCTACCCTGGAGCCTCATGCATCCATAGCTTTGCCTCCACAGTGACATCACCGTCTTCCTCTCTTCCATCTTACCTCACCATGCTTGCCGTAAAAGGCGACTAACGGGATCGGGTGGTCAGGCTCGCTGACTTGGTTGATGCATGTCATCGATCCCAATTGCGTGGATCGATGCTCCTGATATCAATCACTGGATTGTCTGGTCCAGACTCAATTATTTACAGACCGCCATCATATTGCTGAATGCGGCGTTAAACAACAAACCAACCAACCAACCATCTTACCTCAGCACAGATTTCTTATCTCGTGAGGGTAATTTCATTGATGGCTAGTTTTAGCAATACGAAGCTATGGTTGCGAATGGGTACAGGGTGTTTATCATGTAGAATTGATGATGCACTGGATGTATGACTGGGATGTCTTGTCGGATGTCTTGTAATTCATTCTGTCTTTGTCTCCGCACAGGACAAGGAGTTGCCGGATATAGACTTCAGCATGGCTAGGGAGACCTACAGGGACACTGTGATAGGAAAAGTGCTAAGCAATCATGGCCACTGGGTGTCAAAGGTGAGTGGAGTTTTCTTTTTTTTAACCCAAAACGATGTTCATACCGACCTCTGTATTTCATGAAAATGTGCTGAGTAGACATCAAAGTGATATCGGGGTTGTGCTCTCTCCATCATTTGATTAAACATTGGAGCAGTTCTCTCAAGTCGGTTTATGTTGACTGCTGACTTGGAATAAAACTGGTGATTGTGGGTTTGAATTCACCACCCTGGTGATTCTAAGTCAGCACCATACCTGTTCTCATGGTTTCACCAAAGTGGTGTACGTCTTCAACCTGCTTTCCTCCCATATTAAGCTCACATGTAATATAGTTTAAATAATGATCAAAACGGTGTTAAACCTGATTCACTCTCACAATATCTATGATTTAAAAATGAGGAAATATGCATCTCATAATGGGAAATGGGTTAGATTTGGACCCCAAGAATCTGTGCTTGTCAAAGAGGAGACATCATGGTAGTCAGACGTGGTGACGTGGTCAACTGTGTGTTTGAGAGCAGACAAACAAACTGGACAATACCAACATGCAGATTAATTTGGCTTGATTCATAAATGGGGCAGTTGTCTCGATTCCATGTATATCTGTCTAGTTGTAATAACTGACTGTCGCCTGAGTTGTCTCTGTTTCCATACTGGAGGTCTACAACCAGTTGTATTGATTGCAGGAACCGTTCTCTCATGAGTCGCTACTAATTGACAAGAAGGAGCTGCGCCTGACGAAGAGAGAGAAACAGATGGCGAAGGAGGCGTACGCTCGGGACAAGAAGATGAACATCTCCTACACACGACCATCATATGCAGCATTCTACCCTCACGGCCCCTCCAACACCCCCATGTCATCCATGTAAGCATCATGTGTTCTGTGTCAGCGGGATGGGGTTCCAGAGTAACATATCCAAGTGTTTGAAATTTTAAGAAATGCCAAGCTGTCGTTATGACTCAAAGATTTTAGAAGCTGCAGGCCCTGACCAAACTCAGGGCCTCATTTAAAAACCTGCAGCTTATTGTGACAAATAAATAGACGTGTAAACTTACTGCAGGCCATAAGGACCCATACAAATTTGAAACTATGGGCCCGACACTAGATCTACCTGCCACGGGCCTACAGGCAGGTGCTTATTTAGAAAACTGACTTGTCCATAGGAATGGTTGAATTTTATGAAGTTTTTCACATACACAGAATCATAATGACGAATATCTAAATCATGTTGGTTTCTACCCCAGACACACTGTAACCTATTATTAATTAATACCCATAGGGTTTGAAAAACCCAGTTCATAAAATTTGTATGTGCCGTTGTACAAATATCTCTTCATGTGCACCAATGTATTGGTTACATCATCAGGACACCACTGCTGATGGCGTTCAAATCTTATTGTGGCGTAGGTCAGAATGACATCACACTAGAACTGACGTCACTGAAGATTGTTGACATCTTTCGACAAGTGGTTTTCTAAGATGATAGTCGTGATCAGTGCATTTTTTTTTAAGGGGGAATTTTTAAGAAATAATGAGTAATAAAGAAATTATTACACTTGCATGTTTGTCATACTCTTGCTTGGGAAATCAAGAATTCTGATTCTTGTTTCGTAAAATCAGTATGACACACATGCTCATATAATAATCTCTGTCCTCACTCTTTCTGTTGTATATTCTCAGCGATAGAACATGTCCCTAACCTGTTAGCCTGAGTCAGTTTGTCAGGCTGTTTAGGTGGTATCCTTACATGTTTTCACTGCTAGCGAGTAAATATTTCAAGTTGATTTATATCCCTGATACTGTTCCCATTTGGGGCGGCAGGATAGCCTAGTGGTTAAAGCGTTCGCTCTTCACGCCGAAGACTCGGGGTCGATTCCTCATGGGTATAATGTGTGAATCCCATTTCTGGTGTCACCCGCTGTGGTATTCCTTGAATATTGCTAAAAGTGGCGTAAAACCATACTCACTCACTCAATCACTCCTTCCTGATTTTTGCTGTACATCATTGTGTTCTCCCACATTACAGGGGGGCGTATATACGACGTGTGGGCCCATCCCGCCCTGTGGCTAGTGTGAAGCCAATGATCTCTACTCCGGTACCGATGAGGTTGAAGGCAGATGGCAAAGCACCCATTGGTACCATCGTGCGACCCGGGGTCACAGTTCATCAGGTCATCACGACGACAGGTACAAACTCTCAACCTGGTTTTGAGTGGATCGGAGCAAATCAAATCTGATCCTATTGAAGGTCATTGAAAAGCTTTGAAACATCACAAGTGATCAAATCTTTAAGATTCAGGCCTCTTATGGGGACCTGTGTTAGAATAGGTCCAGAGTTCGGAATTAACGTATGTCCACTAGTCTGTGACAAGCAAACTCAGGAAGGACTAGTGACATTTCCTTGGACAACCACTTTTACCTTTAGGTAGGTGGCAACTCTGTAGCAAATCATTTCTGCTGTATAGTGAAAATAAAAATAAAGTTTTAACCCTGAAGTTCCCAGCACTCCATCATAAGAGGTGATTATATTAGAATGGTCAACTTTGACAGAATGCCCTGATGGTGTAGATCATTTTGTATCCCCCAGTATGAAAAACGGAGGGATATAGCGATCAGCATGTTCACTGTCTGTCTGTCAGTCCGTTAGCCGTCCTATTTTCCGTTTCCGCAGCAGAACTCCAAAACCGTTAAATATTTCTTGTTGAAACTTGCTATACACTGAACTGAAGGTATCTAATGGCAATGAACCAAAAGTGGGGTATAAGTAGCCAAAAGAGACCAGGGGGAATACGTCATCTTCTGATGACTCTTGTCATGCTTTCAGTCACTGGTTTGCCTGGTCCAGAGTTGTGTATGATACAGGTTGCTATGATACTGCAGACTGAGGCATCAATCAACCTTCACTCACTCACTTGACTTCAGGCAAACTATTTCCATAGATCACTGGTGGCCCAGTTGTCTAAGGTAAACAATTTGCTGTGCAGAATTGCGTCCCTTGGGCACGCCAGAAACCTATGATTGTGGGTTCAAATCCCGGTTCGCCCCGATTATGTTTCTAGGTTTGTCAGCACCATACCCGTGCTCGTGGGTTTCACCGAAGTGGTAAACGTCTGTGACCTGCATCACTTCGGGCTTTCCTCCCACATTAAGCTGACACACCATGATATAACTGGAATACTGTTAAAAGCGGAGTTAAACCCAACTTACTCGCTCACTCACCCATAGATCAAGGAGAGTGGAAGGTCGGTGGTCCTCGGTCGTGTCATACCAAAAGATGGTACTTGTTGTTACCCTGCCTGACGCTTGGCACTAAGGGGCTAAAACAAGGAATTGTGGGCTCGGAGTCAGTATACTGTGTCTGAGTGGGGTATTCATGAACTGAGGCATGGTATCTCAGTTGGCTAGCACTATTAAATCAGCATTAGTCCGGTCTAGTACAAGCAGCCACACACTCACACACACGTGCATGCATGTCGCTATATAAGTGCAATAATCTTGAACGCGAGGTTAAACCCCATTTCACCTCACCTCACCCCCATAGATCAAGCACTTAGGCTGAAAAGATTTACTGAATCTATCACCAGTACCTCATGATACGTGGGGTCACTTGCCAATGAACATTGACCCCAATTTTATTAAATAGTCTCTGTTGATCTGTGCCCGCTAAGGTAATTTCTTTAAAACATGCTCTTAGTGTTATTTTGAATTTCATGATGTTTTATTGTTGCTTCAGATATTGTGTTGCCAGGCAACAACACAAACACACAAGCAGGTATGCCTCGAAGAATCCCTGCAGGCCAACAGGTGCTTGTTATAAAGACTCTGAAGGGTGTATACATTCGAACCAGTGATGGCAAGCTATTCGCAGTGCGCTCCAAGACTCCGGGCAATATAACAGGAGGCACCAGTGTGACTGGCGTCGCAACTACCACGACAACAGGTGTCATTACCCTCTCCACTTCCAAAGCCACTGGTGAGATATTGAGTAATAAGACACATATTGTATGTTAGTAGTGACAATGACTGGTGAGATATTGAGTAATATGACACATATTGTATGTTAGTAGTGACAATGACAAGTGAGATATTGAGTAATATGACACATATTGTATGTTAGTAGTGACAATGACAGGTGAGATATTGAGTAATATGACACATATTGTATGTTAGTAGTGACAATGACAGGTGAGATATTGAGTAATATGACACATATTGTGTGTTAGTAGTGACAATGACAGGTGAGATATTGAGTAATATGACACATATTGTATGTTAGTAGTGACAATGACAGGTGAGATATTGAGTAATATGACACATATTGTATGTTAGTAGTGACAATGACAGGTGAGATATTGAGTAATATGACACATATTGTATGTTAGTAGTGACAATGACAGGTGAGATATTGAGTAATATGACACATATTGTATGTTAGTAGTGACAATGACAGGTGAGATATTGAGTAATATGACACATATTGTATGTTAGTAGTGACAATGACAGGTGAGATATTGAGTAATATGACACATATTGTGTGTTAGTAGTGACAATGACAGGTGAGAAATTGAGTAATATGACACATATTGTGTGTTAGTAGTGACAATGACTGGTGAGATATTGAGTAATAAGACACATATTGTATGTTAGTAGTGACAATGACATGTGAGATATTGAGTAAGATGACACATATTGTATGTTAGTAGTGACAATGACAGGTGAGATATTGAGTAATATGACACATATTGTTTGTTAGTAGTGACAATGACATGTGAGATATTGACGAGACGAGTACAAGCAGCCACACACACAAACTCACACACGTACATGCACGTTGCTATATAAATGCAATAATCTTGGATGAGATGTTACACCCAATTTCACCTTACCTAATGATTACGTATGTGCATGCTATGTTGGATGGTTAATTTGATGTGGTTGCACTACAGGTGCTCCAGGAGGAAAGGCAAAGTCAACATGCACTACAATTGTCATTCCCAAGACCAAGAACCTCAATTCCAACTCACCCGCAAGTATCAAAATAGTGCGCCCCAACATCTCACTCAAGTCTGGAGGGCCCCCAACCAGTGTGATCATGCCCCGCGGTCCTGCTGCAGGAGGCAGTGGCCAGGGGACCTCCATGCTGGCATCCATCTACTCTCAGACTCAGGCCGTCAACAAGATTCTCAACAAGTCCCAGCAACCCGGAAGTTCCAAGTCGGAACCTTTGTCAGGCCCTGACAGGTCTAGCATGAGTGAGATTGGAGACTCCAGTCGAGACATGTCAGCCTCGAGTTCACCCGGACACACATCAGACTCTCAGCCAGTGTCCGGGAGTTCCTCGCCCGCTGGAAGTAGCGACAAGGACTTGAGACTCCCGGAATTTGGTGTGTTAGGTGTCCCGAACTCTGGTAGGTGGAGCAAGGGCGGCACTGTGTTGCAATCTTCACCATCTTCTTCTTCCAACTCATCAGCTGTTGTATCAATGTCATCTGTCGCTTCTCAGTCTGGTAGTTCTACTGCAGCTCTCTCTCCAGCCTCAGCCTCAGCCTCTGGCCAGCCTGCCAAGCCCAGTCCATCTGTCACAACCTCGGTACTACCTGCTGACCAGTCTGTTGCCAAGATGACCGGGCCAGCTCCCTCACCACCTACCCCCAGTCAGCCTACACAGAACCCGCCCTCCATCAAACCTAGTGCTCCTCCTACCCTTCCCCCAGTAGCCACAGCATCTGCGCCAACCCACTCGGTTCCTCCTCAGCCTGTTCCAACACAAGTTGCTGCTGCTGCAGCTCCACATCCTCCACAGTCTACTCAGACCACTTCACCCCCAAGTACACTTCTAGACTTAGATTCAATTAAACCCTCATCCACCCCCATCACACAGCCCCACCCGTCCCAGCCTGGATCGCAGTCGTCACCCTACCCCCAGCATCAGCCTTCAGGCCCCCGCTCATCCATAATGTCAAACAACTCACAGTCTTCCAACTTCTCCATGTCCAACCTAGCAGGCCCATCATCACACCAAATGCACTCGCAATACGGTGGCCCGAGCAATATGGCAGAGTCCTCACGTCCAGAACAGTCACAGATGCACTCGCAGTCCGCCATGCCAACTCACAATCAGGCACAGAATCAATCTTCAACCCAATATGCCCAATCACAGCCCTCGACACATCCTCCGTACACGTCTCAGGTCCAGCCACAGAGCCAATCACAGTCCTCCAGACAGAACCCTATGGCCCAATCACAGTACCCGACACCGACCCCTCAGTCTCACTCCTCCCAGCCATCGGTGCAGTCAGGGTCAATGTTTGGTAACCCGCTGGCCCACCTGACAGCCCAGTTCGGGTCAAACCAGCAAGCGAGCGGGGTATCCATGTCACCTTACCTACCCAAGCCAGTGTACCCAGGCCACTCCACCACCTCACAAGAATCTGCCTCCTCACAGCTGCCAAGTAAGTTTCAACTCCTTGCCTAGAATGTTAAGACATTGCCCTGTCAGCTCAGAACATGGGTGTGATGATATTCTGAGCGTGTCTGAGAGTCATCAGGGTTTTGACATAGTGAGGAATCCCACATGTTAGATGTGATTTTAATTCAAAATACTCTGAATAATTTTAGTGAGTCATATTTGCCGAAAAATATTTTTATCAATCAAGTTCCTACAAAACAGCCACTGTAACATAAATTGTTTTGATTTTCGGTGTATTTTGTATTTAATCCAAATATTTCTGGGATTGTATTTTGTTATCAATATCTTGTAGAAATGATTGTGATCATGACTCTCAAAAACTATGCAGTGAGTCATGATGACTCCCAGTTTACATAGGCTAGGCAAAACCCTGTTGACCTGTGAGTCTGAGTGTGACTGGGGCCTAGTGGTTAAGGTGTTGGCTCATCACGCCAAAGAGCTGGTTTCAATTCCCCACGTGGGTACCATGTGTGAAGCCAGTTTTCCTGTGCCCCAGCCGTGATATTGCTGGAATATTGCTAAAAGCAACATAAAACCATACTTACTGACTCACTAAAGATTTCTGAGATTGACAGAAAGATCTTGGCATAACTGAGAGTGCCACTTCAGTTGAAACATGTCTGAGATGGATTAGTCTAAAAAGATCTGAGATGGACACATTAGTCTAAACATGTCTGAGATGGACACTTAGGTCTAAACATGTCTGAGATGGACATTTTAGTTTAGACATGTCTGAGATGGACAGATTAGTCTAAACATGTCTGAGATGGACACTTAGGTCTAAATATGTCTGAGATGACAATTTGATTTAACATGTCTGAGATGGACACTTAAGTTTAAACATGTCTGAGATGGACACTTAAGTCTAAAAATTTCTGAGATGGACATTTAAGTTTAAACATGTCTGAGATGGACACATTAGTCGAAAAATATCTGAGATGGACACACTTAAGTCTTAACATGTGTGAGATGAACACTTAGGTCTAAACATGTCTGAGATGGACACATTAGTCTAAACATGTCTAAGATGGACACTTAAGTCTAAACATGTCTGAGATGGACACTTAGGTCTAAACATGTCTGAGATGGACACATTAGTCTAAAGATGTCTGAGATGGACACTTAGGTCTAAACATGTCTGAGATGGACATTTGATTTTAACATGTCTGAGAGGGACACATTAGTCTAAACATATCTGAGGTGGACACGTCAATCTAAACATGTCTGAGATGTCACCACTGTGAAGTGTCCAGAATATTGCTAAAGTGGCCTAAAAGTCACTCACTCATTCAGAAGCCATATTGGGCTTAAACATATCTGAAGCAGTCAGTTAAGTCTGAACATCTGAAATTTTCTTTGTATTCCAAAATATCTGAAATTTTAGATTTTGTCAAAACATATCAGGGTTTGTGATGTAAGTCTGAATGTGTCTTTGTTTGACATGTTAGCAATAGCTTGGCTAGTCTATATCCAAAGTTGAAAGTTGTTCAAGGGAACCATGTCAATCTAGAACATGTCCGAGATTGCCATGTCATTTTGGAGCATATTCAAGATTACCATGGCAGTCAACAGTATATCCAAGATTGCCATGTCAGTCAACAGTATATCCAAGATTGCCATGTCAGTCAACAGTATATCCAAGATTGCCATGTCAGTCAACAGTATATCCAATATTGCCATGTCAGTCAAGAATATATCTGAAATTGCCATGTCAGCTCAGAGCGTATTCAAGATTGCCATGTTGGTCAAGAGTATATTTGAAATTGCCATGTCAGTCTCGATCATATCAGAAATTGCCATGTCAGTCTCGATCATATCAGAAATTGCCATGTCAGTGAACAGCATATCCAAGCTAGATTGCCATGTCAGTTTAGAGCATATTCAAAACTACCATGTCAGTGAAGATTATATTAGAGATTGCCATGTCAGCTGAGAGCGTATTCAAGATTGCCATGACAGTCAACAGTAAATCCAAGCTAGATTACCATGTCAGTTTAGAGCATATTCAAAACTACCATGTCAGTGAAGATTATATTAGAGATTGCCATGTCAGCTGAGAGCGTATTCAAGATTGCCATGACAGTCAACAGTAAATCCAAGCTAGATTACCATGTTAGTTTAGAGCATATTCAAAACTACCATGTCAGTGAAGATTATATTAGAGATTGCCATGTCAGCTGAGAGCGTATTCAAGATTGCCATGACAGTCAACAGTAAATCCAAGCTAGATTACCATGTCAGTTTAGAGCATATTCAAAACTACCATGTCAGTGAAGATTATATTAGAGATTGCAGCTGAGAGCGTATTCAAGATTGCCATGTCAGTCAACAGCATATCCAAGCTAGATTGCCATGTCAGTTTAGAGCATATTCAAAACTACCATGTCAGTGAAGATTATATTAGAGATTGCCATGTCAGCTGAGAGCGTATTCAAGATTGCCATGTCAATCTAGAGCAAATTCAAGATTACCATGTCAGATGTCGTCAAGTTGGTTTCAGTTAAGACTATCACGGGGGGCACGCGTGGCCCAGTCGTCTAATGTGCCACGATTCGCTGTGCAGAGTTGCATCCCTTGGGCACACCAGAAACCTATGATTGTGGGTTCCAATCCCGGTTCGCCTCGATTATGTTTCAAGGTTTGTCAGCACCAAACCAGTGCTCGTGGGTTTCACAGAAGTGGTAAACGTCTGAGACCTGTAATCACTTCAGGCTTTCCTCCCACATTAAGCTGACACGCCGTGATATAACTGGAATACTGTTAAAAGCGGAGTTAAACCCAACTCACTCACTCACTCACTCAGACTATCACGACACTGCACTGTGTATATAAAAGTGGTCAGTAGTCCTCAATGCACTACGGATATGCTTTCACCGCTCTAGTGTGCTTTCTCTCCTCTGTCACCTGTAGTATTGCATGTATGTTAGTAATTCATGTACAAGATGGTTGATGCAGTGACAAGCAATAATCACTCTGTAGTTGAGGCTTGTTTTCAGAAACAACTCCAATTCATCATGTTTATGTTTGAATGAATGGATCGTTTTAGTTTTGATATTGATAGATATCACTAAGGAAACATACAACTTTATGGATAACAACTTCTGGTTTATTGCATATAGGGACATTTGATGTAGAGTATCCACTCCAGCTTGATAACAGTGTAAGGATCTTCATCGGAAATCCTAGATAGGTTTGTCAGCACCCCACCGGCGCTTATGGTTTCACCATAGTGGTCAACAGCTAAGACCTGCACCACGTCGGACTTTCATCCATCAAGCTGACACGCTGTGATATAACTGAAATACTGTTCGATCCATGAAGACCCGGGTAGAATAGGTCTTTTGCAACCCATTCTTACTGTGAAAAGTGACCATGCTTGTCGTAAGAGGCGACTAACAGGATCGGGGAGTCAGGCTCCCTGACTTGGTTGATGCATGTCATCATATCCCAATTGCATGGATCAATGGGCATGATGGCAATCACTGGAATGTCTTGTCCAGACTAGATTATTTACAGACTGCCGTCATATAGCTGGAATATTGCTGAGTGCGGCGTTAAACAACAAACAAGCAAAGACTGTTCACAGAGGCATTGAAAACATTCACAATTGCTGATAAGCAAGTTGTTAGTAGGTTTATTAAAACCCATGAACCGAAGCTACTTTTGTGATCTGGTAAAATTTGTTGTCTTTTGTTGTATATGCTTTGTTGCTGCCTCTGTCTGAATACAATGGTAACAAGCTTATCCTTAGATTTTAGATTTTATTTATTTATTTACAGTGATCCCTCGCTACAACGCTACCTTCGGGTCGGAAGAAATTGTATCTGAAATTATTATTTTATCAGGAATAATATATTCCATTGTGTTTTTTTAGTTGCAGCTTCCACCATATATACTTACAATTATATTTATTTATTTATTTATTTATTTATTTATTTATTTATTTATTTCAATAAGGATGCTTATATCTTTTATTTCAACTGGTTTTGGACTGGTTGTGTTTACACAATGTTTTGTTTCTGGATGATCAGTCAGGTAGCCTAGTGGTTAAAGCGTTCACACGTCACACTGAAGACATAGGTTCGATTCCCGACATGGGAACATTGTGTGAAGCCCATTTCTGGTGTCCCCACCGTGGTATTGCTGGAATATTGCTAAAAGCAGCGTAAAACCATACTCGCTCACTACGCTTTGATGAGCCTTCATGAATGATCAGCTAAGTTTTAGAACCAGCCAAATCAATCAAATAGGTTAACAGTGGTCAAATTTCAGATGGCCAGGAAAAACTTTGTCCCAGATTGTTTCCCTGATGTTAAGTTAGACAAATATTGACAAATTTCAACCCAATTCAACTTAGCCGTGCTTTCATATTCTGTGAAACATTATCTGTTTCAATTTGTAGCAAAATTAAAAGTTTGAGAATTGGTTCAGAATATTCTATGAGTCACTTAGGACTACAATACCCCCCCAAAATGTTTGAAATTCTACCAGCTTTTAGGATACTTTAAAACTGGTCCGGGCAGTTGGGCTAGTGCTACCCCTGGTATCCTTGACTTACATGTGCCTTTAGTGTCCTAAGTTCTGTCAATGTTGGCCTTTATGCCCCCAACATTAATCGTACAGGTGTTAAGGTCATCAGGTCATCATATAACTGAAATACTGTTCAAAATGGCAACTAGCACAACTCCATCACTTGAGGTAACTGCAGTTGTTATGAACAACTGATGTTCTCCTCAAATATTCATCCGTAATCATCTCATTGCTGACGATCCTACATTGACTGTTTCAGGCACTGACGACACCAGTATGCCGAGCCAGCGGGGCTATGGGGAGACTGACAGTGCCATGAACTACAACCTCAATAACAACACCAGCAACAACAATCTCGGCTTCGGTGGGTCCAACAACTACTACAACATGGGAGCCGGGATGTCACATCAGTTGTCAGGGTCGTCAGGGGGAGGTAACCCACAGATGATGCACAACCCCTACTTCCCCGGCGGAGGGATCAGCTCCTACCCCTACCCATCCCACATGTCGATGCTGGGCCAGGGGCCCGGGATGGGCTACAGCATGCCATTTGGCATGCAGAACCCCATGTCCACGCCCATGGCAAGCTCCATGCCCATGATGGGCGGCGGGCACGGGATGATGGGCGGCGGGATGGGACAATCGCAGCAGCAGACTCCAGCAGCATCGACACCTGCCTCAACAACTGACAACAGTCACAACTCAACTCAAGCCCCTCCCACAACCTCTAGCAACCAGTCCAATGTTCCTCAGATGCCCATGCCGTTCCACCCGGGAATGTACGGCATGGCCCCCAACCCCCTGCCCTACCCCGGTATGCAGTCGTTCATGAACTCTCCTTCCATGTACATGCCGTACGGCATGCCAGCGATGATGCCCTTCGGCCCCATGAGTGGAATGGGCAACCCCATGCAGTCCCAGTCTAGTCAGATGGCCAACTATGGCCAGAACTCTTACGGACAGTCCATGTCTCAGGATGGGGGTGGTCAGGGCCAGAGTCAACCAGATGGCAACAAGTAAATGTGCAGGCACAGGATTCAGTGAGGACAGGGATTCACCACGAATGTTGTGTGTTGTGGAATTCACCACAAATATTGTGTGTTGTGATAACAGACGTCTTATGTAGGACAACACGTCAGTTGGATCTGTGACCTTCTGGGATATACTTACCTTATTCTGTGATGTCAGTTTCATTCAGCCTAGTGGTTAGATGGGAGGCAGAGGAAAAGGCGTAGCACTAGGTTGATAATGCTTCTGACAAGATTTCAGGAATTCACTATATCCTGTGTTGATCGTTGGGGTGAACAGAAATAAGGTTCTTCATGTTGAGATACTTACCATGAGCTAGGGCCGGTTACGATGTTTGGATATGTGACATGCAGAAACCACTGGAGGAATTCCAAGTTACATGCCCTGGGTGAAGGTCAGTGGACCTGGAGGAAGGTCAGTGGTCCTGGGTGAAGGTCAGTGGACCTGGATGAAGTTCAGTGGACCTGGAGGAAGTTCAGTGGACCTGGAGGAAGGTCAGTGGTCCTGGGTGAAGGTCAGTGGACCTGGAGGAAGGTCAGTGGTCCTGGCATGGTATCATGTAAGACCAGTGCTGTCTAGACATCAGCCACTTGATGATGATGGATAGGGTTGTGTCTGGAGAATATCAGAAATGTTAGTGATAGCATCTCATGGCAAAGGATGTGGACCAGCTGCCATGGATACATGATGGTAACCGCTGCTATTACTATGGTTACAGCAGGTAATGTCACCCCTTCAAAGTTGTCATGCTACCATGGTAACCGTCACATAATTGATACCTCTTCCACACAACAGATCACAGGGTCCTGGAGGAACAGTATCAACAGACTAGTGTTGTAGGGTGAATCAGGCTGAACTGTACAACTGTCTGACAAAGCACACTGGCTAGGAATATGCACTGTTGGCAGTTCCTGTGACCAAGGAAGACAAAGACTCAGAAAGTCGCACAAGAGTTGCCATGGTTACAGCAGACCAAGTGATCTCATGAACGGACAAAAGAAACATTGAGTGATTTCGCACACTGTTACAAAGGGTATCATATAGTCATTGGCTAAGGGAGACACAAGGCTTGTTGTAATGTGAAATGTGCTTGTAAGTTGATGCTGGCCATTACATGGTCATATGAACTGTTATTTCAAAATATATGTACGCCTCATAGCATCAGCTGGCAGACTGGGTGTAATTTTGCATACACATGCCGAAGTTTTGAAGAATTCATTAAATATCAATATCAAATGTCATCACATAACAAATTACTTTCTGCAAAGAGTCCAAAAATATTTGCAACTAGATCCTACAGGATATAATATGCCTGTATCAAATTTAGAATTTTTTTTGAGTTATATTTTAAGGATTGTTTGTTATTGTAAATCAGAGAAATAGTATGGACTAGAGTTAGCTATTACCCCAAGCACACGAAATATCGACTGGCAGGAATGTCCTTGTAGATTTTATTGTAGGTATCCCCAATGGAGTGTTGGTTGTCTGTCATGGAGGCAAGGAACATGTGTTCTCCAAGACGGTGCTTCGTTGCAATTGTTACCATGGTTACTGTGTGTAGATACCATTCTATTTCACCTGCATGTACCATGTATTTATTCACACTGTTTCAGTTTCACAATCGATTAGTGTCATTTTGTAGTGGCATTTTAGACATATCATTTGTGGATTTCTATTTAATGTATTTACTGACAGGATAGGTGTTCATAGCTGCCTGTCACTTCTTAATCATGTTTATATGGTCACGATTTTAGTCATTTGTTGAAATGTTTTCATTGTTGCACAGACTGATGTAAATTCCCAAATCTTAGCCTATTGTCAATCCTTTCAGTTTACCGTCTAAACTGTTCTGTTCTGTTCCTCACAGGAAGGGGTCATGGTCCAGTGTGCATCATACTATTCATTAAGGGCTAACAAATTGGGGAATAGATGATCAGAATTACTGCTGGCTCAGAACAACTGAGTGATCATACTGTTGACTACTGGTTTGAAGGCCCAGCTTTGACTGACCATGATACAGCTGCTGTTTTGCTGAATATGGCATGTAACACCATTCTTTCTCATTCTCTCGACCGCCCTGTTACTTTCCTTCAGTGCAGTGAAGGTCAAGGTCATGGTCACAATACCTTTCGTTTTTTGGGAGATTACTTCCATCAGTGGCAAATAGTTTAAATTCAAAAGAAACTTCTGGTCTTTTTGGGAGTATTATTTCAGTAAAATACTACATCTACTTATCGCTGTGTGGTTTGTTGATTATAGTTGTGGATGTTTAGCGAAAGACACATCATGTTTGTTTCTGTCTTGGCATTATGATTTATTTGCCGTTATGTATGTCATCTGTCAGTTAAATTCTCATAGTATCAGTGTTTCTTGGAACTAGATCCTTGTTTCAGGATGAGTGCTTATCCAAGATACTGACAGATATTGTGCTAACATTTAATGTTTTTGTCAACAGTATATAAATATGTTAGGTTTTCTCGTAAGTATCGACCAGGTATCTTGTCACCTTGACCCGTGTTGTGTCACCTTGACCTGGTAACTTGTCACCTTGACCTGGTATCTTGTCATATTGACCTGGTATCTTGTCACCTTGACCTGTATCTTGTCACCTTGATGTGTATCTTGTCACCTTGATGTGTATCTTGTCACCTTGACCTATATCGTGTCACCTTGACCTGTTTCATGTCACCTTGACCTGTATCGTGTCACCTTGACCTGTATCGTGTCACCTTGACCTGTATCATGTCACCTTGACCTGGACTCTTGTGTACTGTCAGTGACTGAGATTGTATTGGAACATCTCCTTCCGACCAGTCACTTGATATGTTCTTATGCTCAGGGATTTTAAGATTTATGTAAATTATGGAATTCAATAAGAGCCATGTTGATTGGCAGGCTGTCATGTCAATGTATAACCCCAAGATGTCAAGTGTGTAGTGTAATATGCAATCATAATACGATTGAGGCATCAAGATTTATTCCAAGACTCTGATATGTACAATGACTGTAAGAATGCTGGTTTTCACTAGAACACTCAAGCGTATCGTAAACCTTTCAAGTATGTTTGAAAATATTCTGGCTCATCAATTTTGACCTCTTGGAGTAATAGTGGAAGCATCAAAACATGCCATTTTGAAATGTAAAAATTAGTTATAAGTGGAATTTTATGATTGAAAGATGCTCTATCGTCATTGCACATTTGTATGTGTTGTGAGCAGCTGTTTAGTGGCACATGTAAATAGACAATGTTTGTCAGTGACCAAGTCAAACATTGTTAAAAGGAGATGGGTAAGTTGACTCACAATGGTTTGATAAGAAAACAGGTAAATTAAATATGGAATGTAGAATAGGCAGGTTGAATCCTGCTTGAATCTCTGGATGAATGGGAGAGTTTACAGGTCTGATCATGTAATGCTAAATACTACTATACTGCGTCAGGTCGTCAGGTCAAAGAGCTTGGCAGGGATGCAGAAATGACCCTTTTCACATCTTACCAGACTACAAAATCGTATTATTACTAATGAATAATTAATGCAATATGACAAGCTGATAAAATATACATGATCGACTCAACTAGTGTGGTCGTCATGGTGGGGTGGAGGGTGGTTGAGATAATGGGTTTGGTTAGAATCATATGACATGGGTTTCACTTGAAAACTTGGCACAATTTCTGCATTATTGTTTGGGAAAATGGTCCTAGAACCCTGCTCACCCACACCCTGGATAATCGTACCCATGGCAGTTATTTAAGCCCATAAAGGGATTGTTCAGCCTCCCATCAAGGCTTACCTGCCCCTTCAGATTACATTTCTATTTCCTGTATTAGAACTGGAATGGTTAGGTTTGTTTGTTTGTTGTTTAACGCCGCAGTCAGCAATATTCCAGCTACATGACATAATTGAGTCTGGACCAGACAATCCAGTGATTGACATCATGAGCATCGATCCACGCAACTGGGATACGATGACATGCATCAATCAAGTCAGTGAGCCTGACCACCCAATCCTGTTAGTCGCCTCTTACGACAAGCATAGTCGCAATTTACAGCAAGCATGGATTGCTGAAGACCTATTCTACCCCGGATCTACCCGGGTAGGAATGTTTAGGTAGCCTGGTGGTCAGTGAGCACGCCTGTCAGGATTCGGATCAGTGCTGCATGGACAACTGCAGCATTGTATCTGTGTACAATTCACACATCCATACTAATTGTTATGAAAAAATTATACAAAATATTTACTTCGCAAGAATACATTAATTGGAAGTTTGTCAACAACATTGATTTGAAGTATTATTTCTATTAAATTTGTGTTTCCGAACTCAGAAATGTAAAATACAAATTTATTCTGTTTGCTGTGTGGAGTTGTGTCCTTTACTTGTTCATGGGTTTGATCAGTTACATGTGTGTGCTTGAGATACCAAAGTGGTAAACATTTATTTCCTGCATCACTTTGAGCTAACTTGCCACTGTAACAATCCTGAAATACTGTTTATGGCCTTACTCAATATTCAAATGTATGGTTCTGGAGGCATGTGTGGCCCAGTCAGTTGTCTGAGGCGCCGCAATCGCTGGGCAGAGTTGCGTTCCTTGGGCACGCCAGAAACCTATGATTGTGGCTTCGAATCTCGGTTCGCCCCAATTATGTTGTCAGCACCATACCCGTGCTCGTGGGTTTCACCGAAGTGGTAAACATCCGAGACTGCATCACTTCAGGCTTTCCTCGCACCTTAAGCTGACACGCCGTGATATAACTGGAATACTGTTAAAAGCGGCATTAAACCAAACTCACTCACTCAATGTTCGGTTCCAATATCATATGGTTTCTCTTCTCCTGCATTTACAAGGCAAATACAATAGCGGTAATCTGACCGTGGTTGCTGTAAATAAGGATGAGTTGTGCTATCTATCTATCACTTCACTCACGATTTCGCCGAAATGATTGTAAACAATATTGAAAGGAATGTTTAATAAAAGAGCAGGGAGAAGTAAAAAATAGCGGTTGCCCCCAGAAAAACCAAGAGTTGGAAGTGACCTTGTCTCCATGACCACCTGGTACAGATCATGGGATGTTCTGTCACTTTTTTTTTTATCAGTGGGAATATTCAATTCTACTGAACTAAAATAATTAAGGGGTGCCTGGATGTGGACCTGTTTGAAAGATGTTGTAACTTGTGGGTTTTTTGCAGTGTTTGTAGCCTGAAACCTTTACTGAAGAGAGTTGGATATGTTCTGATTAGGTTTGGATAAACCTCTAGCATTTACGTAGACACCCGACTCTTGTTCAGGGATTAGCATACAATACAGAAATCATGGTTAGGTGGTAGAGCTTTGTCTAGTTGCATCTAGTTACCAAGATAGGACCTTGTTATCTCATCGATAGTGATGTCCAATTTCAGTGCAATATTACTTGATGTTACACTAGTTCTGTACACTATACAAGCTAATATGTAAAGTTTAAAGTGTAATCATTTATTTGACATACCTGTTTCTGGAGTAACCTGTTAAAACTTCTCTAACGACTGTAAACTTAGATGCATAATTCTTTCAAAAATCAGGTTATTAAACTCTCTGAATTGGTCATGTCTTAGATTAAGACATCATGCAAAGCTATTTTAGTAGATTAGATATACATGGCTATCAAGTGTTGTCATTGTGTCAAATCAACGGTCTGAAAATGTACAGTATGTATAAATATTGTTGTGTTTAAATGTGCCATTTTCATACTCTAAATAAATATTGTTATATCACCGAGAGACCATGTGTTATGTTTTGTCTTCCCAACCATTGATGGAGGCACCCGTGAACATCCGGGTTAGAATAGGTCTTCAGCAGCCCATGCTTGCCATTTGGTTGATGCTTGCCATCCAATCACTATTGCGTGGATTGATGCTCATGACAATGGTTGTCTGGTCCAGACTCGATTATTTACAGACTGCCGTCATATAGCTGGAATGTTGCTGAGTGCGGTGTTAAACAACCAAACATTGATTGAGGATGTTCTGATATCAGCATCAAAGATCACATGTGGACCTAATTGTTGCAAGAGCCGACTGATGACAATAAGATGGCAGCAATGATTGACCAGGCTTATTTTGCCCCACACGTGGATCATACTGGTCCCTCACTCACTCCATACGTGGAGAGAGCAGGGATCAAACCAAAACGGAAACATTGGTGACCGAGTTATAAAATGACTTCATACCCCAAAACGTGTGACTGATACTCTCAGGAACAGTTGAAGGATGCAAACTTAGGTTCACATTCACATTTGTTATTCATCAGCCGTTCTGTATTGACTGTGTGAGTGAGTTGGTTTAACATTGCTTTCAACAGTTTTTCATTTACAACAAGGCATGTCTGCTTGTTGTGGGAGGCAAGCCTGAAGTTATGTCGGTCTCAGACGTGGAACACAAGCATTGGACAATCCAAACTACGATCAGCGTCATGTTTTGTCCAGAAAGTAGGTGCAACATAAGAATTGCATTACTTCTACATGTCAATATTTTATTGCATTGTCTGAGTGTGTACACATGTAAGGATTTTTACCATCCACGTTTGTTCATGCTCTTTTATGAATATCTAATTTTGACCAACAGTCATTGGATTTGCATGTTCTATACCATGTATACTTCTTCCATCAGGGCAGGTTAAAATCTATACGATAATCAAAAAATTCAGATAAACGTAAAACAGAAAATTGATCTGGCATCATTTGGCAATGGGGATGAATCAGAGATGAAATTGGTAGCTGCCTGAACATTGAAAAGGATACTTGTGTGATCTGTTGAGCCACTGCACATCTACTTAATAGACCCCATTACTACAAGGCAACAAACCTTTACTCATAAAATTAAGTCATATTAAATCAATTATTACATTTTAATCTTCACCTCACGACCAAAGACCACTCCTCACATTTTACTGTCTCCAAGTACGTACAGAAAGATAAATTATTACATGTGCAGTCTGTGCCAATTTGAGACTACTAACCAGAATTTGTGTCTTAGAATCATTTTCAGTAGATCTTGGTGTTATTATACTATTATTATTTGAACTTACTAGACCGAAAAGCATTTTACATGGCTTCTGACTAGTGGCTGACATCACCGACTGCATATGTGTTCTAATACCGGTACATTGTATATGGGGATCCCTAGATTAAGGAACCAACCACAAGGGATCCTGGACTTCACCTGATTTAACTTTGAGAAACATTAAAGTCACAATTTCCAGTCAAATACCTGCATGTATAAAACCAACAACTGAACTTCTAAGATGCATGCGATGATGCTTGCTAATGATTCGAAATAATGTTGTACATCCAACTGTGCACAAACCCACACTGCACCAACAAACACAACTCAAGTCAAACTGAAAGAGCAATTAATTTTTTATTAAGAAAAATAATGGTCCTAAATGAGTGATAAAGTCAATGATAAAATGTAAAGCACAAGCTCAGAGGGGCATGCTCTACACTAAACATGAGGACCGGGAGCTGTTGGGGACGGGCAGGGTACACCATTCCGTTTTAGCATCTCCGACAGTTCAACAAATCAGGTTCTTAGACTCTAAGCAACCCAGAATCTATGCATCAAAAGGAAATTTATACATTGTAAGGGAGTTTATCCATCATGCTAAGGGTTACATAAATATCTGAATACATGCAGTAAAATACAATCAAAAGTGGTATTTTGACTGAAAATGTTGCTCACTGAAAATGATCAAAATTGTAATTGAAACTTGGTCATATATCCAACTAGTTAACTAGCAGAATGTTAACACTGCATAAAGAAAGGAAAGAATGTGGTTACATTAAAACCTGATTAGATGCATCAACAGAGTTGTCTCCCCTTAAACACCACCACCAGGGGGCTTGCTCCTCCATTTTCTCTTTTTTCCTTCCAAGGAAAGTTCCTACATTGCTTGCACAACTAAACCTTTACCACACTTGCAAGATGCTCAACGTCTTCACCATCACTTTGATGAAAGAAATCTAAGCATAGGAATGAACTTCAACAGTTTTTATTTCAGATTTTGCGTTGACATCCAAAAGACATTCACATTGCCATTGAAATCAGACAATGAAATGTGTTGTTTGTGTTGATACTGCATGTCCTCTGGTGGTGTGATTGGCTCAAGGGCAAATAACTCCAACGTGACGTGTCACACTTTTCTATGTTATCAACTACCGTCCTATTTTCTTAATACTTTGTAAGCGTAAGAAAGAAATTTGCAATCGGATCTTGGCTTCGAAGCTTCACAAGGAATTTCAAATAGAGGCAATTAAACCATTAAGGCTTCAACCAACACCATATTTAAAAGCCTCCCACTTCTGATAAGCAGCTTGTATGTGGCCTTTTACCAACAGCAAGTTCCCAACAGGCTCTAGTGGGCTAGCAAACTTATATAGTCAACACTAACTTCAAGTACACCAACAAGTGAATCAACTTGATGCTTTGCACCTGAACCAACATGCTACAGCACTTGCAACCAGCACATAACTGTGCTTGCACCCATCACGTCACCGTGCTTGCACCCAACACATCACCGTGCTTGCACCTGACCCAACATGTCACCGTGCTTGCACCCAACATGTCACCGTGCTTGTACATGTTTCCTGTGTTTCAGTGCTTTCAAGTGAACTAATGTTTTGCAATGCTTCCACCTGAAAGTGCCTCACTGCTTGCATCCCATGCCATATTTTGGCAGGTGCTTTCACTTGAACAAACTTGTGCAGTATACTTGTGACTGAACCTCCAAGTACTGCAATACTCTACCAAAACTCACGGCAAGAACCTCCTCAAATGTAGCAGTCTTTATGCAAAAGACTTTTGTTAATTCCACTAGCTACCAGTGCTTGAAAAAAACACTCAATTATATACAAAAAAGGGCAGGGCAGGATGGGTCTACAATGTATAGGGTTTGGGGCTAGGGAGTTGTGTATCCACCATTTTCTTCTTACACAAGAGTACTCAGTTTACAACAATAAAAGATTAATATAATGTAAAGGAGTCTATTAAAGTTTTATTGAATTATGTTTCATCATCAGCAGGGTACTTAAGTCCTCATTAACTTTATCGTCTTCGTCAACATCTTCAATTTATCTCATGATACTATAGCAATACAAGGAGAGAAACTGGGAACCGAGGAATTAAATGGGGGTATTTTGGTAAAAAATATTGTGTAAACATCCACACTGTACAAGGAATAAATACAGAATTAGGAAAAGCGGGCTTATCAACGGTAGAAACTACACTATGAGAAACAAGAGGTTATCACATACGTTGTGTTCTACAAATAACTGACGTTACTGAATGGCCCATAGTTAAAACTGGAGAGTTATATACACAGGCAGGTTGGTGCAGTGGGTACGAACTGAAAGTTTTGTGGAATACTTGATGTTTCTATCAAGACATTATTACATCAACGTTTAACAATACATGCTCAAGCATATAGTAAAGAGTTCCATAAACCAACAAGTAGATGATGAAAGCAACAAAAAGCACTATCACCTGGCTTAAAACGCATCCTTTCACTGTGCACAGATGCTTCGTCAGTTTGCCAAACAACTGCATCAGCACGAGACTGATCAGAAACCTGCAACGGACAGCATTCAGTTTTCCCTTAAATTATCAGATCCTATGTCAATGGGAAAGTTGTCCGAATAAAAAGTAGTAAAGACTAGTGGTGAAAATATCTCTGGTCCTTGAATGCCCTGTTGTGGAGTGGTCACTTTGTCCTTCGATATTCCCACTGCTAGTATCCCAGGCTGTCCATGCCTTCATCTCTTACACTCTGTTGCTTACAGTAGTCCTATCTCAAACAATGGAGCCTGCAACAGGATATGGCATGGGTTAGCGGTGAGTTGAGATGGGCTTTAACATCGCATTCATGATGATTTCACTCAAATAGCATCAGCATGCATGTGTGTGCGTGTGTATGTGGCTGCTTATAGTAGTACACCTTATCATTATGCCTGTTTGAAAGTGCTAGCCCACTGAATACCATTGCCACAGTTAAACATGGATACTCGACTCAGATACATTATACTGTCTCCGAGCTGGCCAGTCTTAGTTTTATCCCAATAATGCTGAGCACCAGGCAGAGTAAAAACAAGTACCATCTTGTGACGCCGGCCAGGGATCGGACCACCAAACTTATTCTCTCCAGGCAGACGGTCTATCCACTACACCAGAGAGGTAGCGGCATGGGTTAGAGCTTGAGCTAGTGAGTGAGTTTTGGTTTTATGCCTCTTTCAGCAATATTCCAGCAATATCACGGCGGGGGACACCAGAAATGGGTTTCTCACATTGTACCCATGTCAGGAATCGAACCCCGGTCCTTGGCGTGACAAACTATGCTTTAACCACTTTAACTGCTTCAGATAGAGTACTTGACGTTTGCCACAGTCAGCAATATTCCAGCTATGTCACAGCAGCCAGTAATTTTAAGTCTGGGCCCGACAAACCAATGCTTGATCATGTCGCATGCAAATCAATTTAGACGTATCAGAACATGATGGCACACAATCAATCAGGTTCCTAACTACCTAGCGACCCCTAATTTCAGTCAGGTCCTACTACAAGCATGGGTACTTGGAGCCTGATGCCGAATCCGCACTGGGTCAAAAGCAAAGAGGGAAACACATACTGATCACACGTTTCACTTCCCTCACATCCAACACTCACACAAGGCGAGTAGAGCATGGCATACTTACCACAAAATTTAGAGTAAAGTGCAGCCGGATTTCTTCTTCTTCTTGGTAGAGTGCTCTGGGTTCTTTTTGTTGATCATCCGAACTAAATCACAGAAAATCTGAAACAGGAAAAAAGCCCTCAGTTTATGATTAGTCTCAATTAACATCACCTTTGTAATTGGGCGAGTAAAATGTCTGGCCCATACAATCCAGTGATTGATAACAGATATTGCGAGCAACACGCCATCAGGGTACAATGACACACCATCAACCAGGTCACTGACCAACCAATCTATTAAGTTGCCTGTTACAACCAGCATAGGTTGCTGGGGACATATTCTAACCTGGAATACCCACAGTGATTGTCATTAAATACAGAAAGTTGTAGGACTTTGTGATCAGAATTGTCCACATGTGGTTACTGCATTTTTTCAACATACGTATTTTCACTTGAGCAGGGATTTAACATTGAAACCAAAAACCTTCTCCTATTGTTTGGGAACTGCCGTCTTGTTCTCACAAACCATGTGTTAATATTTTGATCTGTTCATTTTGGTTTATGAGTGAGTGAGTGAGTTTGGTTTTACGCCGCTTATAGCAATATTCCAGCAATATCACGGCGGGGAACACCAGAAATGGGCTTCACACATTGTACCCATGTCGGGATTCGAACCCGGGTCTTCGGCGTGACGAGCGAACGCTTTAACCACTAGGCTACCCGATTTTGGTTTATGATCTATGGTAAGGGTAACTCAGCTGATACCTCATCAAATGACATGGGCGACTGGACAGGCACACTTCAGGTGTTTGTGGATTTTGATCAGTGACATTTCCCTTTGTGAATTGTGAAGGGTTTTTTTATATAAAGGTATGGTATCCTTAAGATTTTATTAGTATTTCAATCTAGAGACCCCTTGACTTTTAAGTTAAATTTCAAACAAGGAATTGTGTCCATCTGAGAGCCTTTACACTTTAGAAACAAGCTATTTATATCCCTTGTGCTTCGAAAAGAAACATAGAAAACCTACCTCATTAACATTGATCTTGGCTTTAGCTGAAGTCTCGAGGTAGGAACAGTTGTTGTGTCTGGCCAGATTGATGCCCTGGTCCTTTCCCACCACACGCTCGTCCTCAAGGTCACACTTGTTGCCCACCAGGATCATCGGAACCTGCACATCAGCAAACAGTTACATATCATCCTTCATAGCTCCGACCAGGGTCATCGGAACCTGCACATCATCACACAGCTATAGATCATCCTTCATAGCAACAACCAGGGTCATTGGAACTTGCACACCATCACCCAGCAACAGAGTTCCCTGTTACAAGCATGTGACCAACCATTCCAACAGGCCCTTTTTTCATGGACATGAGCTAAAAATTATCTCTGCACCAAAAGATTAACCATCATATTTCTATGTAATTATGTATTGAAGGATTTGTCCGGATTATGATGCTGAAAATGACCATAAGGCACTTCAAATGCCCAGTGACCTATTTCAAACCTTAATAACCCCCAGCTTCTCCACACACCTCCAACATGGAACTCCAACATCACCTAAATGGTGCTGCAACATCAACCCACTTACTACATCACTTGGAGCTTCTGAACAACTACTCACACATTCAGTGTCTTTCACTCGTAGAATCTGTTCTCGCAACTCCTCAAGGTCGTTAAAAGTGGACTGAGCGGTTATAGAGTAGACGAGGAGGAAGCCCTGGCCGTTCTTCATGTACAGGTCTCGCATGGCTGTGAATTGTTCCTGGAAAAAGAGAAGCATAAAGATGACAATACTATCTCAGTAGTCGCCATCTTCCCTTCTCAGGTAACACTCATGAAACTCACAAAAAATAATATTCAAACCTACGTGTTTCTGATCAGGTATACATGGTATAATCCTGGTTAATGTTTCTGAGCATTACTAGTAGGGCTAGTATTTGTTGTTGGTTGTTTAATGCTGCACTCAGCAATATTCCAGTTATATGACAGCAGTCTGTAAATAATCAAGTCTGGACCAGACAATCCATAGATTAATATCATGAGCATCAATCCACGCAATTGGGATACAATGACATGCATCAACGAAGTCAGTGAGCCTGACCACCCGATCCTGTTAGTTGCCTCTTACAACAAGCATAGTCACTTTTTACGGCAAGCATGGTTTGGTGAAGATCTATTCTGCCCCGGTTCTTCACGGGTCAGTAGGGCTAGTAGATGAGTCTTGACTACATGTAGCTAATGAAGCCAGAAACATGAATCTGAACATGCAACAATGTCTTCTTTTTCACTAAGACTTAACAAGAGTTGGGCCTTCACAAGCCAAGCCTACAGGACCTACAGACATTGTACTAGTGGCCCAGGCTGCTACTCACCGTGCCAGCGGTGTCCAGAATCTCCAGCATACACTGTTGGCCATCCACTTCCACTTGCTGAAAAACATATCCACATGGCATAAAAAATCTTTTCACAATTTTTGCTCATCATGTACACATTTCGGTTAACAATGGATAATTTAGTGTTGATTTGACTGAATAACATATTATGGAAGGTGCAGTCATGATTGCATTCACCAAAAATGTTGACCTATTTCATGACCGAGTGATTTAGATGTCTAACTAAAGTGTCATTTCATAAACATTCTCTAGAAAGTAAAATTGATAAATCCATCAAGATCAAGACACCCTGCAACCAATATAACATCTAAAAAACACTGTACAAGGTATGCAATTTGTTATGAACTGTTATTAAAATATTTTAAGTGGCAGTTATAAGACAGTGCAGACATGTATATTGACTTCAAATTCTCTGACGGACATTTTGGCACATGTGTCAGTACCTTTATCAAACATTCAAAAAATAAAGTCTTCATTTTCATAAAATTGTTACGAAAGGAAGCCGGTATGGAGATACCTTGTATCTCCAGTTTGAGCTCAGATGATTCAAAACTAAATGTACAGGTATAAAAATATTTTGCCACAAAGATTCTGGAGCACATGCTTGAAATGGTTGTGACTTCCCCAGTAGTCAGGACAACTCTAGCATACCACCCCAGGTGTACCTGAAGGGATTGTGCTCACCTTCCTGTAACTGTCTTCTATTGTTGGATCATACTTCTCCACGAAAATACCCTGGACAAACTGCACCGTCTGAAAACAGAAGTGGAAGGTAAAAGGATGACAAAACAAAGCCAGCATGAACAGTATCTGCGCTGCATTTGAAATCATTTAAACAAACATAACCTACAGTGTTTCCATGCTTTCAAAAATGTGGGAAGTGTTGGGAAATGTTTGAGATTTCATCATGTGCCACTAATATTAACAGTTGGTGCCCCAAACCACCAGCTTTCTGCTCTTCTCGCCCAAAATTGTATCATAGCATCATTTTGAAACATGTTCTGGTGTAATTAGCTGAGTGTGCTAGACCATACAAAATTTCACTAGATTCGTGCACTGCAGTAGTTCATCAGTTTGTTGCAACTGATCAGTTAAATTTAATAACCACCTCATAATACTTTCACTTTTCTGAAACCGAGCCTATTTTAATGTCCTACATAAAAATGCCTTATCAGTTTCACATTGAAGATGTCTGCTAATATATATATCATTTGTACATTTAATGAATGATTGAACATTTGACATATACATAATTTTAACTTAACATTTGGCACAATCAATCATTGCAACAGTACTGGGTATGTGTGTCACAAACCAATCATTGCATCAGTAAAGGGTATGTGCGTCACAAACCAATCATTGTTACAATCAATCATTGCATCAGTACAGGGTATGTGTGTCACAAATCAATCATTATTGCAATCAATCACTGCATCAGTACTGGGTATGTGTGTCACAAACCAATCATTATTGCAATCAATCATTGCATCAGTACAGGGTATGTGTGTCACAAACCAATCATTATTGCAATCAATCACTGCATCAGCAACTGATCAGTACAGGGTATGTGTGTCACAAACCAATCATTATTGCAATCAATCATTGCATCAGTACAGGGTATGTGTGTCACAAACCAATCATTATTGCAATCAATCATTGCATCAGTACAGGGTATGTGTGTCACAAACCAATCATTATTGCAATCAACCATTGCATCAGTACAGGGTATGTGTGTCACAAACCAATCATTATTGCAATTGATCCTCAGAAAATCACAAAGGCTATCATGATAATCATCGCTAATGCCACAGTACAAGAGATCAGCACTTATGCTAATACAGGCAAAATGTCCGCTATCAAAAAAGAGAAATATCCTCTCACTAGAGGATAACATTATCAGGGGGAAGGCAGCTTTAAGAGAACATTTGATATCTTCTCTGTTGTAGTGAGTCATGCCAGAGTTTTAGTTTAGAACATGTGAAGACATACAAACGTCATCAATCAGATAAGCATGTTACCTATGAAAGACTATCACTACCTCTTTTGACACTGAAAATAGTAGGACATGATTTTGTTACTATGGATAGTTGAGAAAAATATCTGTGTTGATGGGATTACCACTATTAGTATTATGCTCATAGTCATCAGTTTGTAACTTGAATTTCAAGGAAATGTACATGTATTAACAGAATACTGAACTGGCAGGCCCAAAAGTTTAATTATAGCCATATGGCTGCAACTACTTTTTTTCCAGATAACCACTGGTAAAATCAAGTCAAGCCAATATTGTAGGTAGCCAAAAACATTTGAAATTATCTCTTAAAAGCATTTTAATCAGATCCCTGTTGTAATATGTACAAGGCATAAGCATTAGTCTTGGAATCTTATATCATGTTCTATTAGGGCACTGTGACCACCCAAACACCCAGCCTGTTGTGACAAACCCACACCAATCCCCTTCTCCCAACACACAACCTGCTGAGACACCAACCCCCTACTCCCAACACACAACCTGCTGAGACACCAACCCCCTACTCCCAACACACAACCTGCTGAGACACCAACCCCCTACTCCCAACACACAACCTGCTGTGACACCAACCCCATACTCCCAACACACAACCTGCTGTGACACCAACTCCATACTCCCTACACACAACCTGCTGTGACACCAACCCCATACTCCCAACACACAACCTGCTGTGACACCAACCCCATACTCCCAACACACAACCTGCTGTGACACCAACCCCATACTCCCAACACACAACCTGCTGTGACACCAACCCCATACTCCCAACACACAACCTGCTGTGACACCAACCCCATACTCCCAACACACAACCTGCTGTGACACCAACCCCATACTCCCAACACACAACCTGCTGTGACACCAACCCCATACTCCCAACACACAACCTGCTGTGACACCAACCCCATACTCCCAACACACAACCTGCTGTGACACCAACCCCATACTCCCTACACACAACCTGCTGTGACACCAACTCCATACTCCCTACACACAACCTGCTGTGACACCAACCCCATACTCCCTACACACAACCTGCTGTGACACCAACCCCATACTCCCAACACACAACCTGCTGTGACACCAACCCCATACTCCCTACACACAACCTGCTGTGACACCAACCCCATACTCCCTACACACAACCTGCTGTGACACCAACCCCATACTCCCAACACACAACCTGCTGTGACACCAACCCCATACTCCCTACACACAACCTGCTGTGACACCAACTCCATACTCCCTACACACAACCTGCTGTGACACCAACCCCATACTCCCAACACACAACCTGCTGTGACACCAACCCCATACTCCCTACACACAACCTGCTGTGGCAGTCCAACCCCCAACCCCTACCACTGAAGAACCCGCTGTGACATTACAACCCTTCTTTGAGATCCATCCCACTCAATCATCCCCTTCATAATGTGAGGTGAAGCAGGGTCTTCCCAGTATCAAATGTCAGCCTACATACAGGAGATGACTTCTCCCGTACTCCCAGCAAGAGTTAGCTGTGTTATGTGAGGCACACCCTCGCTGTTGACTCCCAGTCACTGAGAATCTTTCTGGTACTATCACCTCACGTACAGTTTACATTCCCTCAATCTTGATACTGATGCCACACACATAGAATATTCCTCAGAGGACTGGGTTAGTTGGTTTGTTGTTTAGCACCGCACTCAACAATATTCCAGCTATGTCATGGCAGTCTGTAAATAATCAAGTCTGGACCAGACAATCCAGTGATTAAAACCATGAGAATGGATCCACGCAATTGGGATCGATGACATGCATCAACCAAGTCAGCGAGCCTGACCACCCGATCCCGTTAGTTGCCTCTTACGACAAGCATAATCGCCTTTTATGGCAAGCATGGGTTGCTGAAGACCTATTCTACCCCGGATCTTCACGGGTATTCAGAGGACTGGGGAAAATGTGAAATCTGACACATTTTAGACTAGTTTTCCATGGACTCTGACATGCCCTCAAATGTATCTAATGCAAGAGTATTTCACTCTGAAATATATATACTCAAAGAATAAAATAAGGGAACACATAACATACTCCAATCCTAACAACAATAGTTTTACATACATCATAATCTATAAATACAGCGTAACGTGACACGAAGAAGCCGCTGCATACCATTGACAAACTATCACAGTCTTTCAAATACTATGTCAACAGTAACTTGTTAATCATCCCAATTAATAGTAATTAGTACCCCAGCGTCAAAACAAAATCAGAGGCCAAAGAGTGCAAGGATAACTGGATACTATCTGGGATTCGAGGAGCACGAGGAGCATTTATCAGTACCAATAAACTATTCTCAGGGTTCATTCTAGACTGTGAACAATTGTTCTCACGCTCATTACCGAAATACAACTATAACTCATACAATAGTGCATGGTACTGGTAACATTATCAAGTAGAACAATGGAACAAGTTCAGATAATGTCTTGTCACGTAATTATGGCAAGAAATTTGCAGAAAATCGGTTTGATTTTATAAAATATTCATTTCCATTATTAAACATGATAACCCAACTTTGGAGGGGTTGGAGATTCATGTTGAGGTTGAGATTGAGGGTGGAGGTAGATCAACATCTAGTCTCTGAAATGAACACATCTTACAGAAAAAAAAGCAGTTATTAAATTATCTTAATAAGAACATAATAAAAAGGAGCCCAGAAACTCTCTGAAACTGCAGTAATCTAGACTTGCCAAACATTATAGACTTGCCAAACATTATAGACTTGCATGGGCTGTATTGGGTATATTTGTTTCAGGACAGACAAGGATGGAGGGTGAGAGTGGGGGTGGGGGTGGGTTTATTTTGAGAATCATAGGGAGGGGGAGGGATACACACTCTTATCAGCGATACTGTGGCAAGGGGATGGGCTACTTATATAAGGGAAGGGTCTCACTTACATGACATACAGTTATGTGTCTAGACTACAGCATACTGATACTATGACAAAGATTTAACCAGACACCAGATCCACTGGCATTGTCTGCCTTTCTACGACTGTCAATGATACATACTGGCTGTTGATGTAGTATCCCCTCTGCTCTGCTATTTATATCTACGAGCAAACAATCTAGTGAATCCCATGAGAATGTTGTTTGTGACATTTGACAGTCTGGAGCAAAGTGAATTACCCAATACAGCTGGGCTCGGCTCTATCCATTACTAATGGCCTACCGTATATTATGGGGCATAGGCCAAGCATTTCATATAAAAATGGAAAAGGAGGTCACCCAATACCATAAAACAATGTTCTTCAGGCTTAGAAAATAACACTAGCTCACTAAGCCCTTGGGTAGTACAAATTCCCGTGGGCTAGTACAAATTCCGCAGGCTAGTACAAATTCCCGCAGGCAAGTACAAATTTCCCAAATTCCCCATTGTTTTAACATAAGAATGGTATTTTATCTTACCCGGGCTAGTAAAGATTTTTTAGTTTAGATCTCAAACTGTTCTTTGAAGTATTTTGCAGAGACACTGATTTACAATGAGTACGGACAGAAATCGGCCGCTGAATATTTTCACCTTCCGTTGGTTGTATACAATACCATACATCAACTGGAAGAAATATCACAAACCTTTAACAAAAACCATAATTCATACTTTTCAAATTATATGTTTTGTAAAGAACTTGGATTTTCTATTCCGTTTACAAAAGTATAAAACACCTTAAACAGTTACATTATTG